TGTGGATCAGCAGGTAAATGTGCCTGGCTGCGCCACACCTGACGAATTCGTACGCTCCTTCCCCCATCAGTGGCGCTCTTAGACTTTCACTCTCTCCCGGTTCCATGACGCCGGAACGCGCTGACGGAGGATCGGTGGCGCTGCGGCGTCATTTCTCGCCGCATGAATACGCATCATACTTTGGAGCAGCGCCGCATTGCGATGATCGAATCGATCCAGCCACATCATTCACCGCTGGCCCGTCACGTTGGCTGCAGCGGGCGCTAGCTGTGGCGCCGAAATGTCGGCGCCGCACCGCTGTCCGCAAGCAGATGAGGACACGACTGCTTCGGGTGTCCCGCTGACCGCACACTGATGGCTCCACACGTGACTGCCACTGGCATAGTGCAACCCCACGTCGGATGGCGACCTAGGTCATGCCCCACAGGTAATGATGCATGCATCGGGATGCAGTCTACCCGAATCACTCCACCGCAGGAGGTGACGACAAGAGTGCCCATCGGCAGAGTGGGGACCCGACGTGGGACCGTCAACGTCTATGGACGTGGGGAGAGTGCGGCCCGACTCGACAGCAGGTACAACTTGGATCTCCGGTGTTCTCGCACAGCGACTCGCCGACATCCGACGCACCACATGGGCCGAAAGCATCACGGGAAGCGTGGCGGAGGGTGTACGCAAGCCGCTGAGTCGCGCTGAAGTGGCGAGCTGAAGGCGTGCGTTCCGTGGCGCCCCGCCCGAGCTCGAGCGGTTGGGCACGCAATTGATGGCCAAGTAGTCGAACTCGACGGTGATCGCGTCCCGGCCATTGATGCCGGACCTGAGACTCGGGGCCACACACCAATCTCAGCTCCGGGTTGGACCTGCGGAAAGGTGGCTGGCGACGCGAATCTCGGTCCGCATTTCATCGAAATAGGCGAGCTTTGCCACACTGCCACAGTGGCACAGTGGCCAATGGAACTTGCCCCACCCAGCGCTTACGGAACTCACCCGAGGCCCCGCAGGTCTCTCCAGTCACATGATGTAGCGGATCACCAATTGGCTCGTATAATCTCGTGGCGCGTTAGAAACCCGAGGGGCAGATGTGGCGGCGTCGGACACGCCCTGCACTGGCCCTGCCGTGCCGCCACGAGTAACGAAGCTGGCATCAACGGAGATGAGATGAAGGCACTGATGCGGGAGATCTCCGCCATCAGGAGGTCGGCGTGATGTCCAATCGGTACGCCTGACATCCAAGCGCTGAGCATCGCCGCTACCCGACATACTGCTGCTGTTCCGATTACCACGTTACTACAGTGAATGAGAAGCTCCCGTCCGAATATCATGTTTCCCATGAAATCGCGAGCGCTCAACCCCCCCGCCCCCATTCCCTCCCGAGAGGCATGTGTCAATATCGCCATGTCCGCCAATCGCGGCAGAACTGCCAACAAGCTCGAGGAACGGACAGGGATGTCACCACGACGACGCCCTTTCCCACCCGCACGTCGTGGCTGTCATCCTCAGATCTAGGTCCGCTTCGGCGCGCGCTCGTCGAGATCAGCCTCCGACCCGTGTTGTATCCGTGACACGTCACAACCGTTCCGATGAGATCCGCTGTCCACGGCAGTACGCCTGGGCAGCGCGAACGTGCTTGACGGTTCCGCGTTCAATTCACGTCCCTCCGAGGCACTGCCACACATGGGTCGTTTTGGGATCTTGGGGTTGCGTGAGATAGTTAGACCTCTCCACACCTCGCCCCCAAATTCTGCAGAATGTTTCCGCACATCCCCTGGCGCTGATGGCGCGGAGCGGAAGCCTCCCGACACCGCTTACGCAGTCAGGTTACACGGTTCCCCGCGAGTCGCAGTCGCATGACCAGCACACGAGCTTCGGCAGCGAGCAGTGGCAGCACAGATCTGCGTTTCGGGTGTGAGACTTCCGTCTCCTTCGTCTGGCTCGTCTGTCGCGGACACTGAGCACGGCTATGGACCGTTGCGGCATCGGCGTCCACTCCTGATTTTCCGCTACATGCAGCCAATATCCAGCTCTATCCCCGGGTTTCCGCCGTCGGCTTTAAGCCTCGGTCAATTCCTCCTTCCACACTAATCAGGCCGTAACTCTCGCAGTGCCTGTTCCTCGAGGTGTGGGGCAATGCCGTAAACACTCAAGCATGTTCCCTGGCAAATGTGGGGGCCTGGTGACTTTGAGATGCACGCACTCTGTACGTATCGTCACTGCGCGTCACCGGCCGCGCGTCTAATAATTAACTGGCTGCCCGTGTTTCCCACTCCACAAGGAATGTCCCTGCGGCCAGTGCCGCATATCAGCCCATCTGCAGTCTCGCGACCTCGGCAGGCAGTCGGCACCGCGCTCCACGAGGGAACGATTATGCTAATGTTTCGATGAGGCGGAAGAACCCAGACCGTGTTGGAAGATCACGCGCTCAAGTTCGCGACCGACCGAGGCTTCGACTCCACTTCGAGACACCTGAAACAAGGCAGTGTTGATCTGCCGTCTTGCTCTCGCCGTTGCCCTTTCCCATGCTTCCCAGCTCCTGAGAACAGATCTCGTGAGCAACGAAGGTGAGGTAAGAATAGAGCGCCCCAAATGTGCGGGGAGGAGCGGATGACATGTCGTTACGTTCTGGTTGGTGGTCGATAGGACACACACATTCGAAGACGTCGGAACATCCGAAGGGCGGACCTGGTCTGGTAATTAAATGCCGACAATCCGAAGTGTGGACGGTGGGAAAGCTGCTCGCGTGGATGATAGCGGAGATGCCCCTCTTCTCCATCCATTCTGTTCAGAGCGGACATGGCCTTGTTGTCCGCTTGTTAGCTCGTGGGAACCACGATCCACATCTCTTCGCGACAACTCTGTTGCGACATCGTTGCTTCCAAAGCCTACCCCACGCAGAGCAACTGGCGGGGAGTGTGATATTCGGACCGCTGCTTCTCCATGATTGGGGAGCATCAAATTTCGTATGCATCTGAGATGCCATTCCGTCTCTAGCTTCTGCCCGGTCTGCCCAGATCGGCCCGAGGCCCGAGGAGAAGGATACCCAGTCAGCCCCAGTATCTGAATAATGCAGCGGCGCGACCATCGGCACCTTTCCTCGCTCCACTCCCTGCCTCCCCTCCGACACCTTCTCGATAATCACGGACTCTGCACACAATCGACGGTCACCGCTCAATCGGAGGGCGCGTCATGACAGACGGGCCGCCGCTCCTGCAACTCAGGACGACGGCCGCGGATGTCGCCAAGCGATGCGGTGCTTGACGCGTCTACTACTCAGCACAGAACATGGTTTAGAGCTTGCCAACGTGCACACCAGTGGAGTCAATGAGCGCTGGGCACGTAATAATGTGCCCACCGTAAAGCGGGCCGATTCCTTCAGTGCCGTTGGAATGAGTGCTTCCGTTGTTGTGGGTGGGGGGTGCAATTGCACTGCCACAGGAAGAGAGAACCAGCCAAGCCAGAGCCAAGCAGGACGTGCCAATCTCACGCGCTCACACGGGCCTCTGATGCGTCATTTGCGCACATGTTGAGTTGATAGACGGGCAGAGCGGGCAGAGCGAGCTGCATGGATGAAACGCTCGTTCGGTGACATACCTTGATTGTGGCACACGACCCGTGCGCGACCCTGCGACAAGCGACTGCGAGAGACGAAACCTTGTCTTGACGATTGAAACTTTTCTGTATTCCGTTCTAATCACGGTGGTAATGCTTTGAAACTCGCGCAGTTTTAGTGGAGAATCACGGGCCGATTCCTGCTGCGGACTGCCCTGGCACGCGCCATGTTAGGGTGGCTCCCTCGCGCTCTCGGATCTCTCGCCCTCCCAAACCTCCCAGGATCCGTCGGCATTGCCCAAATGCCCACAGTGCCTCCTTCTACACGACGCGCCGACCTGCGGCGTCGGCGCTCATCTTCCCCTGGCGGCGGGTTGTCCGGCACGCGTAGGCCGTCGCAACCCCCTCGGCGCGCGCAGCCAGAGTTCTTACTCTCGAACATGTGCGCAGTCGACCTTGGCCGCAGCGACCCTGCAAACGACGGAGAGCCAAGACTTCGGAGAGCGCGGCGAGGCTTCGAACCATCATGCAGACACCAGGCATTCAGCGCGCAGATTGCAGCCACCCCACAAGCCACCGCGCCCGCGCCCCCTGTATGACCTGCTCCTGCCCTCCTGGCCCTTGTCCTCTGCGAGACTCTCCCGCTCCATCACTCTATCGTCCACGGCCACGGACACCGAGCGACAACAATCCCTCTCACACGACTGGGTCGTGTGACGCTCGTACGCAACAACCACGTCGTCTTCACCACATTCCTTTCCTTCACGTCTACAGCTTTACTCTTGCCGACATCTTTGCGCCCGCCCTATAATCGCTCTAGCTGCTGGCAGCGCTTCGCAATCCCACCCTTGTGCATCCACACCTTTCCGGTTCGCCATAATACTGAGCGCTCAGCAGTCTACTGCGGCAGAGCCCGAATAACAACCTCTCAACACGCTGCAACGCTGCGGTGGCTGGCCACGCAACGCGCAGCATCTTAACACAGTCGTCTTGAGGACAGCGATAACACGGCACCAACAACTTGTCGAGATCGTCCACTACTTCAACACTCACGACAGTGTAGACAGCAGACGACGTCGCACCTCTCCCCTCGCCTCGTACTTGTCCTTTCCCTTCCCCTCCTCACCACTCGCATTCCACCTTCTCCCCCAACAACTCCGATGTGGCCGTGGACGTCGCGCGAACAACCATACCCCTACTCGCCGATCCGGCAGTCGAGCGGTGACGAGGCAGTGGGACCATCCCGAGGCTTCCGTGCCGACGATGGGGCCGACCTTGAAACGGGGTATGCCAAGGAGAGCACGTCGTCCACTTGGCGAAGCTATGCGGGGCACTATGTCGGACGAGCTCGCAGGCAGCGTCGACCACTGCTTGCTGTCAGCGCGCTCGGCGCGGTCCTGTGCTTCTGCGCCCTTATCGTCTTCTCCTTCACCGTCTACGACCGCTTCCTACCGATGCACGCCCCGGACTATGGCGACGTCGGTTTGATAGGGGTCGACGGAATAGGGGCAAACGACGCAACGTTCAACTCAAGCGACGGCATCCTCACCATACCCGACGACCCAACACACCTCCTTATTCCGACCAGGAGTCCAAGGCGCAAGCCTGTGTCCTTTCTCACGCCCTACGAGACGCGACCGCCGCTCGACATGCTTACCGAGTTCTTCATGACAGGCGAGATCAAGTACAACGACCCGTCTACACACCCAACGCCCAAGATGGATCTCGTGTACATGTTTGTCAATGCCAGCTCAGAATACTTCTTCGAGGGCAAGGACGCCAAGATGGCCGAGGAAGGTCTACCAAGGGCGACCAAGGGACACGGTCACCACTTCCGCGATAACGGCGAACTGCGTGGTGCGGTACGGTCTGGCGCACTGGCATTCGGCGACCGCATCCGTGATATACACCTTATCACAGGCTCGTTTGAGATCCCAGAGAAGAGCAGGCACATCATTCCAAGCAACGATGAGCTGGCACGGTTAGGTGTAAACACCTCCGACATCACCGGGTGGAAGGTCGGCCAGTTGCCCGAGTGGCTCGACTACGAGCACCGCGCAAACGTAAAGTACCACGTTCATGCCGACATCTACAATCTGCCGCGTGACGACGACGGACGTGTCCCGCCAGTGATCGCGGACGTGGACGAGGACAAATGGCGTGAGCTGTCTTTGCCGACATTCAACTCGTTTGAGATCGAGTGCCGCGTCAGCTGGGTGGAAGGGCTGGCAGAGAACTTGTGAGACACACGCTCGGTTGTTTCAGTTGCCTAACGCCAGCATCTTCAGCAATGACGACATGTTCTTCCTGGGCGGCCTGTCAACGTCAGACTTCCACCACCCGCTGTTGGGTCCTGTGTTACGCATCGAACCTGAGATGATGATCAAGCCTGAGGTTCTCCCCGACCTGCTGTCCGCCAGCGGCGAGTGGGGAGGCTTGCAGCACGCCGCCCTCGTCCTCGCGGACCGCTTCCCTTACAAGAGGCGCGAGTACCTCCACCACATGCCCAAGGCGTTCACCAAGACGATGGCACATGAGTCATCGATCATGTTCGCGGAGCAGATGACTACCGCGGCCACCCGAGCGTTCCGCGAGAGCAAGCGTGGGCGTGCCGACATCGAGATGGCTTTCGTCATGGCCCATCTTCAGATCGAGCGTTGGCGCGAGGGTTTGCTGTGGACGTACATCGTCGCCAAGCTGGGCGGACAAGACGGCCTACTGCGCGAGGATGCTCGCGACCAATTCCGCAAGACGCTTCGCGTTCCCAAGGGTAACGAGGGTGACGGGTTGATGTACCAAAAGCGCAAGCGCTCAACCCTACAGGATGTTGAAGACATGGCGTATGGCGCCGGGTGGGAGAATGCGCTGCATACGCGCATGTACTTCTCCTCTTTCGACGGACATATCCCAGCCTCGAAGAAAGTGTTGCACAACGGCGAGCCCAAGCACTGCATCTTCTCTGTCTCGCAATGCCTGCCCGAGAATTTCTTCTCGAGCGGCGAAGAGGTCAGCGCTGTCGACGTCTTCAAGACAATCGCCTTCGAGAAGCCTGGCTGCGGGGACTGCCTCATCGATGTGCTCGTCAACCAGAGTGGCGAGCGCGGCCTGTCAGCCTTCTTCCCCAGCGCCGACGCATTGTACTTCCCACCCAAGGACCAGCCACCGCGGATGTGGGAGCGGCCGGAACCTATTCTGCCTCTCACCCCGACGTGGAAGGAGGCCGACTTCAGCATGGCATACAATGTACGCACGGGACAGGACGCCTGGAAGGGCGTGCGCCCTCGCGCCGACGGCGCTGTCCGTATGCGCGAGTGGTGCGTCAAGCTGCTCTCACGCTACACATACACCTATGGTGAGTTTCACTGCACCCATCGCGCTAACTGTAGGCCGTACTCCCTCCCGCTTTTACATGGTGCACAATCCGCGCGAGTTTACACGCTACGCCAACGAGCTCTCGAAAAACGATGATGTCGTTTTCACGTGCATCAACGACGACCAGCCGGACGATGCAAATGGCGCCGTGCGCCAGCGCTTCCAGGCATGGATGGAGAAGCTCTTTGGCGGTGACAGTCGCTTCGTCCGGTACGAGCGTCCCGACGCCCCGTGGGGCGACGGGGAGGAGATCATTCCCGACCCCGTGGAGGAGGAGGACAAGAGCAAGGGGAAGGATAAGGACAAGGCGGCTGAGAAGGGGAAGGAGAAGGAGCCGGAGAAGGCGAAGGCGAAGCAGCAGGAGGGTATGGTGACGCAGGAGGTGGCGGAGGTTACGGAGAAGGTGCCAGAGGTGACGGAGAAGGTCACAGAGTTGGTGACAGAGACGGTGACGCGGACGGCGGATGACAAGGTGAAAGAGACCGGAAAGGTGGGATAATTTTGAGACAGCTGCAAGCCCGGACGCCTTCAATCTAGTCAGAGCACTGCAAGCGCACACGCGCTATATCCAGCATGCGATCGATACCCTTGTAGCACCAGCTGTACTGTCAAGCTGTAGACTTCATGCACATACACTTTTAATATCTACAGCACCGACCTGGACGCAGGCACATGGCGACACTGCTCTTATCACACACAGTTGCCACCGACACACCGCTTGCCTGTCCCACACTGGATCAGCATTGCTCGCGAGATGCAGCTCACCTCTGTGTCGCACACGCCGCAGTGCCGATTGTCGTTCTGCAGATTGATGCAGTCAATGCTGCACCGCACTTGGCCTGCAGGGCATCCAGCGTTGTCCTCGCAGCTTCTATTCACACAGTTGGAACCGGTGCGGCACTACCTCAGCGTTGTCTTTCTGGAACTCACTGTCTTGCCGCACATCCCGCAGTTCAGATTATCGTTTTGAGGATTGACGCAGCGACCGCCACAGAACAGCTGGCCGCCGGGACACCTGATGCACTTGCCGCCCACGCAACCCTCCACGGGCCCGTTCTCCCAGCGGAAGCACTATCGTCAGGACTACCTCCCGCAGCTCTTACTAAATTGTTACAGGCGCCGCACGCACGCGAGCTGTTGCTGAGATCTTCGCACAGCCGCTGGAAGCCGCCGGACTGGCACAGCGTTTTGCCAGAGGGACAGACGCACTCGCCCGCGATGCACCGCGCCTCACCGCACTGCCGTCAGGCCATCAGGGAGGAAACACGCACATGGTTGAAGCAGCTGCCGCAGCTGGCGCGGTCGTCCTGCAGATTGAGGCAACTTGCATCCCCGAACTCGTCGATACAGACCGTTTGGCCCGGTGCACAAGGCGTGCACTTGCTCGCGACGCATACCTGGCCCGCGGAACACTTCGTCAGCATACCCTGACTTCAGCATACCTTGTTTCCGCAACCGCCGCAGTTGTTCATGTCGCGCTCGAGATCAGGACACTCGGACGCGCAGCGAGGCCGGCCCGAGTTGAGACACAGACATCTGCCGCCCTCGCAGTATTCCCGGCGATAGAGGCATTCGGTGCCGCAGGCGCCGCAGTTCAGGATGTCGCGGTCGAGCTCTGCGCAGCCGTAGAAGCCACAGTCTGTTTGCGTGGGCGGGCACGCTGGTTCTTGAGGGTGCGCGGTGACGCGCAGTGCACGCCGGACTGGTTGTTAGCGATGCCACCGTGAGGTCGCACGAAGGAGGAGGCTGAGGGTAAGCCGGGGCATTGCTGACTGACTGGAGAGGATAGGATGGCGGCGTGAGGATGAAGTTGTGCGAAGGGCGGGAAACATGCGATCATGGTCAGCGGAGGGCTGGACACTGCTCCTGTGCCTTGGCTGCAGGCCCCGCTCGAGTACGCAGTCACGAGGTTGGCAGCATCGCGGATCCGCGGAATGTCTAGGCAGGATAAAGTTAAGCTTGATGTATATCGGTGCTGCATCTATCGAGTGCCTCAGTTCGATTGTAAGTCGCCGCCTACCTCTCGTGACGTGTCGCGGCGCAGCGTATGAATAATCTCGGTCCAAGGATGTGGGAGAGGCGGAGGGACACCGCAACCCACACTTTCGCTCGCAATCGCCTGTGAGAGGTTTGTGGCACTCTCGAATTGATTGGGGATTGCGGCAAATGATACGCCACAAACATGTTGCAGGCTCCAAGTGGCTGCATTGCATGTCTCCCGCTGTAACATTTACAAGCCTTCATTTCTGCGACGAGCTAGGGCAAGCGGGCTCGCGGATGCGCTTACTCGTTCTGAGTCGCATCGTGACGGTCAACGTTGTGTCCCAGACGTCGCTCTCGCCGCATAACTCAGGCAAACGCAGGCCAGTTCGCCTTTTCCCCGGGATTTCGATCAAGTGTGCCACGATTCTAGGGGTAGGAAGACTTGTTGATGTACCGCAAGCCATTGACGCCGCCAGGCTCACGGCACACCAGCAGCCCAGCGGCCCAGCGGAGCAAGCCGCAGACGTGGCTCATGCGTTCTTCGCGCGTCCTCGCGGCGGCGCAGCCCAGCAGATCCCGCGCCTCCTCGCCACGCAGGTTGTCATATCAATCTGTGTAGCACTCTGGACACCCTCGCAGCCCACTTCCGAACCTGGAGTACACCTTGTGGAAGGACGCGAGCTACACCCGCTCCATCGAGCTGAATCTCGGTCGATGGTCTCAAGCCCCTTTAGCTTGCCCAAAGGTAGCATGAGCCGACACACAAGCACGACAGGGGCCTGTTCCGTGCATTGTAGCGCCTCTGTAGGTTGCAGGGCGCGCTCCGCGGTGCAAAACGTGGCCATCGCTCTCGATATCATCGGCCGCTTAGCTCAGCTGGTTAGAGCATTGTACTAATACGCAGACGCGTATCAGCATATGCAAAGGTCGGCAGTTCGATCCTGTCAGTGGTCAGTCTTCTACTCTCGAGTCAAATCGAGAGTCGGGAACTCTTTTGCGAAGAGTGCCTTTTGAGGTTGCGAGGGTCCATCTGCGAGTGGAGGAGAGCAGCACCGGCGGAGGATCTCGTTGAAATTGCCTGTGCCTGAGGGAGTGGAGGCATATCAGGCTTAGTAAAAATGTGGTTCACTTGTCTTCCGAACCAGGCGGATCTCGCACCTGCATTTGCTGTGGTGAACAGGGAGGGTCCCCGATTCTGACAGTTTGTGCTGAAATGCGCTAAATTGTCCATGACCACTTGGGGGATACTGGTAAGGATGGAGTCTCCGATAGTCTGCTGGGCCAATTCGACGGGAGGGGAGGCTAGGGGGCCTGGGAAGGAGGGAATGGCATCACATACTGCGGGGAGTGGCAGGTGCACCTCAGCAACCCGGCGCGCCTCAATGCAAGCAGAACGACAGGTGAACAATGCGCTTAGACACGATGTCTCGTCGCATGTCAAGTTGGGAGTCTCGCCAAACCAGTCGACTGGGCGATTCGAAACCGCCTGAACTGCGGCTTCGGGATCCAGCGCTGCAAAGCTCTCCTCCCCTACTTTCACAGCCTGTCGCCTTGCCCGCCATGCCTGCCTGAGAAGGGTGTTCCTTGTCCGAGTGCTTGGACGTAAGAGGGAGAGCGTTTTCGAGAATCCTACGTCGTTGGGCCTATGGGGACGCCGATAATGGGACAAGCCGCACGTGGTACCCCGTGGGGCAGGCTATCGGCCGTCACCGTCGCGATCGATCGGTCCACCTCTTCGTGATGACTACCGCATCGCTTATCCTCATTCACCACATATCAGCAATGAGCGGCAACCTCGAATGGGCCTCGTCCCCATCATCGTTCTCTACATCGCGTGCCCCACGCAACGGGCAAAAGGGTGAGTCGACACGCCTGGAGCGGCTGATACCAGTGACCGCTCCTTTCACTCCTTCCGGGGCAGACTACACGCCGAGCAAGGGGTTTGCCGCACTGCCTACCTCCTTCCAGGGCGCGTCGACCGGTGTTGTCGAGACCGCGCGCCACTTTAGTGGAGGGGGCATAGAGGGCTGGGCGAGTTTAACCTATATAATGTAAGACTACGAGCGGCAGCGCTGACGGCAGCCTGCACTCGCTCACAGACCCATCGCGCACGACGTTCGCGGGGTTCATGAACTTCTCGGGCTCGGTGCTCGGAAAGCAGGGCGGGTTTTCCGCGCATGACGAGGGCACGTGCCAGCCGGACGGGACGATTGATGCGCGCTGGCGCATTGTAGATGGCTCAGGAACGGGTGCGCTTGTGGGAATTGCTGGCGCTGGCGCGTATCAGATCCTCAAGGCCAACCAGCCGGGGGAGGAAACCGTGCCGCACGCTGAGATGATTGTTCACTTGCCCAGTGAGGGCTACTTAGACTGATGTACACATACGCAATCTCATCCGAGCAAGGCCACAGACTGATTTAGCGATCACAGTCACCTGCTAAGACTCACTGCCATGTCGCCGGCGATACTCAAGGTCCTCACGCATCACGAGCAGAGACAATTAAGAAGACGAAGGTTCCGTCAAGGAATGACCTCTGAGCGATACTCTTCTCGTGCTTATCTTCCGTTGTGGAGCGGGCGCGGCGTTCCGTCGGCGTAGAGCTACAGCCCTCCCGCATTCCACGGGCCCCAGCGTATCCCAGAGACGAGTATGAGGTCGCATGTGCCCGCTCGTAAATGTCATAAAGCTACGACTGTCGTGATAGACTTTTGGGCAAACCTTGCAAGCAGTCACGTCCACGAAGTTACTCCGAGCGCAATTCATTTCATGCCGAGACCATACATGATTAAGCGACCGATTCTGGGCTTCAGAACCCTAAACGCACTTTCCGCTGATGCAGTTCTTGCCCACAACACACTTATGGGTCAGCTCTTCACGACGAGCGCTATGGAGCTCACTTTGTTGCCGCATTTCCCGCAGTGGCGGTTGTCGTTGCTTGTATTGATGCAATCTGAGCCACACCTCACTTGGCCCCAAGGGCAGCCGCTGTTCTGCTCGCAGCGGCCACCCACACAGTTCGACCCGGGCTGGCACTGAGGTCGGCACACTGCCTTTCACGTGACTCACCTTATTGCCACACCAACCACAGTTCTGGTTGTCATTCTTGAAATTGGTGCATCGGTTGCCGCAGAAATATTGGTTGTTGGAGCACTTGATGCAGATGCCTGCCACACACCCCTCAATGGGTCCTCCGTTCCAGCCGTTGCACTGCTCTCAGCTGGATCAATGCTCTACGTACAGTGTTTCCGCATTTGCCGCAGGAGTATCCACTTGTGTTGAGGTCGGCGCATGACTGTCCGCACAGGGTCTGTCCAGGGGGACAAATACACGCACCTGCGACGCAGGAAGCGCCGCTTGCGCACTTGATCAGCACAATCGGTAAAGCAACTTACATGGCGACTGCACTCGCCGCAGTTGTAGATATCAGTCTTCAGGTCGCGGCATACGAAGCCGGCCTGATCCCAATAGTCAGGGCATTTGGATAGTCCGTCTGAGCACGAGTTGATGCACTTTCCCTGTACGCATCCCTGGCCTTGCGCACACTGCGTTAGTCAACGCTAATGGCTTGAGTTACCTGAATGTTACATCCGCCACAGTGTCTCTCGTCGCTCGCATAATCAAAGCATTGATCCCCAACGCATGGCGGAAGGCCTGTGTAATCACACACGCATTTACCATTGGAACAGATAAAACCATCCGCACCGTGCCATCGTGGACAGGTGTGCGCACACTGGCCGCAGTTGAACACGTCCTTACGAAGATCGATGCAGCGACCGGCGTTCTCGCAGTAGGTCTCACCCGTTGGGCATGTTGGCGTGTCCCGGGGAAGCGTTGCGCCGCAACAGACGCCCGTGACTGTGGCTGTGAGCGAGGAAACGTGCCACTCACAAAGGGCTGCGATGAATGCGATTAAGGCGGAGAAATTCATGTTGGCAGGCGTGGATTGGGCGGATTGGGAGCAGATGACACGACAGCGAGAGTATCCCAGTCAGTGGGCGACCTTTAAGTCATGCCTTTGCGATCACTTGACAAGAGGAAACTTTGGAGTACGGCGCTCCACGCCTGAGAACGACGGGAGTGTGATTCCGTGATTTACGCTTCTGTTGCGTAACGAGTTGAGGAATGCTTCACGCGACTCAGCTGACATGACACGGTCTGCCCCATGCGCAAGTCAGTTGAGGGCTTGACGCACGTCGTTTGAGAGGCCAGTATACACGCGGACGTGATCGGCGGAAAACAAGAATCGTTGAGGTGTAGCCAGGTATCTGAGCCGTTGTAGATACATTGTCTCGCATGCGGCTTCAGATTGGTGAGGATCGTAACTGATGAGCAAAGCGATCTGACTATCTGTATAAAGTTGCCGTGAAACGTAGTTCTTCCACACCGCAGGTCGCACAGGTCAGATGCCCAGTTGCATTAGCCCCACGCATCACCTCCTCGACGAGTCGCACCGGTACCCGTTCTTCGCCGCCAGCGACGACGGCCGCTTTCCCTTGCGTCTAGAAATAGCTGCCGGGCCAGGGGCATGGCTGATGCATCGCACGAGTCGCGCATGCCTACTCCACTACCTTGGCGACTGAGGTGTCGACAAATGTCTCCAGATCCCACTGCTGTCCCTCCTTCGGGATGACTCCCGCCTCTTGGAGCATACCCAGCGTCTTGCGCACTACTGCCTCACTGACCTCACCAAGTCGGTGCTCCCATTTCACCGTCTTGAGCCATTCCTCGATGTCCGCGCGCTGCTGTCCAAATGTCTTCTCCACGAATTCAATGGCAGGGCCAGCACGGCTTGCCTCCGAGTCGAAGTCGATGACGTGTGGCTGCAACTCTGCGAGGAAGGTCTTGACAGCCTCCTTATCCGCGGCGGGCGCCGCTGCGATGGACCAGCACGGCCAAGGGGCTGTCATCAGCTTCGCGATCCAAGCCTCCGACAAGACTTACTGTATACAGAGCCAATAAAACGGACCTCACCCGAGTCCACGTACGGCTTGGTCGTGAACCACTCCCACAGGAAGACAGAGGCTATCGTCAGCTCATAAGGACTTTGAGGTGCGCACTGTCGCCAGCATTGACCGAATCCCGAAGCGGCTTGAATTGACCGTTGACCTTGAACTTGGGCTGCTCGTCCGGTCCCCAGCCCTGCTGCAGGCTGAGTACTGAAGCCATAACCTGCGATCCACTGCCATCAGTTCAATCGAGGATCGAGTGCACGTACGATCCGAGACGCGAGATGCCAAATGTCGTGCCTTTGAGCTGGTCCACCTCAGTGTACTTGGAATCCTTTCCAGTGATAATAGCCCAGCGTAGCGGCGAGGAAATGTAACGTCCTACGAGCTTGTAGTCCGTCTTGCCGTTCGCCAGGCCAGCAATGAGGGCATCCGTAAGAGCTGAGCGGGTGTAAGCGTGGGTGAAGGTGCCGCAGCGTAGGCCGGAAGGAGGTGGCGACGTCCATCGTACGCTGCATTGATCTCACAGAGCAAGGCATCGACTCTCTCGCATGACTTACCAATGCACACGTCAATTTCGCCATTCTTGAGCTTGACCTGCATCTCGCCGGTACCACCGGGGCATTCCACAAGCTGCAGAGATTTGCCAGCATCCTTGGCGACGAGCTGGAGGAGAGGCGAAAGGAAATGTTCGCGGTGCCACCCTACTCGAAGGAGGCGCGGGGCGGACATGGCGAGCGTTTGGCTGAGTGACGACGTCGAGATGGATCAGTCGACCAGCGCGACCAGGTGAACTCGGAATGCCAACGACTACTGGGTCGCGTGGGTCGCATTAGAGCGGAGGTATTTCCATTAGGGCATTAGCTTCTGCTATCTCTCCGCTGATTGCCGCTTTAACCGGCAATGCGGAAAGTGGAGGTCCGGATATGACCGCGGTTGGTGCGATCTCGACTCGGTTTCTCTTCTCATCATCTCTGATCCAATCTACCTCGCTGTCATCCACTCTTACTTGCTCGGCTTTGTTATCATAGCAGCTCAAACTGTGATCAGAGGCCTTTATTGTACACGGTCACCCATTGTCGTGCCTGCAACTTGGACGTCTGCCTCCACCATCTTCAACTGGGTAGTCACCAGCTACAACCATGGCACCCCCAATCTCTGCGACTGAGGATCTCGCGTCCGGTGCTTCCTCCGGCGTCGCGACCCCCACTCTTGCGCCGCTCAAGCGTACTGTTCTCCCGACGGACCTGGCGGCGTTTGTGGTTGACCCTTCCATGCCCAAGGAGTGGCCGATCGGCCTTCCTTCTCAAGACGCCCTGACCCACTTGAGTGCGGAGAGCCGGGCGTGCGTCGAGAACTTTGCCGCACACACCCCGGTGGAGCAGCCAGAGTAAGTTAATCTGTAGGATTTGAGAGCTGACAACAGGGTGGGGCAGGCGCGCCGCGCCGCCGTGCTCATTGCACTGTACCAACCAGAAGGGTCGGATGATCTGCGAGTGCTGCTAACCACGCGGGCAAAGCACCTCAGGAGGAACCCGGGACAGACGGTAACGTTGCATAGGAAATTAAGACGCTGACAAAAGGCTTTACCAGGAGGAAAGGTGGACGAGGATGATCCTTCACCTGTTTACACGGCGGTGCGCTTGCGGAAAGTCGATGGATCTGACGATAGCGCCGTGAAGCCTTTGAGGAGGCTGGTGTACCGCTTGCTAGTCCACACGTTCACGTTTTGACAGTTCTTGATCCTGTGCTCACTGTACTACCGATGAACGCTCACTTGAAGAATCATATTGTCGTCACGCGTACGTTCAGTCTCTCACTGCAAACGGCTGACATCAGCTGTCGTTGCGTTGATTTCGGACCCGGCACTTGTGACCACACTCCGACCCAACCCCGACGAGGTCGAGTGCATTTTCGATCACCCTCTTAAGGCGATTCACACAGGCATAGTGGAAGGCGAGCTTGCTGAGAACCTCAACCTGAGCGACACGAACTGGTGGCCTGGGCCCACCGAGTTCCATGTGAGTACACCCTGTAAAATAAAACAAGAACGACGCAGCAGCTAAGATCAGTCGCTTGAGGATGTCACCGGATCGACAGGGTCGTACAGGATGCACGTCAGTTCTTGGAGCTCGTTTCGGACGCCAGTTGACTTCAGCGCTTCCGCACCCGCCACACTCCCATTCGCGGGTTTACTTCGGACGTGCTGATTCGGGCGGCCGCCCTCGGCTTTGGTGGCGAGCCCGAGTACGGCCATTACGCGCCTGATCAACCAAGCTGGCCTGAGACAATTGATTGGGTGGTCCAAGGGCTACCAGCGGCACTCGAGGAGCCCGATACAGAAAAGCGACGTCTGGAGTGGCGCACGGCGACAGGCGTGCGGGCAAGCGGACAGCGCATCGAGTGATATCTAGATAATAAAGTACAGTACAGCTACTCGGCCTCCTCCTCATACTCATCGCCCGCTTCATCCCACCAGTTGGTCAGGCCGAGCCCCTGCTCACTGACGTTGGCGAGAATCACATACCCCGCCTTCTCCTTGGGGTCCTTCTCCTCATCTTCCTCGGTAGTCTGTGACCTGTCGACAGGCGGTCCGGGCTCGTGTTCGTGCCACTCGATTGTGTCGACGCGAAAGCGAATCGGCTCTCCTGGGTCATAGTAAAAGCGTTCTGACGTAAGCTGCAATCAGAAGCGGTGACTCGACATACCAGACTTGAGCGTATTTGCAAGAGCAGTCGCGTCCAAGTCCTGCTCCCCGCTATACCAAAAGAATCTGCGCTCGTTCTCGTCACTGGGGTGAGCTCATGGTGGGACGTGCTGCCGGCTGCCACTTTAGGCACTTACTACATGGAGTTGGGCGGTAGCAGTGACGGAGGCACATAGATGTCCTCGAAGAATCCCAGCGTGATACGGATGTAGCTTGGTGTGCACGAAAGCACCTTGCCGACGATAACTTCCCCGACAAAGGGTGCGAACAGCATGAGGCGGAAAGAGACTACTGTCAGCACAACTTGGCAAAAGGTGTGGTTGAACGCCGAAGAACCGGCGCCGCAAAGCGAATCCTCGTCAGCCGCCGCCGCCACAAACCACACTTTGTGAGGGCGAACCCGCGCCCCAAATTTAGGCATCTCAACCCCGCCCACCCAATGTATCTTTTAGACCTCGTCCACCTTCAGGCTCGTCTCCATGTCGGCCCAAGCATGCCGCGGGCATCGCAGATCCACTTACCCTTATAGTACATCTGACCGTTGCCCCAGGTGACGCGTCCGTCCTCGGCTGTCAAGATGTCGAACACGCTTAACCCCAGCCCGCGATCAGGTATGAGCTTGTTGGCAAATCTGTGATAAGTATGCCTCTTAATCCACACCAGAACTTCTACCTCTCGTCTCCTTCCCGTCTCGACACACATCCATTCTACTCACTTCTTGTTCAACGCATCTTGAATACACAGCGCCGGGTCAAGCCCAAACGCTTTGGGCGCAACGGGCACCGTGTCCTACAATTAGCCCCGCGTCATCAGAACGCACCTTGATGGCAATGAGGTTGAACATGCTATTGCATGCTCTGTTGTGGGTGATGACAGCTGACGAGGCCGCAACAACAACTCGGTCGCAGAAATCGTCCGACCTCCACCTTGTGGTAACATGATGATTTGAAAAGCCACGTCGTTTGCACGCGCGCTGCACGTGTACGTCATGTTGTCCAGAATTTCGGCCATCATGTTCCAGCGGCGGCGGAAGATCTTGTTTGCGTTTCACAAATCCTCGGTCTCACTCGCCGCCGCCGTCGCCGTCGCCGCGCACCGATTTATTGGGGTTCATCAATCTCCCCGACCTTTATCGGTAGCCTCCCCCTCCCACCCGCCTCGCACTCCACTGTCACCACCTCATCTCATGTCCTCCTCCACTGTGTCGGCCTCGACCTCGGGGCCATCACCACCCGGCGCGGGTGTGGGCAAAGCATTGCATCTCCCGAAGACGCACAAGCAGCTGCAGGGGTGGCAGCACTCATTCGCTGGATCGTGAGTTTGCTGGGGGCAGGTTGATGTGGTCGTGCGAGCCGGAGGTGGCGATGCCATACTTCTAGCGAGTCGTTCGAGAGGTGTGACGTGAAGAATGCGGCTAACCCCAGCCTTGGAGGCATGGCCGGCGCTATCGTGACCTCGCCCTTCGATGTCGTGAAGGTGAGCTTTGCCCTCAGACTCTATCCCACTCTTTCTTACTCCTACACCGCCAGGGCGCCGCTGACCTAAGACCCGTCTCCAGTCCGATCTGTTCAAAGGCCCGCATCCGGGGTCCGTCAACCAGGCTTCCGGGACAGGAGCGGCCGGCGTTATGCGCCACGAAGCCACTATGGCGGCGCAGAACTCGACCATGAAGCGCGGCTTTGTGTGGCAGTTTGTGGACACAATTCACCTCATCAGGTAAGTTGGTCACAATTTCACCAGCATCTCAGTTGTAGTTGCGGCTGACATCAGGCGGATACAGGTCGAAGAGGGATGGCGCGCACTTTACAAGGGCCTGGGGCCAAGCTTGGGAGGCATTATCCCTGCACGGTGAGTCATTTCTTGCAGACGGACCATTGCTGACCTCAGCGCGATCAATTTCTACTTCTACCCCACGTCCAAGGCTTTCCTTGCCAAGCAGTTTCCGAATGCGCCCACAGAAAAGGAGGGGCAGACTGCCGAGGACTCGCCGCTGATCCACCTTGGGGCGGCTGTCGTAGCTGGCGTCATGACGTCGACTGGCACGAACCCAATCTGGGTGGTGAAGACGCGTCTGCAACTGTCTGCGAAGCGTCGTGAGGAGACCCTCGGGCGGCGCGTGTCACCTTCTGCCTGGGCTGTAACGAAGGACATTTTGCGCACGGACGGCTTCCGTGGTCTGTACCGCGGTTTGTCGGCTTCCTACCTGGGTGTATCGGAGGGCGTCATCCAGTGGGTGCTGTACGAGCGGTTGAAGCGCATTGGGCGCTCCAAATCTGTCTCGCTGGACGACGAGAAGACTGGCATTTTGAGCTATGTTGGAAGCATCGTCGGCGCATCCGGAGGCGCCAAGGCGGTCGCTTCGCTCATCACGTATCCGCACGAGGTCATCCGCACGCGACTTCGTCAACCCCACAATGGTACGCCAAAGTACACCGGCCTTTTGCAGACGCTCAAGCTCGTGGTCAAGGAAGAGGGCGTGGCCAGCCTGTACGGCGGTCTTACAGCCCACATGTTCCGCGTCGTGCCCAACGCCGCGTGCATGTTCCTCATTTACGAGCTGGTCGCTGCAAAACTGGGATCGTAGACATTCATCTTACACACCCCTCATACACATACCCACTCTGCATGTATCACTAGCATCGCAAGGCGCTTCGGTGTTGGAGTCGACGTTTTGTGATGAGAGGAAGTGACGTCATTGTGCTGACTTTTTTGGCCTAGACGCTTCGTTGGATCGTCGGTATGGTATGCCGCCTCGTTTGATCGTCAGATCGCCAGGTCAAGCTGGTTTGTGTGCCACCTTCCGCACGCACTGAGTGCTGCAATGTGCATGCTGCATGGTATTACAACGGATTATTAGATATCCGATATCCTGCGTCTATCTATAATGCCTGACAGGCCGGGGTCCATGTTGGGACAGCCCGTCTCCTCATCTCTCTCCGCCCAACGCCAGTACGCCAGCCGCCTACTTCTTGGCCTTGGCTGCCTGCGCGTCCTCGTACACCTTGTCGTTGAGGCCATTGCGGTTGCGCACAATCTCGATGGCGACAAACTGGGCGCGGGTGACGAGCATGCTGTTCTCCTCCGAATAACCACGGTCCGCGTCCTTGCGCACAAGCGTGCCAAAGTTGTACTCGGTCAGGCTCTCCTGGTAGCCTTGGATAAATTCGCGCCACCGAACCTTGTTTGCGGGGCTCTTGAACTCGTCCTCGTTGATGTGGAGGAGTAGCCCGGGGTTCTCCTTGTACTCCGGGAAGCGGGTGTAGAGGTCGGCGACGATGTCATCGTCCATCCTGGAGTCAGCTGGTGCCCAGAGGCTCGAGAGAGGAGATGGGCAGCTGGCGGACTGCCATGGGACAGGACCGGAACAGCGCACGCGAAGGAGCCCGCAACTCACGAAGTAAGCTTGATCTTGCTTGGGGGAATGCCAGTGATAAGCTTCTCATATGCCTCGAGGTGCTCGACCGTCTTGACGGCCTTGGAGTCAGCACAAACAATGCTTCAGTTTCCTGCAAGGCTCCAGTGTTCAAGTAGTAGCAGCTCGCTAGCATGGCGCGCAAGGCAACTCACAAACTGCATCTCAATCTCCTGCATGTTGCCCGCCTCCTCGGGGTTGAACTCGTTGAGGTTCTCGATAGGGTGCGCCATGGTGTCTGTGTGCTTGGTGTGCTGTGCGGTGGGAGGGAGGTTGCTCGTGTGCTGCTTTTAAGCTACGCGTCTCGTTGCTGATGCGAGTGATGAGGAGAGCGAAGAGGGGAGGAGGTCGGCGGATCTGCGGCGGAGAGTGAGCTGGTACGCTGCAGTGCGTTGTGGAGGGTGCTGGCAAATCTCATGTTCTGCCACGCGACAATTTGATGCCGCTTCACACAGTGGCATTAGTAGCTGCCCCACTCCAATTGTGGAGGTGGAGGAGCGGAATCAGATGATGTTGTCGCCCTGGGATACGGAGTCGTGCCTGTTGTGATCAGTTGTTGTGGTGTGGTGAGAGGAGGGGAACGACACACGTCCACCTCATCCTCGATCTCACTCTCCCAAACTCTCATCACATTCATTGATCCATCTCCTCTCATCTCTCCTCATTCTTCCCAGCTATGCAGGGCCAACGCCCACTTCCAATACCTGCTCGCTCGTCCTCAAGAGACAATCCAGCCATGGCTGCACCACCCGCCACCCGAGCTGCCCCTTCCCCTGCCCTCTCCCATTCAGCATCCTTAGCTGCACCTGCGATCGTGCCCGAAGCCAGCGACGACGCAAGAAGCACATCATACTCGCGCTCGGACACGGCTTCCATCGCTGGCACTTCAGTATCAAGCAGAATGCCGTTTCCCCCCGAAGACGTGCCGCCAGTCCAGGCATACGCCGCGGCGTCCGTGCCCGCCGAGCCCCTGCCCGACTCGCTCCTATGCCGGTCTACCTTTACCGCGCTCGAGCATTCGGCAGGCACGCTCAAGCGCTTGGCCAAGCATGTGCTGGACCGTAGCAGTGAGGTGCTGAGCTTGCTCGAGCAGGTGGAGAAGGCGGAGGACGAGATGCTTGCGACTCTGGGCACGTTGGGGCGCTGGCTCGAGGGCGGCTACGGGGTGAAGGGAGAAGTCTGGGAGGACACAGTGGGGATGCGCAAAGTGGCGCGGGAGAAGCGCCGGCGCGAACGGGAAGAGCTCGAAGTCATGGTCGTACATTCCCTTGAGGCCGTCAAAGGCGAGATCAAGCGGCAAGGTCTCGCTGGGAACGGCGCACAGGCGCGTTTCGAGGTACGTCGAGATCTAGATCGCGCTCATGACAGAACACGGCCAAGCAATACTATGGTGCCACGGCCGCATATCTCAACGGCGAGCGTGACGCGACTGGAGGAGAACAAGCACAGGCTGCACGGCAAGCACAGTTCGACCTAATGCGGTACAACCACCACTCGACGCTGCTGTATGCTGTGCCGCCCAGTTCCGTCGGGTGTCTCGACCTCCTCGTGGGGTTGTACGGCTGGGTAGGGGCTGTGCTGAGCCAATCACCTGGCAAGCGCGCCGACACACACCCTCCATTGCTCGAGGAAGATTTTGCGCGGCGCGCCGCCAACGCGACCAGCGGCGCCGAGACGCCCACACAACGCGGGCGCGCGCTTGCGGTTAGCGAAACACCCGTTCGGTTGCTTTTACGCGATGACGATAGCGTGCGCGGATCGCACGAAGCGCTATCACGCACATTATCGCTCTCGCTTGCACACCTCGTCAACGTCCGCGGCGATCTGCTGCGCGGCTGGGCCGCGCGCGAAGAGCAAACGACGTTGCTTGAGGAGTCGGCGAGGCGCTTGCAGGGCGTGGCTAATGCCGCCCCAGTTCCGCAGCACCACCTGGCGCCTTCCTCCAGCTTCCCCGACCCACCTACCACGCCAGTGACGCCGACAGCCCGCGACAAGCCCAAGAAGCGGATCGGTGGCAAGATTCGCGGGCTGTTCTCGTCGGCATCGACGGTGACGATGCCATCTTTGGCCGAGCGAGCGCCGCCCGTCTCATCGTCCAACCTCGCGCAGATCGCCTCCAGAAAAAGCGTGGACCTTTCTAAGATTGCAGACGCTGGGATATCGCACATCAGCGATCCTCGTTTGATCTCTACGACCTCGTCGCAAGCCACGTCGTCGGCGCGGGCCGCAGAACAAGCGAGCATCCGCGACACGGCATCGGCCTTCCCCATGCCGCCCCCTCGACCCGCTAGAGCTGACGGACGTCAGTCAGTTGACGCGCGCCGCTCCTTCCCCATTCCTCCTGGACGGGGACCGTTCGTCGCCGTTGACGAGGCGATGCCGACACCATCCACCCCATCAAGTAGATCCAAGGTGTTGGCTGACACAGCCGCCAAGTTGAATGGCGTGCAGGTTGGCGGCGTCGGCGGACTCGACGGCACCGAAGACGAACAGCGCGAGCTGGTAGGGCGGAAAAAGGAGGGTGTGTTGTGGGGGACTGGCTCGTGGGAGGCGCTGGACCGTGATCCAGGACGGTCCAAGTGGGAGCGTAAGTTATGCAGCAGGGTATAGCTGACAGCAGGCTTCTGGGTTGTCTTGGCCAACTCGAGCTTGTACGAGCATCGTGATGCGACGCCTGGCAAACCCGAGGCATCTGCGACTATCATCGATCTGAAGTTCGCGAGCGTGCGCGAGGGACGTGGGACGGACCGTCGTTTCGTGTTCGAGGTGGTGACGCCGTCCCACGGACGCAGGATGTACCAGGCGACGTCTGAGGCTGAGATGCGCACGTGGATCTACACGCTCTGCAACGCGATCGAGTCGTGCATCAACGGAACGTCGACGATGCGCTCTTCTGATCGTCGCGCCATGGAGGAGAGCGGAGGCGGGAGTGTAAGCGTCGGGAATGTTGGCGCGGGCATCGGAGCGACCAGCACGAAGGACCGGCGCAAGAGCTCGGGGTCGAAGAAGAAGGCAGCCCGGCAAAGTCTTGGCGCGACGGCGATGGCGCCGCCGCCTCCGCCAGTTGAGGAACCGCGCAAGCGGCGCACGAGTTTCAAGAGTCGACTGAAGCAGGGCGCTGAGGCAGCGGGCGACAGACTGTCGACAGTGGTCGGTTCGAAGAGATCGTCCGTCGACCTTGAGCGCCCGGCCTTCCTAGCGCAGGGGGGGCGAATGCCGAGTTACAACACAAGCAGCGTCAACTCGACCTCGCGCAGAACGAGCTGGTACGAGGATGACGAGATTGAGCGGCGCGTCCTGGAGATGGCGGGAGTGGACGCGGCTTCGCAGAGATCGCGCTCGCGTAGACCTGGCACCGCACCGTCGGGCAGTAGAGCACGCTCGGATGACTCGGCAGGCAGAGGAGGCCGGTTGGCTGTTATAGAGCCAGGGCGCCGCCCGCCCCCCTCGCCGGCGCTGGATGTGGCTGAGCCACAGCTGAACATGGAGTACCTGCGTCATCTCGCGAGCATTGGCGCGAACGCGCGCTGCGCGGACTGCGGCCGAACAACCAAGACCAGCCGCTGGGCGACGATAAGTACGTTCAACGGTGGACATGACGGGACGAGCTAACGCCAGGCCTGCGCGAAGTGCCGATGGTCATGTTCTTGTGCATCCGCTGCGTGGGGTTGCACCGTGGACTGGGAACGCACATCTCGAAGCCGCGTAGTGTGGACCTGGACAACTGGACGCCGGACGCAGTGCAGTTGGCCCAACAGTGGGGCAACGAGCGTGCCAACGGGGTGTGGGAGGCGCTAAAGCCTGTGGGACACATGCCGGGCGATGATGACGTGGCCGAGTACATCCAGGCGAAATATGTTGAGGGGCGGTGGCTGGCGGATGAGAACCGCGCGCGGTTTGGTCTCGCGCCGAGGCATTGAGATGAGGATGGGTGGATGGCGGCATCCTGACAGGACGTCTAACTTATAATGTAGTTTAGCATGCCCACTCGGGCGATGTTGTGTCATAGCATATGCATGGGACATGGGGGTGTTGTGAGATGGCCTGGGGTGCGCCAGTAAGGGGTGCCGGGGTGCGAGGGCTGGATGATGCGTGCTGGCTGAAGGCTGAAAGTTGCACCCCCAACGATCTCCGTCATTGGTCGTGCCGCGTGCCGATGGCCGTCGGCGCCGAACCTGGGAGCGATTGTCCATATGACTGGAAACGAATCGAATCGGGCAGATCCATCGGCGAGCCGCGGAAAGTGGATGGATGGTATGGTGGAGTTGGGATGGGAGCTCACATCATGTAGCTCACATGAGATGGCAATGGCCGGCCCGCGGCATACTTGGTTGGCGCTTTACAGCCTGAGATGAGGGGCATGAGCGGGTCACGCTTAGCTCTTGAGCTCTTTAAGCTCTTTGCTCACACTTGCAGCCATGCAGTCATGTCTCGAGCGCCACCGTCACGCCCTGCTGCCTGCCATGGTCTCGCCAGCTCGCCACACCCTTTCTTGGCCGCGCGGCCTAGTTCCTACCCCTGCTGTACACCCTTTTGCCTTTGGCCTTTGACCTTTGGGCGTCTGCACGACCTGGGGCCTGCAACTGTAACCTGTGACCTGCGTTGGAACGAGCGTGAGCGTGAGCGTGGGCATGAGCATGAGCATGAGCATGAGCATGAGCATGAGCATGAGCATGAGCATAACGCAGGCCTGCGTTCGTCATCTACAGTGCGGCAGCGGATGAAACGAGCTGCGTCCCCAAGGCGGTGACGTAACGCGTCCAGGAGGGCGACGCACTTGCTGTCGGATTCAGCCGTTGACGGTCGACGGCTTGACGGCTCGACGGCTCGACGGGTGCAGGTGACAGGTGTCGCTACGGTCGCTACACGTTTCGAGTTGTACGCGCTGCCGAGCTACGGAGCGATGGAGCTATGGAGCTGGTCCCTCCTTGCCAATCGCAAATGGCGGCTGGACAGATCTAGCGCCGACATGTTTCGAGTGGGAGAAACTGTGCTTGGCCACTCCTAAGAATGCACGACTATGAATGTCTGTTGCAGACCTCCTACGTCGTTCACGACTCACTCTGAGACGAAGGCGTCTATATTCTCTACATTCTCATGCCTCTCTTTCATGATTTCATGAGAGCAGCAAGACCAGACATGACCAGTGCAGCGTTCCTGATGCAGGGAATGCCGCTCCCTTTCCCTGAGTCACGCGTCAACATTACATGACCAAATGACTCGACGCGGAATCAGAAACCCTTCTTGGCCAATCAGAGCGAACGATTAGCGTCCGCGTCTGACACGCGCGCCGTGTGTTGCTCAGGGCAGCGAGTCTGTTCAGGGAAGGATTACATGCCACGAACAGGTCTGTGCGACCAGGACTCAGCTGTCCGACATTTGCTGGTGCATTGCATTTATGAGATCCAAACTGCAGACTGCAAACTCAAGAGGACAACAAGAGATTGCGAGGGAGGACGAGGCCAGTAGCGGCCATAGGGGAATGCAAGCATTGGTTTGCGTTGCGCGCTGACCCGACATACTGCAAGTGGACTGCGGTGTGCTGGACGCGAGGCTGAGGCGAGTCTCATATGAGCCAGGCCCCAGGCCCATTGAATGCTGGCCCTAATAGTTTCCCTCAAGCCTGAATACAAATGTCCTTTGGTTTCCTATTAGTCCTGTCATCTGAGCCAACTCCGTCTACAGTATCCATCCTCGTCCTCTTGTTCATCTTGCTCTCCTCTCCATCTCTCCATCTCTCCATCTCTCATCTCTTCATTGTCGTCTTTACGTCCCCCATCACTGCCATCTGCAACGTCTCCTGTACCATTGTACAATCATTCAATCACTCTCTACACAGGCCGTGGTCACTGGCCCCTCCCTCCACCCTAGACGCGTCTTTGTTCCCTGCCCCACCACACCCTCGACAAGCCTTCATCTCGCACCCTCCCCATCATCCCATCCATTTACTCCATCCACTCCATCCACTCCATCCACTTCATCCACTCCATCCACTCTTAGCAGCTCTTGCTCCCGGTCGTCACGTAGCATCCCTCTTCTCGCGCTCTGTACACACCCGTCGCTTGTCGGTCCCAAATACCACACGCTTGATCGACGCCCAATCGCCCTTCCCCACCAATACCCACCCACCCACACACATCCCTCCTACCATGCCCGCCCCGAAGCGGACACGCTCTACTGCTACGGCTGGCGACCTTACAGACAACGAGGATGTCACCAACAACCACCGCTCCGACGCCGGTTCAACACGCGACCAGGAGTCTTCCCCGGCCACCACTCCCCGCGTCACGCGCAGCAACCCTCTCCGCCGCACCGCTTCGACTTTGCCACTGCGTAATGTTGACACCCCTCCTGGCCCAACCACGCCCACCCGCCCAACATTGCGCAGCGCCCGCACGACTCCTTCTACTTCTCCGGGCATATCGCGCTCGGCCTCCCTCTTTGGCACGGCCAGACCCCCAAACTACGCCATTCCCGTCCCACCATCCTTCGCTGGTCCGAGCACTCGCTCCGGGGGCGGCACATCCACTCTCGTACGCGCCGCGAGCACAAGTGCCATTCCTAGCCTCACTGGGCGGTCCAAGCAGATGGTCATGGGAGGAGGAAGTGGGCCTCCCTTGGTCAAGGGCAGTGCAGGGGGGGACGACTCATGTGGCGGAAACAGTGGTCGGCCTTACAAGGGCAAGGAAAACTACCGTCCAGGCGAGGACCCGCTTCTGCCGACCCCGCCCGCATCAGAGGCAAGTCGCAAGCGCGTGCGCATGACACCCTCCTCAAGCCGTACTCGAAGCCCCTCTACTGCCAGCGTGCGCAGTGAAAGTGAGTTGCGCAAGCGGCGTTCACTAACCCTTCAGGCATCGCACCCACCTTCGGCTCCGACTTGAGAACCTCGTCAAGTCTTCCATCGCCCTCGCCATCACCTTCGCTCGCTACATCCATCAGTACACTCGATGACAGTGCCACCGACGGCACCCCTACCAAGCAGAGAGCCAAGCAGGCTGTGCCTCTGACGCCGACGCCACCTTTGCCCGACGCGGCCGAGGTTGCTACCCACTTTGATGATATTTCCGCCTGGACGCGCGCAACTGTGCCATCCGAAACTGTCAAGCGCAGCGCTCCAAACGCGTACCGTGTGCTCAAGCACCGTCTCCGCCTGTCCCCATCACCAGACGATAGCGCCAACTTTGCCATCGTAGGACGCGACCACGAAAAGTCCGTCCTCGGCGCGTACCTCTCCCTTGTGTCGACTAGTGACGCCGGAATGTACGTTTCGGGACCCCCGGGTACTGGCAAGACGGCCCTCACGACCGCCGTCGGCCGCGAGCTTGCATCGCAGGGGTGGCAGGTCATCGAGGTCAGCGTGATGGGCCTCAAGGCGCAAGATGTTTGGACGCGTCTCGGAGCCGAGCTCGGCTGCAAGGGCTCTGAGAAGGACGTGACCGCGCACCTGAAAGCCAAGAAGACGCGTACCTTCATCATCCTTGACGAGATCGACTCGCTTCTTCCCCCGCCACCGGCGCTGCCTACGCCTGCGACCTCGCATGTTCTTTCAAAGTTGTTTTCGCTTCCCCTCCTCTCGTCGCAAGAGTCAACCATCAAGCTTGTAGCCATCTCCAACACTCTCGACCTCACTGTCCGCACCAGCATCGTGATCAAGGGCAATGCTATGCCCCAGGTCTTGCCCTTCAAGGCGTACATGGCGACTGACATGATTGCTATTGTCAACGCGCGTATTGCCGCTCTGGGTGACGGGCCTGAGGCGGTCAAGGTCGACGCAAAGGCAGTCGAACTGCTCTGTCGCAAGGTTGAGGTCCAGAACGGAGATCTGCGCATGTGTCTGGGCGTTCTCACTTCTGCGGCAGGGCTCGCCGAGGCTGACTGGGTCAAGAAGGGGTCGTCGCCCACGGCGCTCGTCAAGGTCTCACTCCCGCATATCCTCAAGGCGTTCTCTTCACACAACAAGCAGCTCCGCGCCGCTGCCGGTACCACCTCAACTGGTGCCTCTAACCCTACCGTCAACAAGATTCGCTCGGTACCTCTCAATGGCCGCCTTGTGCTCGTGTCGATGCTCGTCTGGTCCATGCGCACTAGGGTCGGTCTGGCCGGCTGCCCTGCCAAGGGCGCGAGCCTTGAGCTTCTAACCCCCTCTGCGCTGTACGCCACGTACTCGTACCTTCTCAACGACCCCTCGTCGCAGATCCAGCCGCTGCCCGAAAGCGACTATCACGATCTTCTCAATAATCTGGAGACTCTGGGGCTTGTGTCGCTCCCCAAGGTTCGCGGCAACATCCGGGTCGAGCTCTGTGCTCGCGAGAACGAGGTACACAGCGGCCTTTCACTCTCGGCGACTGTCAAGGCTGTGGGCGAGCAGGTTGTGGCGGAGGTTTATGCTCGTGAGGAAGCAAAAGTCGCGCGTGTCTGTGCGCGCGCCCAGGCGGCCGTTGAGCGCGCAGAGCACGGTCTGCCCATGGAGATGGAGTAGGGAGAGAAGATGAAAGGAAGACATTCAGCAGCCGTAAAATCGGAAGAGACGTCGTAGATAGCCTTCGTAGCTGTGCACACGGGCTTGGGCGCGTGTGGCAGTTTGACAACATGCATGCATTGCAGTAGCACTTTGCAGTACACACAAGAGGTCGCAACTGCGCCCTAAGTCCATCTTCCGCTGCGTTCCAGTCCGTTCCCTCTTCCTGCTCTTCATTGTTGTGGATCGGCACCACGACACAACTACGGGTGTTTGTCAAATAATGACGCGTCCAAACAGTCACGTGACAAAACGCGTCAACATTGCGTCCCTGAGATCAGTCGCGTAACCCCACACGGCCAAAGCCAAACATTATTTGTCACCTCGCACATCAATCAACCATCCCCTCGCAATCAATCCACATCCATCAACCACAATCATCCGCAACAGCAGACAGCATGACGACCTCCACAGAGACAAAAGAGCGCTCCAACCCCGAACATGGTGCGCACAACCCCGGTCAGACGATGGACGCCGCCGATGTCGACATCCACCACCCTCCCTCCCTCTCGTCGACCTCCACTAACGCCAGAGGAGTACCAGTACCTGGACTTGATCGCGCGGATCATCGCGACGGGCCAGCCCCGCCCCGACCGCACAGGGACGGGCACGCTCGCGCTCTTCGCGCCGCCCTCGTTGCGCTTCGACCTCACCCGCGGCTTCCCGCTGCTGACGACGAAACGCGTCTTCTGGCGCGGCGTCGTCGAAGAGCTCCTCTGGTTCGTCGCGGGCTGCACCGACGCGGCGGTGCTCCAAGCACGCGGCGTGCACATCTGGGACGGGAACGGGTCGCGCGAGTTCCTCGACCGCGTCGGGCTCGGCCACAGGCGCGAGGGCGACCTCGGGCCCGTGTACGGCTTCCAGTGGCGCCACTTCGGCGCTGCGTATGGCACGTGCGAAGACGACTACACCGGGAAAGGCGTGGACCAGCTCGCGGAAGTCGTGCGGAAGATCAGGGAAAACCCGACCGACCGGCGCATCATCATGAGCGCGTGGAACCCGAGTGGTGAGTCTCCGCAGGAGTGGAGCTCACCCCAGACCTTCCCCTCATGGCCCTCCCCCCCTGCCACATGTTCTGCCAGTTCTACGTCACGCTGCCGGAGACGCCCGAGGCGCGCCCCAAGCTCTCCTGCCTCATGTACCAGCGCAGCTGCGACGTCGGGCTCGGCGTGCCCTTCAACATTGCGTCGTACGCGCTGCTCACGCACATGATCGCGTTCGTGACGGGGTGCGCCGCGCACGAGTTCATCCTCCAGATGGGCGACGCGCACGTATATCGCGACCATGTTGAGCCGTGAGTAGCGAGCGGCCCGTCTCGTCGGCTGAAACTCGCACTGACGCCAGCCTCAAAACGCAGCTTGAGCGCGAGCCGCGGCCGTTCCCGACGCTCAAGATCGCGCGGTCACTCGAGGAGATCAAGGACATTGACGGCTTCCGCGCGGACGACTTTGTCGTCGAGGGATACAAGCCCATGGGCAAGATTGAGATGAAGATGTCGGTGAGTTGGCGTTTGAGGGGACGCCTCACAGGCATTCCAGGCGCGAAGCGCGCCCGCTCTCCCCGATCGCACATGACTAACACCAGGCGTAATACTAGAGCTACCCGTGGGGCAATTGTAAACTATGCATCATACATACAACGCGACATCTCTTCTAGTTCGTCGGCTTGCTCCGCGTGCTCGACTGCCGCAGCGGCACGAACATGCTGTTCCGCTCACGCTGATATGTGCGCATCCTGGGGTCAGCTAGCAGCTTGAAGTTAACCCGATCTCCAGCCTCCACTCACAGCGCTTCGATGCTCTCGACAATCTCCTGCGCCTGCTTGACGTTTTCCGCCTCAAACTCGTATCTCTTCCGACTCCCATCACGCCACACGTAGAGCTTGAACCCGCCCGCGCGCCCTGAAAGCTTGACGCCCGCCACGAGCGTGATATGTATCGACGTCGTCTTGAGGCTGTCGAAGAACGCGCGATTCTCGGACGGCATGATGTGGATATAGTCCCCGTCGATAGCGAGCTGCCGCTCGTGCCGCCCAATCGGTGTCTTACGCATAACCGTGTATTTCTGCCGTCAGCGTCTCCTCCTGCCGTTGACCCACCTTGTACGTCTGCCCCATCTCCCACTTCGCCGGCGGCTCGCTCGCGCGCTTGAATATGCTCGCGCTGGGATCCCCGCCGCGCATGTCCCCGCGCAACCCGTGCTCGGCCGCCCACTGCCCCCGAACCAGCGTGAGCTCATTCATGCCCTCGAGCGACGCGACGGTGCGGTCCGGCGGCAGCGCGAGGCTCAGATCAGCGAGGCAGAGCACCCAGTCGCTGGCCGGCTGCGGCAGGTTCTTGCGCGACACCAGCACCTCCGTCAGGTCGGCAATGTACATGTCTGACGGCGCAGAGATGGTCGTGTTGAACTGCACGTCGGCGCTGGCGCGCACGTACACGTGCAGAAGCACGGGGCGCGAGCCGGCGCTCAAGCCTTGCTTCAGCGGCGTGTCTTCCTCGGGGCTCATGACGGTCGGCATGGGCTGCGGGCGGCGCGGGCGCGTGTCCGCGATGATGCGCGACGGCCGCCGCTGGATCATCGGCGCCATCGCGGCGTTCTGCTTCTTTTGCGAGTCCGTTGCGCGCACCACGCCGAATTGGCCGTACGAGAACTTGGAGATGGCCGACTCGCGGTCGAGCGCTGTGGTTAGCTTTGCACCAAATGCGGACCTAGATTTTCAACTCACGAGGGAAATCCTCGTCCACTTCGCCGTCATCCTCGACGATCCGAAGCCCCCACCCGACGGTGGATTGCTCCGCATCGTCCAGCTCGAGATCCGGGCTTCGCCCCTCCTCGACGTACTTCCACAACCCGTGTCCAGTCACCTCCTCGACTGTCGCGTCCTTGCGGACGGTCGCGAGGATTGGGTTGCTAGGATCGTCTGAGTGAGGGAAGAACAGCTCAAGCTTGAGGCTCGGAATCGTCGGCGGCGCAGCTACGCTGGCATACAGCGATGCGAAAGGATTGGAGGCAGTCGGAGCCTCCCCATCAGGTGGTGCGCCGCCAGTTGACACGAGATGCGGCACGTGCTGGTTCAGCGTGGCTGTAAGTGCCGAAGTGTTGGGCACGCTGCCTGGGATAGTAGGAGGTATGGCGATGCGCCCGAACTCCAGCTTGGTCTCGAAGAAGGTATCTGTGGAGCTTCGGCGGTCCTCCTCATGGATGGTGGACGGTCGCCCGCCTTGAGCGGCCTCCAGCCGGATCTGACTAGGATGCCGTGCGTGCCCCGGCCTTCCCAAGACGGGCGGAGCCTCCGCGCCAGCCTCGTCGTCGTCGTCCCCTTCGTCGACATCCGGATCTCCCTCTGTGACCGTCATCGCCATGTCGCTTGGCAGCGCGCTTTCGGCCACGCCGATGCTGCTCCCGTCTGGGTCATAACCGATCGTGCCAGCTAGCGAGGGCTTGATGTCCTCATCTGGCGAGCGCACGTGGCTGGGCTCCGATGCTGTGCTCGACGCGCGCGGTCGCCCCTCCTCTGGCGGTGGCGGGATTGGTGGCCGTACCTCCATCGATGAGCTCTGACTGCGCTGCGCGCTGTGCCGCCTCCTCCCGCGAAAGGCCGCGCCGTCTCGTCCACTCACGCGCATGCCTGCGCCACCTATCCTCCCCGCCGGCATAATGGTCTGCGTATATCGCAGCCCCATCGCTCCGCCTCCGGAAGGAGCTGGTCGCCTCGACAGGTCCGGCAGCCCGTCGTCCGAGTCGATCGCTAGCGGCGACGGGTCGGGTGGGGGGCTGTCCAGCGCTCGCTTAAGCTCCGGCCACCGGTCGATGTCGCCCAGTCCCATCGCGTTCACGTAAGGGTTAGACGCAAACGCGTGGTCCATAGTTACTATCCGGGGCGTGACGCTGTCATCCGTCGTGCGCAGAGCGCTGAGCCGGATCGCGTGGAGCACGTAGCTGGGGTCAGCCAGAGGCGACGGGGAGCATCTCCGAGGATGCGAGAGCGCTGTTGCGCTCAGTACTGTGAAACGAACCTCGAATCCGATATCATCGCCATCTTGTAAATCGTTCTGTCATTGAGAGAAGTGGGAGAACGCGTCGAGAGCTTGTGGTAATGTCGAGGAAGGCACCGACGTTAGAGACCATGTTGTGGCATCTCCGCTCGATGCACCGCAGTCGCGGCCAAGCCGGGACCCCACACAAATTTCACACGTCATATGCCACGTGCCCCATATTTGCGTCTGGCCAGCCCAGGTCAATAATTTCAGAACCTCCACCCTCACGGCTGCATCACCCATCATATCATGGACGACGGCCTCGAACTCAACTTTGCCGCGCCGTCCGGCGACAGCCTTCGGAGACAGCTTGCGCCGAAGAAGGGCGGGCGCTGGACTGACCGGTATGACTACAAGGCACACATTGACTAACGGCAGCGTGAAGGCGAAGCAAGCCGCACGGCGGGTTGTCAAGGCGCACGAGAGCGGCAGGGAGCCACCAAGCCGGCCGCAGCAGCTGCAGACCTCTAAGCCATCAGTCGTAAGCAAGCCCGCACCTCGCTCCGAGGTCGTCACTCCGACATACGCCAAGACCAAGCCAGTCGTGCGACCTACCAAGCCGGCGCCGCATGCCCCCATCATCCCAGCCCCTAAGAAGGCAAAGGTGCAGGGCGACCCCCAGCCCGACTCGTCTCCAGAAGCCGGTCCGTCGCGTCTGCCCATGGAGGCTGCGTCTTCCATTCAGGCCGCTGTCGCGCCCAAGGGCTCGCAGATCATCTCCTCTCTCTTCACCGGCAACCCCCACCTTCCGCGGGTGAAGGCCTCCGAGGCTGCCGTCGGAGCCCCCTCCAACGCGCCGCTGGACACCACCACGTTCAAGGGTCTCGGTCTCGACCCTCTTCTTGTGCATCACCTCCAAAACAAGATGGGCATCAAGGCGCCGACCGGCATTCAAAAGGCCTGCCTGCCTTACATGCTCGCCCACCCTCTCGACATCGACGCGCGTGCCGAAGCCGACGACAACGACTATGAGTTACAAGGGCAAAAGGACGTTCCTGTGTCGACAGGGCCGCGCGATGTCTTCATCCAGTCGCAGACTGGTTCGGGTAAGACGCTGTCCTTTGTCCTCCCAATCATCCAGGCCCTACTCCCGCTCTCGAAGCTGTCCTACATTGACCGCTCGATTGGTACACTAGCGATTATCCTCGCGCCGACGCGCGAACTGGCGCAGCAGATCTCGAAAGTTGTTGAGAGCATTCTCACCATGTCGTTGTCATTGCGCGACGAGGAGGACAGGGGATACACGCGTTGGCTTGTCTCAGGGCTACTCGTCGGAGGGGGGACAAGGACGCACGACAAGGCGCGCTTGCGTAAGGGTGTCCCGATCCTGGTTGCGACACCCGGCCGTCTCCTCGACCACCTGCAGAACACGAGCTCTTTCCAGTGCGCCAAGACGATGTTCCTTGTACTCGATGAAGCAGATCGCCTCATGGACCTGGGTTTCGAGGAGACGATTCAGGGCATTCTCAAGGCATTGGATGGACGACGCCGGAACGAGATCAACGCTGAGCGCGAGGGCGAGGCAGGCATGATGCGCTGGCCTTACTGGAGCCGCGGGAGGCAAACTGTGCTCTGTTCCGCGACTGTGGACGCCAAGGTCGAGCGTCTTGCGGGCATGACCCTCCGCGACCCCGTCACGTTCCGTCCCAGCGAGAAGGAGAAGCGCCAGGACGTCGCCGTCATTAAGGCTCTGGAAGCAGCAGCCGAGATCGAGATTCCGGACGCCGACGAGAAGTTCACGCCTCCGTCGCAGCTAGCGCAGCGATACGTTGTCGCGCCAACAAAACTTCGACTAGTCACGCTCGTCGCACTGCTCCGCTCACTCGTGAGCAAGGCCAAGGTTGAGGCCAGTGAGGATGGAACCAAGGTCATTGTGTTCCTCAGCTCGACCGACGCAGTCGACTACCACTTCCGCCTGCTCGCAGGCGTGACGATGGGTGCACCGGCGCCGGCCGCCGCCGAAGATGAAGATGACGATGACGAGGAGCCAGAAAGTGCCGACGAGGATTCTGACGCCGGCACCGAGCAGCCCAAGCCCAAGCCCAAGAAGGCTAAAGCCAAAGCCAAAGCCAAGCCTGACTCTGACACCGTCACCCTCCACTCGGCACTGTTTCCAAAGACGACTGTTCACAGACTGCACGGCAGTCTGCCTCTCAAGACGCGTCTCGCCTCGCTCAAGGCGTTTGCGATGCCGTCTCCGGAGCCGTCTATTCTCCTCGCGACGTCGGTCGCGTCCCGTGGTCTTGACTTGCCTCTCGTCCGCGCTGTCGTCCAGTACGACCTGCCTACTGAGGGCGGCGCGAGCGAGTACGTGCATCGCGTTGGTCGTACGGCTCGTGCGGGTGCGGGAGGTGAGGCATGGGCGTTCGTCGCTCCCGCCGAAGCGGAGTGGGTGCCTTGGGTCGAAGGCAAGATGGGCACTGCGAGTGCATCCAAGGGCGAGGATGGAAACGTGCGGTTGCAGCAGGTCGGCGTGGAGGAGGTGTTGAGGAGAGGCTTCGGTGGGCGGGGACATGAGTACGAGGCTCGTGCCACCGACGTGCAGCTCGCTTTCGAACGATGGGTGCTAGGTGACGACAAGGTGAGTAACGGCTCTGAGCCAAGGCAAGCGAATATGATCAACGGCGGCGAATATGATCACGTGCTGACTCCAGAACGCGGCCATGGCTCGCAAAGCCTTCGCCTCTTTCGTGCGCGCTTACTCGACACATCCTCTGGAAGAGCGCCGTTTCTTCCATGTCAAGTCTTTGCACCTGGGCCATCTCGCGAAAGCTTTCGCGCTCCGTGAGGCGCCAGGCAGCATCGCGGCCACCTCTAAGCCCAAGAAGGAGAAGGCCAAGCTGCCGGGCGGGAAGCGCAAGCGCGCCGACTCGGACGACGAGGAGGAGCGCAAGGGCGGCAAGGAGCTGACAGCGCGCAACGAGACCGAGCGGCGCATGTACGAGGCTGTGCGAAAGCAGGGACGTCTCGTCAAGGCTGGTGGTGTGCTCGCGGCGACAGGCGGCGACTTCCAGGTGGCGGATACGCGTGCACTGGAGAAGATGGTGTCGAAGCGGCGCTAGCTAGTTCAGATGTATTGGTACTATTCGGCAGTGTCGGCTGGTGATGTCTCGCGAGCGAACTTGTCGAGCCCCTCGGTGAGATGTTCGAAATCAAGTTCGAAATCAGCAAATCTCGGACCGATCGGCCCACATGGTCCGCCCCGCACTGCCCAGCTGATCGGCGGTGTCCGGCGGTATCCAGGCCGAGACGGCCTCCACTTTGCCCCTGGAACCGGCCCGGCCCCATATAGCGCGCACATCTTGGCTCTCCACTCTTCGCTCCTCTCACATCCTCTCCATCATGTCTTCATTCTTCCGCACTGGGCGCAAGTGCATCGCTATTGGGCGCAACTACGTCGACCACGCCAAGGAGTTGGGCAATGCGGTTCCTAAGGGTGAGTGCGGAAACTGCGGGCCGGGGGTGCGAGTGGGCGGGTAGGACGGCGAAGGGCGGCCCAACGCGGATGTCGATGAGCTGAAGCTATGCCCACGGGTGTCGGTGTCATACCACTGCTGCTTGCGGAGCCTTCTTCAACTGATCTTTGCTTACAGCGCTCTGCCGCTACGAACGCGTGGACTGACTAAAGAACCCTTCTTCTTCCTCAAGCCCACATCGTCGTACATCGGCCCCGGCGACACTGTGGAGATCCCCAAGGGCGTGAACTGCCACCATGAGGGTGAGTTGGGTGTGCACCGTGGCCGTGCTCAATCAATGGGCAACTTGATGCGATGCTGACTACCAGTTGAGCTCGGCATCGTGATCGGCAAGAACGGCCGTAACATCCCCGAGTCGGAGGCTGAATCTTACATCGCGGGCTACAGTGAGTGGGATCAAGGGATCACAGACTACTATTCTTTTTATCGCCGTAGCCCTCGCTTACACCAGCCCTCGCCATCGACATGACCGCCCGCAACATGCAGGAGGCCGTGAAGAAGAAGGGTCTCCCCTGGTCGGCCGCCAAGGGCTTCGACACCTTCTGCCCCGTCGGGTGAGTCTCCACTTGCATAGCCCAATCTGGCCTCCCTCTGGCGCCAACTAATGCTAGCCCGTTCATTCCCAAGAACAAGATCGCCGACACGTCCAAGGTCGGCCTCAAGCTCAGCATCAACGGCAATGTCAAGCAGGCCGGAACGACTGCTGACATGATCTTCGATGTGCCCCGCCTCATCAGCTTCGTAAGCGGCATTATGAAGCTCGAGGAGGGTGACCTCATCCTCACTGGCACCCCGGCCGGCGTGTCTCAGGTTAAGCCGGGCGACACGGTCGATGTGAGCCTGAGCTACCCCGGGCTCGAGGGCGAGGTGCTGGACCAGTATGAGGTCAAGGCCGTGCAGCGCGAGGGCGGGCACGAGTTCAAGGAGTAGACTGGCCCAGCGACGGAAGGGCGATGTCGGCTGGAGGCAAATACAGAACCTCGCGGCTAGATCTATGCAGCAATGAACGGAAGAGGTGGCACACCTCAGTGAGTTACATACAAAGCCCAATACTACAAGCCGGGGTATGCACACGCCCCACCAGCGAGGCTCGTCGTGGGTAGGCGGTTAGAAGTCGCCGTGTCGTCTCGACGCCGCATTAGTCGCTGCCTAGTCGATCTGCCGGCGGAAGTATGAGCTTGACACCGCGAACCCGCAGCAGAATGCGAAGACGTTCTCGCCGATGCCAAGGTACGTGTCGAGGACGTTGCGCCACGTCGAGTCCTTCACGCGGCCCGTGTGGAGTCTGAAGTCAGCAATGTGCGCGCGACAGCGCCGGAAGGGAGCGAGAGAGGGCGGCCGGGGCGTGAGAGAGCACTAGCAAGGATGGAGTCAGAGGGACGTGGAGCAAAGGCAGGGCGAATATCGGAGAGGGAGGAGAGGCGAAGAGGAGGGGCGTGGGAAGGGCGGCAGTGAGTGGGAGATGTGTGATGAAGAGAGACCTGCGCCGAAGTGCGGGCTGTTGTCGCCGCCACCTACGTCTCGGGAGCGTGTAGAATGACAGGCCTCCCACGCTGTCCCAGATGGTTATCGCGCTACTCACGAATACCCCGTCGAGCGCTTGATGCCCGCAAGCAGGACGCTGACGGCAACCAAGTCGATGGCGAGACGGGTGAGTCTTCCGAACATGGCTGAGGGATGGTGGAGAAGGCAAGTGGACGAGGAGGATCGATGAAGCGCTCTACTTATATGCGAGGTTAAAGGGGCGCCGACGTGAGGGGCCAGGCTTATCGGGAGCGCGAGGCGAGATCAGAGTTGATATCGATGATGATGATATTGTTGTTGCGGGTCGATGAGGACACCTGCCAGCAGATCGGCATGGCACGCGCGGAAGCAAAGTGCGCGGAACGGCCTTTTGAAGATGAACCTAGATAACAATAGGACTGGGCGGAGGCAATAATTCGCTTGATTGCCTGACGGCCTGATTGCCTGGTGACACCCATCGCGCTGTGCCCATCATCAACACACCCATGGTCAAGAAGCGGCGTACATCAGGGTCGGCGTCGGCGTCGGCGTCCGGGCCGGCGTCACCGCACAAGTCCGCGTCCCCCGTCAAAGCCGAATCTGAGGGCGCGGGCATCGCCGTGCAGCTGCGTAACGGCCTTGGTGGGTTGGGGGAGGAAGCGACCGCCGTGGGGTCGAGCAGAGCTGCGAGCGCGAGCGCGACCCCGGCCCCATCAGGCGAGGAGCGACACATGAAAGCGCCTGTGCCGGCGCCGGGGAGCGGCGACGGCGGCCCTGCCGACGAGTGTTACAGCTACCCCGACCTGCCGATGAACAAGACTGGTGAGTCTCGGCCTCGCGCGCGGCCTGACGCCAGGCTACCGCTACTATGCGTGCACGCTGTCGCCGAACCCCGAAAGAGGACCCACAGGCCCGTTCTACCGCACGATACCAGGCCCGCCGTCGTGCGCGCCGGTCCACATCTCGTGGTTCGACCGCTCCGCCTTCCTCCGCATCTCGCCCGACGCCGCCACCGTCACCACCGACAAGGGGTACCGCTCTGGCCGCGCCAACGTCTCTGTCCGCGAGGGCTCGTGGTACTTCGAAGTAGTGATCGAACGGGGGGACGGCGCGGGCGGCGCCGGCGCAGGTACTGGCGGGGAAGCGGGGAATGCGCACGTCCGCGTCGGATGGGCGCGCCGCGAGGCCAACCTCGACGCGCCGGTCGGCGCGTGCGCATACTCGTACGGCGTGCGCGACGTCGGAGGGGAGAAGGTGCATATATCCCGGCCGAAACCGTATGGGCGGGGCTTCGCGACGGGCGACGTCGTCGGGTGCATGATCACGCTTCCGCCTCGGCCCCCGGTCGAGAGCGAAGACGAGCCAGGCTTCGTCAAGCGCTGGCGTATCCCGGTGCGATACAAGGGCGGGAACTACTTCGAGATGGACGAGTACCCCGTCGCGAAGGAGATGGAGGCGCTCGTGAATCGCGCGGGGGCGCCGGCGCCTGCCGCGCCCGTGGCCGAAGACCACGAGCCGAAGAAGAAGGTCATGAAGGGCGGGGACAAGCCGTCGGCCAAGAGAGCCGACAAGGCGGGTAAACCCGTTGCGCGCGAGCTGCGCACGCTGCCGGGCTCGTCTGTGCGGTTCTTCCTCAACGGCGAGGAGATGGCGGACGCACCAGCTTTCGAGGACCTGTACGACTTCCTGCCCCTCCCGCCAAACGAGGAGCATCGGTACGTTGGTCCGCGCCGGGGCCCCGTGAGCGTCGAGCGCGAGCGCGAGAGCTACCAGTACCACGACGATGGGACGCTGGGATACTTTCCCATGGTGTCGTGCTTTGGGCGCGGCAAGGCGCGCGTCAACTTCGGCCCGACATGGCTCAAGCCGCCCGCCGTGGAGGCGCGGCCGCTGATTGAGCGCTGGGACGAGTTTCGCGCAGAGGAGGTTGTGTATGATGAACGCGAGGAGGCGCGGCTCGCCCAGAGATACAAGGACATGGTGTCGGAGGCTGCACGTCCAAGAGAGCCGAAGCGGCCGGCGAAGAAGAGGCGCAAGACGCCGCACGATGGCGAGACGCCGACGAGCACGCCGCGCATGACCCCCGGAATCACGCCGGCGCCGTCGAGTCCCAAGTTTGCCAGCTCACCCGCAGCGGCCCCCTCAAGTCCGCCGAGCGAGCGAGCGCATAGCGAGGGACCGCAGCGCTTGCACCTCGAACAGCCGCTACTTGATCCCCGCGACCATCACGAGCCGGCGGAGATCAGTCCCGGTGAGGTCAAACCGGAGCCCACCGAGATCAAGATCGAACCAGGCGATGATCCTCATGAAGGTGTATCATGGTCATAGTGTTGTACGATATGCATGGTATAGGGGACCGGGGTAGCGTGTGTCTAATGGGGTATAGGATACGCTCGTATCTCTGGGGTCTGGGAGGTTATGATTAAGACATGGTGGCAAGCTCGGCCTTGCGCTGCGGCGCGGGCTCGCTGTCGTGACCCTTGGCATTCTGCAAAGAGAGGTACGTGTTGAAGAAGAGGTTGACGACGTTGACCATGACGAGGCGGTACTGAAGGGGAACAATCTGGTTGTCAGAAGTGATTGTTGGTACAGGCTACTAACGCTTTGGTTGATGGCCTGGACAGGAATGAAGCTGGTGTCAACACTCCCGCGGGGAGGAGGTGCGCAGGTGTACGACGTTCAGTGCATCCCTGCCACTCACATCGACCAGTTGGTGGTGAGCGTAGGTCGGATGTTCTGGTGTCAGTCTGGCAGATGACGACACGCCTCACCTTCTCCACCTTGTCCTTCGCCGCCGCCAAAGACTTGCCTTCCAGCAGGGTCATGACGGTGTAGAAACCTGGTGTCAGCTGGACGTGGCAGGTGAATAGGGGGAGACGAGGCGGGACTAACAAGAAAGGACAATCGGCGCTGCCACGAACTGATCCAGCCCGACACGGATGGCAGTGCCTTTGATCTTGTTGGTCATGGGGACCTTGTTGAGGACCTGGAACCAGGCGGTCGCCACTGGAGCGTAGAACGCGCCTCCCCATGTGACAGTGCGGCTGGAGGTTGAAGGTGGCAGGATGAGAAATGGTAAACAGCGGGGTGACAACGGAGTAACGGGAGAGCGCACGTGCCGACGCAGGCATGGGCAAGGAACAGATGTAGGTTGGAAGGTTGAGGGTGGAGAATGGTGCGCGTGTCGGTGCAGAGAAGGAAGGTGACGGAGAACGGAGGCCGGTGTCCCGCCATAGTTGAGTGCGTATAATCAAAGGTGAGTCACGCGTTAGCTTATCACAACATCGACATGGTAGATGCTCACCCAGTCCGCGCCCAGTCGTGCTTGTCCCATCCCTTCTTCTCGACGGCTTGTTGCGCGAGCACTGCAAGTCAGTACCACCACGCTAGCAGCTTTACTATCTCCAGCACCAAACAGCACCTGAGCGTCAGCGGCACGGCCATTCTCTACCGGATGTCAGATACGCACGATTGCGGACGCAATGTTGCCGAGAAAGGGCCTGCGGGTCATGAAGCCGCCATAGGAACGGAGGATGGAAGCCATGATGCGATGGAGCAGTGAGCGATGAAGAGAAAGAGAGAGAGAGAGAGAGAGAGAGAGAGAGAGAGAGAGAATGAGAAGACAGAAATGAGGATGCGCGAGATGCAGATGTCATTGTCAAGCTGTCAAGCTGTCAAGCTATGGCAGCATGGCAGACCGAGATCAACAAACCACCCCACGATTTTGCGCTCTTCCCCGCGTCATTCGACGCATCCACAGGCAGTTTAACAGTTCTACAGCGGCATCGGTCTCCCCGCTCCTCGCTACCTCTTTCGCCGCTGCCCTTCCGCCCTTCCGTCGCTTGAGGCCTCGGATCTCACTTCGGCACAACTGCTCATCTCATCTCTCTTTCACGCCGACACAAGCCAGTATGTAGACCGACACTCGTCCCCCATCACCGAAGCGCAGGACACAATCTAGCCCACCTCCCAGTCTGGCAGCTTGGCAGCTGGGGAGTATGGGCAGCATGGGCAGATGGGCAGATGGGCAACAGGTGATGCAGGGCGTATCGCTTGCACCCCCGAGGTATGTGACCCACACACCGCCGTCCGCCGGCCGCCGGGCCGCGAGCCGCCGTTCCTTATTAAATCGCTGGCTCCGTTCGCCGTGTCCAAGCACTGTCTCGAGTCGCGCTCAATCTGAACACACTAGAGCTTTCCACTCCGCAACTCGACTTGGAGCTTGGCAGTCGTCATCTTGAGCAGGACGATGACGAGCAATGGCGGCTTGGCAGATGTCCGCAGCTGAGGCGACCAAGCTGGAACCGCTCGCTTCCACCCATGCACCCGACTTTCCCAACGTCTACGGCCCTATCACACGTCATCATCCTCGACTCTTGTCGACAACTTGTCTTTCCGAACAGAACGCCTTGCACGAGGCGTGAGGCGCGTGAGGCATGCTACACCTGCATACCTTGGGCTGGCACTGGCACTGGATCTGGGGCCCGGCTGCGCGGCTGCGGGCGGGGGAGAGTGAGAACAGGCGAGGAGGAGGGCTGGACTCTTCATGTAGGCCCGACCAGAGCGCCCGCAAGGCACATTAAGAACGGCCTGCGCAATCCTCACAACAAGCATCCATCCGGTACCGAACAACATAACGGCGGTGCAGCAGCACGCACCCGAGGTTTCAGCAGGATTGAGCTCAGTTGTATCCTTCGCTGTGCACTGAGTGTCCTACGCAACCACAAGAGCGATGTGAAGAGATGCCAGACACCGAGATGGTAAGCTTTGGGAGACCAAGAACAGAGCCGTGACGCGTGTGGCGCGCGGAGAGGACATCCTTCGGCCTCCGGGACTCTTGCCCCGGCTTCAGGGTCAGGGTTAGAAGGCTAAAATTGGACCCTGTTGAACCATTTGTATTATGCAATGATAATGGAGCTATAGGGTTATTAGAGAGAGAATTGAAGGGGCCTTCGTCACCTCTCACCCGTCACTCACCATCACCGAACACGCCTTCCTCCCCATCCCATCTCGTCTCATCTCCTCTCTTCTCATCTCTCATTTATCCTTCACGCTCTCTTTCCTCTCGTCCCTCTCGATATCTTCTTCAAGAGTCTCCTCTTTGTTGCGCGGACACGCGCTGGACGATCGCACAAGTGGTTGATCGCGACATTGAAGCGGAGCGATCTGTGCGCGCCGAGCAACCCTACGCGCATCGTTTCGGACGTCTTTGCACCCAGACTGGGCGACACTAGATCCCATCGGATCCCCACACCTCCCCATCTCTCAACCCCGCCCCCGCCCCAGCCCTGTCGTCGTGCTCGTCACGTTGGGTGACGCCGGCCCTTCCACTCCGCTTTCCACTCTCCGCTGGAACCCATCGACCACCGGCCACCGGGTGGCTTGAGTACAGTAGAATCGCGGGCCCCAAGCACACCGTGCACTCCTTCCGATCACACCTCGCCTCCACCCTAGCCGCGACGCCTCTTACCACCCTCAGCACTGTAGACAACGATGGCGCCGACGCCTGCCGCTTGATTCTACCCCACCAGATTCATCTCGACATCAGTACTCCAGACTTCACCTCAAAACTCACCGCCCATCTGAATCTCAATCCTTCCCGTTTGTCGCGTTCACTGGACACCCATCTTCACACTCAAGTCAACTGGCGCCGAGCCGTCGGGCAACGGTCTGCCGTCCTTGTCCTCCGCACGCCCCAGTGACAGGTTCCGCGCACCTTCACTTTTGGCCTGGGATTTCACCAGCTTCTCACACGCCACATCTCGACGTCGTCCCACACTCCCACCCATAAACACTTCGGCCACTCGCTCAGCCTTCTGATCCAGCCGCCGTCTGCCTCCATTGGCCTCGGCGCGTCCTGGACACCCCTTTTCCTTTCCACCTCCCTCTCCACTTGCCACCTCGCCCAGCATGATGGCGAATCCCTCTGCGCTCCTCCTGGCGCCTCCAATCAAGGCGCCGTCAATGAGGAGCGGAACATCCACACCTCAACCTCCTCCACGGTCTGCCCCAGGAATAAGCCTTCCTCAGTCCAACGCCAAAGCTCTCAGCAGCCGCTTGCGCCATCTTGTGGACAATCCTTCGCGCACAGCGACATTCGCAGTCAATGTCACAATCCACGAGCTTAGCAATATCCCTCAACTGAACGGCAAGTTTGCTTGTCGGTGGAAATTTCGTGGTCACAAGCCCAGTAACGGCGACCGACTTCTCGAGAATCCTGAGCAGCGGATGCCGATCCCCTCTACGCGAAACGTCGTCAATCCCGCTCTGCGACATTCGAGTAGCATGATGTCTCTTCGCACACCGCATCCTCGCACCCCACAGCAGGCAGGGTCCGGAGCGTCGACGCCCTCTCTGCAGTCGGCCAGCGCGAAGCAGCGCTCGTTGAACGTCCTCGCACCGAGCGTGCCTTCTCCTTTTCCCATCCGCCCCCACTCTCAGCACACTTTACCTGCCTCTGTCGTCTCCCGGTCGGCCAAGTCGTCGACTTCACTTCCTCCCTCTGATAACAGTGCGATGGGCTCCGGGGCAACTGGCATTACCAGCTCCGCATCCACGTCTTCTGTTGCGCTCGACGATGCTGCCGAGCTTGACAACATTCAAGACGACGCTGGGTCACAGCCGCCATCCTCAACCCAGTCATCATACTCTCTCAATACCGCAATCACCAAACCGGGAGGACTGCCAGTACCAGGCGCACCGACCCGCCCACGCTCCTCATCTCGCTCGGGGACGGCCCCCCCGTCCTTTATTTCAGACGATCACCCATCTGCCTTCCCCTCTCGGGCGGCCAGCGTTTACTCGGTGGGGTCGACCGGGCCTCCCGCGTCCATCGACTCTGGCGCTCCATCAAACGCCCACATGCCAGACTCAACCGAGAGGAGGGGCATGACACCCATCGAGAAGATCCATGCACACACTGTGCAGTGGGAGTACGAGGTGCAATACGTGATCCGCATCCCCTTGGGGAAGCCTGTACCGGTGGCCAACAAGGGGCGGGCCGGCCAGTCCTCGCCAACTGGTCGCAATCGCACTTTGCCCATTCTCGGGGAGGGCCCTATGAGTCATTCCGGCCTGAAGCTGGAAATTGAGGAGCTGCACGATGGCAACGACGCCCACCCTCGGCCGTTTGGGTATGTCAACATCGACCTCGCACCTTTTGCCGAGCTGGGCCCGACTGCGCGAAAGTTTCTGCTCAAGGACAGCAAGACGAACGCGACTATTCGAGTGAGTAGCAGCCTTCACTGCCGCTTTGAAACGTTTTAACATCAGATCTCCATCGACATGCGCTTCATCGGCGGGCAACAGCACTGGGTGACGCCACAGTTGATTGAAGGCCACTTTGTCAACGACATTTCGCAGCTCACTGGTGATGATGGCAACTTGTTCAAAGAACGTGAGTTCAGCTCGACATACTAGGCTGACAAACAGTGCAGCTGCTCCCCACAGTGTCGCGGTCGTCCGACTCCGCAACTTCCTCATCAATGTCAGGGCGACCATCGACTCGTTCGGCAACCTCCGAGATCAGTTTGACGCGCCCTGTGTCGAACGCGAACGCTGTTGCATCGCAGCAAGCCAAGAATCGCTACAAGTCTTACGAGCACCACTTGAAGCCAGAGGCTCGGGCCGCTCGCCGTGACGACTCCATTCTGGGCGATGCGCACTCGCGTAGACTCCCTCCCAGTTCAACTTTCGGCATGTCCGAGACAGTGTCCACCATGGCGTCGACATGGACGGAGATGAGCTCTGCGTCAACCCGGGCAATATTAGCCACACAACCTTTGCACATGTCGCCCACTTCTTCCCCCATGGCAGAGCGGCCACCCGGGGGGTTCTTCGACGCGATCCCCGGCCGCGATGTCGCCTTGGAGTCGCCGGCGGCATTCATGCAAGAGATGAACATGACCGAAGAGCCACTTTCACCCAACGAGGTCTCGCTCACATCTCCCATCCTGCCTCCCCTCTCGCCCGACCAGTCCCCCCCTTCCATGGGCTTGTCGAAACATGCGAGACACCACAGCAGCCACAGACAATTCTTGCGGGACCAGCGAGGCCATTCAGATGACCTCCAACCCGATCTGGTGATTGAGCATGTCTTCAATCCGAGGGCAGCCGAAGAGGTGGGCCCTTTCACCTTTGTGCCGAACGAAGAGGATGAAGACATGCTGTTCGAGGACGAGCTCGACGGCTTACAACTTGAGGCTGAGCCCGAGATCCCGGTCCATCACCGTCGATGGTCCAGGATTCGCCGGCGCGTTATCAGTTCGACTCACCGTGGACGTACGACATTGGAAACGGGGGCCGTGCCGAGCACTGTTTATTAGATTTGGATAGCATTTCTCCAGAGAGTTCGCGGTTGTATAGCACAGCACTTGTATGCATGTAAAGACTTAACAGCCGTCCAGACGTGCAAGGCACAAACAACCATGCTCTTCTTGTTCATGAACGCAAAGCTGTGCTGACCAGTCGCTGCGGTCATTGCCCGATGCAACTACTAAACTTCCAAACGGTTGAAGCGGTTTGGGAAGTGTGGAGACTATTTGCTCTGTTGCACGCATGCATGCATGCATGCATGCATGCATGTCCTCTGAACCCAGGTGGTGTTTTGGAGCTGTGCTGCTTGACAACGGTGGGAAGAGTGGGAGGGGAAGCGAGAGCAGAGCGTGAGCGTGAGCGTGGGATGAGCCAAGTTGCAGGGCGAGGATGACGGCAGAGAGCGGAAGACGGCAGGAGTACAGGAGTATAGCAATATATCGGACGCGGTAATGACGCATCCACAAGAGATTACCACCCCTTCTTTCCAAGCTTCATAGCATGGCCTCCGCAGTTGTTCGGTAACTCGACATCTTCATCTTCATCTTCATCTCCATCTCCATCTCCCCCTTGCAATCTGGATCACAATCTCCATCGCTTCATACAATCTCTCCACCGGCAGCCAACTCTACTCCATTCCCATCTCATCCCTACTCCACACGACCACCTGCGCCGCCTGCTCCCCTGCGCTTGAACCCATGTGTACCCACCCTCGGCGCTAAAAGCGATGAACCCAGACGGTGAGGGCAGCCGTCCACGGGGTGCGCAAACCCCTTCCCGCCGCAAGCCCAAGAAGAAGCCCCGTCCAATTCCAGAGCCCTACATCGTCACCGCGCCTCCGAGCGCCCTGCGCGCCGCGGCGCCCGACGATGCCGGCCTCGTTCTCCCCTCCACTTATCTCCAGAGCATGCGCAATGCCCCTGCCTCGAGCAGCGGGAGGCCAAGCTATGCGGCCAACTTCATCTCCCCGCCGACCATCATGGCGACCCCGCAAGCTCCGAGACCCCCGCCCTCCCCAGGCCCGTCGCGGGGCTACGCGGCCAACCTCCTCTCGCCGCCGGCGATCATGCCTGGCGGCCGCGCAGGCGAGCCGCTCCAACAGGGGCAGGGGCGATCGACGCCCCAGCGTGGGCGTCTCGGATCGCATGCCCACGCTAGCCAGGCAAATCTACGCCCCGCCAGTCCCAATCTTCACCCAGAAAGGCCGACCACGCCAACGCGCCGGCCCAGGCGCCGCGTCGTTCAGGAGTCAATCCGACGGCGACAACGTTCTGACACCGTCAATTCGGTAGAGGAGGGGCGCGCGATCGGCCTCGCGCGCGGCGCGAGCATGAGGAGGGTCAACCTCTGGGACGGTAGGCTGTGTGACGGAGCAGGCTGATATCAGACCTTCCCTCTGAGGATGTGCAGGGCTTCGATCCGCCGCCACCATTTCCGTTTCCGACTGCATCTAATGTACGCTCGCCACCAACTTTTGATGGCCTGCCACCCATTCCGGACTCGCCCCCACCTTCCTTCGATGTTGCTCTCGCCGGGCCTCACGATGCGTCGGCCCAGCCAGCACCCAGACCCCCATCACCTCTCGCCCATCACCCAGCACCCGCAGGCATCCCAGCTGCGACATCCTCTACACCATCACACTTACCTCCAGAACCTCCTGCAGCCACAGGGTCAGCCTCGCGGCGCACTCTCCCCACGCCACCAGAAGTCGCCACCCCGTCATCGGAACACTCGTCAAGTTCTGATGAGGTAGAGGCGGACGACCGCGCGGATCGCCGCCAGTGGAACGCCGACATCCTCGCCGGGTATACCCTCGCCGAGCGAGTGGCGCGCGAAGCTGCGCGCTTGGAGGCACGCACGCCACGGCTCGACTCACCGCGAAACGAGGCTGATGCGCGACGGCGGGAGGCTGACGAGGAGCGGAGGCGTGAGGAGGAACAGCGAGAAGAGGAGAGGCGGAGAGAGGAAGGAAGACGGAGAGATGAGGAAAGGCGACGAGAGGAGGAGAGGAGACAAGAGGAAAGACGGAGGAGGGACGAAGAGGAGCGCAGGAGACAAGAGGATGCGCGAAGAGCTGCAGCTGAGATGGCTGAGCGCGAAACGCGTGAGGCTGATGCATGGCGGGCAGCGGAAGAAGCGGCCCGTAGGGAAGCGGAGGCCGTCGCGCGACGTGCTGAAGCTGAAGCGATACGTCAAGCAGAAGCAGAGGCCCAACGACGGCGACAAGAGGATATTGCCCGACAACGCAGGCAAGATGAGGAGGCTGCACGCCTTCGCCGGCGGCAAGAAGAGGATGATGCACGCCGAGCAGCTATGGCGGAGGAGGAGCGACGCGCCGCAATAGCAGCGACACTACGGCAGGCACAGGATGAGGCTCGACAGCGCGTCCTCCGAGCGGAGGAGGAGTTACGGCGGATCGCAGCTCATGAAGCAGCAGCGCGGGACAAACAGGAGGCCGAAGCGAAGGCTCGGCGTGCTGAGACAGCCGCGGCGGCCACACGACGACACGAGGTTGATGCGGCATTGCGCGAGGTTGCTAATACTCACCCTGTATCTGCGCCCGACTTTGACGCGGCCCGACACGAGGTGATGCAACGGCTTGGCGGTCGAGAGACTCCACGAGCGGAGATCGTCGCAGCTGCCAAGGAGGCGTTGACGAAGAAAGCACGCCTCGCCACTACGCAGCCAGAAGAGGGACTCCAGCCAACTCTGCCAGCGCAATGGTTCCATGGTGGCCTGATACGCAGCGAGGAGCCTGGTGTGGTGTACGACCTCGTACCCGCAGCTAGACCCAAATCGAGGTCCCCAGGCCATCCTGCAGCGAATCCGCCCATCACGACCACGCCACCACGCTCGGCGAGCACATCTCCGCGCGCCCTGGTCACGCCCACACGGCCGCTCTTCTCCTCTCCGGCCCAACCCTACACGCATCGTGTTCAGCCGTCGACCGAGATGCTTGAGAGTCCACCTCATAGCCAACGACCCAAGGAGGAGGGGCTGGCGCTCAGCGGCCTCGCGATGCCGAACCAGAGCGGTCATATCCCCCAGCAGGACCACCCTCCGTCCCTGCCGTCCCGCCCGCCAGAGGAGTACGTGAGCGAGTACCGCCCGCCCGTGGAGCCGACGCGCCTCAGCTCAACAGAGGCGGTGGCACCACCGGGACCGACTGAGTCGCCAAGACCTATCTTCACTCCCGTACTCTCAACCGCTCCGTCTGCCTTTTCGTCGTCCCCCGCCTCCCCATCTCTGGATGGCTATCCCAGAAGACGTACGACATCTTCATCCAGCTCGGGTCCACGACCGCAGATACAGTCTCGCTCCAGCTCCGGCTCGGCGGCGGTAAAGAGTGGGCGTCGACTGAGCGGGCCACGCTCTCAGCCGTCCCAGGAGAGAGTGCCTAGTATCCCACCGGTGCATGCCGCGTCGATGTCGCCGGCACTGCGTGCCGCCTCAACAGGAGCGTCGTCTTTGGACGTCATAGTTGCATCAGGGCCGCCGTCTCGAGTGACAACTCCTGTCCCGCCCCTGGCCGGGCAGCGAAGCGCGACCGCTCAGGAGGCCTCACCGGCTGCCGCATCGACAGCTATATCATCTTCCCGGGCGGACTCAGCTCCTGCACCTAGAGCTTCCTCTACGGCGGAGTCGGCCACCTCTCCTCGCCCTTATGAACGCAGACCTACGCAATCGCGGCGACAGAGCAGCATCGTCTCAACAGACAGTCACACGACACGCTCACGCTCAAGCTCAGTCTCCGGCCCCCGCGCCATGCCCAAGTCATGTAAGTCGTCTGGCTCCGACTCGATGACGAACAATATACCTCCTGTCCCTGCCATTCCGCCACAGCACACAACAGAATCAGGAGCGGCAGCAGCGCTTCAGGCGTATAAATTCCCTGCAGAACAGACAGAGCAGGCCCCGCAAACTCGCCATCCGCGCCTCCAACTTGGTTCGGAAGCAAACGTCTCTTCGCGACATGAAACGTCGCCAATACGGCCGCCAAAGCGGAGCGACAGCCTCTCAGCGTCGGACACATCGGGACACCTGCGCCGGTCATCCCAACCGTCGGGATGGATGCCGTCCAGGTCCCCTGGGCACAGGGCTCAGAGTAATCCTTCGCTCGACAGCCGCAGCACGTCCACTGTGCCGCCGCTGTCCTCTTCGTCGTCGCGCACGCAGTCGCCTGTCGTGTCGGTGTCACAAACGCCGCCTCTTCTGCAGCGTATGGAGCATGCGCACGCTCACACCAACAGTGATGAGGTGGGGCCACCAGTACCGCCGAAGGACGAGACATCCGTTGGCAATGGAAGACCCACTGCGAGCGCTCTCAGCTCCGCCCCAGGCGTGACGCACCAAAGTCAGTCTCAGTATGTGCGGAGAGAGACCAATGAACCGCGGGAAGAGTCGGGGCACTTCCAACGCCTGTCCGTTGCGCTGGGCCGTGACTCGCGCTACGACCTGCTCAAGCATGTGCTTGGCCCGACGGACGAGCAAGGGAGGGCATCTCAACGCAACCAAGCACCCCCTCATGCTGCTAGTGCGGAGATTCTGCAGGAGCTCGACCCGCTCGTGGACAAGGGGAAGCGCCCAGCGAACGGCGAGCGGCCCATGACCCAGGAGCTCAGCGGGCTCATGGCGTCGTCGTCGGCCCTCCTTGCTTTCCTAGAGGAGGGCGCAGAGTCGTCGTCGCAGGCTGCAGCGAAGGGACAAGCTCGCCGCGCTCTGGCAGCAGAGCTGGAGCAACAGCACGAGATCGAGCGCCGCATTCACGAGCGTTCAGCCCCAGACTTGGGCCTGGACCACGCAATCGCGCTGGCGCTGCAGGAGGCAGACCACCCGAATACTGTCAATGATGAGGCGCTCGCTGCCGCGCTGCAGGCGGATTCGGAGCAATCGCGCGAGCCGCAGGCCGCCCCACAGCCGCGGTGGAAGGAAGATTGGCCAACCCTCCCGTCCAAGGGCAAGGAGCGTGCACCGCCCCCTAAGCCGAAGCGTCCCCCTCCTCCGCCGCCGCCTCGTCACATGCAAGATGCTTCGGCCTCGGTCCAGAAGTCGTCTTTGGAGACAGGGAACGGTGGCGCTCTGCCCGAACCAGTCCAGTCAGAGCGCGAGCGTGTCCCGCCTCACAAGCGCGACACTCAGTACATGATCGCATCGTTCCCTATCCCCCCTGTGCCGAGCGGCTCAAACGTCCCGACACCACCAGCACCCCAGCTTCCGCCGATAACGCCGTCGCGCCCACTAAGCCAGTTTCCGCCAGCCCGACCGGAGAGCCAGTTTATCATCCCCTCAGATGCTCCGCCGCTCCCGAGCCAGCCTGTGCCGCCACTTCCAGCGCAGCTACCGACGCCAGTCGCTGCACAAGTGCCATGGCCGATGACCTTCACTCACCCGGCTCGACCTGCTTCCCGTCCCGTGCCTCCCCCGCCGCCGTCGGCACTCGCAAGTCGCCGCCCGCCACCTCCCCCGCCCGCGCGCCAGGGAGCAGAACAAGATCCCCCACAACCTCAAATCGCCCCCCTCATCGAGCTTGACGACAAGGCTATTTCGCAGAGGCCCTCGCATCTCCGCCACCAACCGCTGCATTCCATCTCCTCGTCGTCGTCCTCCCTCCTCGATGACCCGAGGCAGGATCAGGAGGTTAACGGTCCGGTGCTAGCGCCACTGCACGCTGCACATCGCCCTCGACCACGTGGACGCCGTGACCCTCCGCCCGTTCCGCCGCGGCCGTGGGCGCGGGTGGTTGGGGAGGAGTCATCGACGCAGGAGATGTCCACAGGTCCCGCCGTCACCTCTCGCCCTGAGGCCGAACAGGATTCACGACGCGGCTCTACTGCAGAGACTCACTTGCAAAGGAATTCCACTGCCGACCCCGATGCCCATCACACCTCCGCTGCCGCCGACCAGGGCCACAACCGCCTTAGTGTTCACCGGCCTTCCCTGCTCCGCACTGGATCGTCATCTTCGAGCATGTTTGCCGGCCTCAGACTGGACGCTCACGGTCGTCTCATCGAAGAGGACCGCCCTACCTCGAGACTCGCCGAGAATGCCGCGCCCCCCGCTGCGCAATCTGAATCCTCAGAAACTCGACGCGTCTCTGAGCCGTGGCTCGATGTTACCGACGTGGAGCTATACGCATCGCGTGTGATAGACGGTGCAAACGAGTACGAGGGTTTGAACCACATCATCGATTTCCTTGGGCCTGCTAAGGAGCCTGGCGCGACGCCTGATGAGCTCGCCACCCTGGTACCCGCGCCCGTGGTCGTGGATAGCCGTCGGGTCAACGCTGCTGGTAAAGTCAAGATCAAGCTGAGCGTGCTAGGTGTGCGGGTAACCAACTGCCCCGTCTGCCTCGCACAGTATCGCGGGGATGATGCGGCTGTCCTCCTTCCCTGTGGTCATATATCGCACGAGAGCTGCGCGCGGAGGTGGCTGAGGGAGAGTAACGCGTGCATGGTATGCCGAAAGAGGTTGATCGACGACGGCGGGTCTGGATCACGACAGGCATAGGGCATGTGCCAGGCAAGGCACGGTTATAATGAGTGTACCATTGTATAATTATTGCATGTACGCATAGTTGAGACAAGAGTGGAGCCCATAAACAGGAGACGGGCACTTTTTGCCGTACACGGGTGGTATTACCCCCACAGCAGAAGCACTGGTCTTGTTGTGGAAACGATTGGGGAACACCGCCTTGATCGCTGTGATCCACCGTCCCTGATCGTCGTGTATGAGATTCCGAGACAGGAGCCGTGTTCTGGTCGTAGAACATGAAGTTTCAGGAAGGCAAAAGATCGCCGCGGCATGAGTTTGGCCCCGCTCGCCCCAGACAAAACCCCCGGTAGGCCCATGGCCCCGCCTGCATTCCTCTCCATGACTGTGCCTTGGAGCCCTCCGAAACACGCGGTGCAGGAAGAACATCGCCACGCTCCTCCGAACCCCACCGGAAGCCGTAATGCCAGGCACGCATCTCATCATGTGCTCACTCGATCACCACCGGTGTAGAGCTGGGTGACGATCACTCTCCCGTGCCTCGCCGCCGCGTCGTCAAGCGATTAACTTTGACGCCGGAGGGACGCGGCCGGCCATCGCAGCCCGTTCACGCGTCTCTGCGAAGGTGAGCCGCAGCAATATCAGGCGCATGATGTCTCGAATCCCGAAACAAACAGAACCAAGCGAACCGAACCACGCCAAGCCAACTCAGCCTTCTACCTCTGAAGCCCGGCATGCCGCCCGCGCCCACGTCTGACACATACGCCCCGGTCGCGCGCCACGAACACGCGCACGCCGGTCGCTTGATCGGCGCGATCGCCTTCGGCCTCGTCGTCGGCGCGGGCCTCTTCACGCTCATCTACTTCCTGCGGCGGTGGCGCCGGCGGTCCCGCGTCCGCATCGACCACTTCCCGCTCCCGTACGACGCGGACCAAGGATATCCGCTCGAAGCCCTCGGCCTGTCCTCGGCCCCCTCCAGTCCCGTGGGCAACAAGTCGCCGCCGGCGCTCTATCCCTCTCTCTCACATCCCTCCCTCTCGCTACCGGATCTGCAGTACTCGGACCTCCGGCTGGATCCGACCCCAAGCGGGAGTGGAACCAGCGGAGGCGGGGGCGGAAGCGCGAGCGCGAGCGCGAGCGTCGAGCCCCCCTCGCCGTCGACCAAGCGGCCGAGACGAGAGCGCAGGCGGCGCTCGGAAGTCACAGTGCACGCCACGGACGCCGGGCCCGCAGACGCGCCGGGCGTCACCGTACTGCCGCCCATGTATGATCCGAGTTGGTCGCGCGATTAAGCGGGGAAGGGTGGGCGAGGAGCGCGCAAATCATAATAGTTACCGAGATCCATAGTGAGCGCGAGGAGGTCACGATAACCTGATGTCGGAAAGGACTGATGTCATGTCCATTGTACCTGAGATTAGATGTGATCAGGCAAAATTGTGCCCATTCACTGTACCCGAGGCTTGTCGCATTGTGTATCTCTGTTCGTATAGTGGCTAGTATGCTCGCTTGTCATTTGCGGTGACCGCGGGAGACCGGAGTTCAATTCTCCGACAGAGAGCATTACTCTTGTGTTTTTGGTGCCTGTTACTCTTGTGTGGATCACGGCAAATGCACCACACAAAACACACTGATTATCAGCATGCATCACACAAATGACGTCTCTGCCGGACTGCTGATGACTGCATGGGGCTAAAGTAGCGCGCTGGGACGGAGCACTCCCATCACACTCAGAATAGTGAGTATCCCCTCCTCGCGTCCCACATAGGCACCTTGCGGCGCGCGCCAAAGTCTAGCCCCCGTGTCTGGAGGTACTCGACAACCTGGACAGACGAGGAGAGCGCGTTGAAGTACGTTTTCTCTGGCTTGACGAAGTGGCTTTCCAACATGTACGCCAGATGGCGGTGGCTGGGGTCAGCTTCAGCCGGTGTAACACTCACAAAAGCGAAAAGATGAAGCCGTAATCCACCCCGAGGTTGACAAAGTTCTCGACGGCATGCACTGGCGTGCGGTCGTAGCCAGCGAAGAGCGCGGGGCTAGTGTCAGCGCGTTCAGGGCACCTCGGCGACATACTTGGCCAGCAACCCCCGCGCCGCCATGACGCCATGCACGCCGCACTGCGCCCTCATCCGCTGTGCGTCCGCGAGATCCCACAAATCGCCATTCGCGACCGTCGGCACTTCTCCACGCACACACTCGACCGCGAACGCGAGCTTGTCGAGGCTCACCGGCTCCGTGGACGCCTGGTGCCGCGTGCGGCCGTGCACGGTGACATGGCTCACGCCCGCCGCGAGGGCGGTGCGCACGAGCTGCTCTGTGCGCCGCAGGTCCGGGTCGACGCGGATCTTGATGCTCACGGGCCAGTCCCAGCCCATGCGGCCGTGCACGCACCGCACCATGTCCGCGACGAGCTCGGGGCGGCGCAGCAGCGCACACCCGATGCCCTCGGCGTACGCCCAGCGCTGCGGACACCCGCAGTTGATGTCGAGCCCGTCGACGTGCGGCGCGAGGAGCTCGGCGGCGTCCGCGAGACTCGCGCCGTTCGGGGACGCCATTTGCGCGACGAGCGCGCCGCGCACCAGCCTCGCGTCGGGGGACGGCGGAGTGGGAGACGGCGGCAGCCGCGAGGTGACGCGCGGCGCGTGCAGCGTTTTGGTGACGCGCACTGGCGTAGGTGCGGGATAGGAGGGCGGGCGCGGGTCGTCGCCGTCGTCGGGATCCCGGTCGGCGAGGCGCAGCGCCGCGAGCGCGTCGAGTGCGTCAGTGTCGGATACTCGTGGCGGGCGCCGCCGCGGCTCCATCCAGAACACGCCGCGCTCGTCCGCGCTCGTCGTGAGGTCGCTCACACGTGCCTGCTGGCTCCGGCTGAACTCCTCCGCGAGGATCATGGGGGTGTGGGTCACCTGGCGTCAGCGACGTAGTTTCTCCACCACCGAGTCCGAGTCCCTCACGTGCGTTTCGTACAGCGACACGAGGTGGCGGAAGGGCACTGGCGTCAGCTCCGCGCGGCCGTCGCGCACATTTCGAGCAGCGTACCAGCGGCGCTAGCACGTTTACGGTCTCAAACTCCTCCAGCATCGTGCGTACCGGCAGGCGCTCGGGTGTGGGCAGGTCCGCCCAGGCCGCGGCGACGTCCTCGGACATGTCAGCGGCGGCGGCGGACTCGGGAGACAACATGCTGGGCGAAGTGGCCAAAGTGGAGGTCACAACATTTTGCGGGATTGGCGGGGCCCATCCGACTTTGGAGACTACGCTGCCCCACGTCCAAATACTCCTCAATGTCGGAATGTGGCACCACCTTCCAGCGATTTCAGCGACGTGCAAAAAGCGTCTCAGAGACTCCAGAACCCCAATAAGGCAGTCAACAACACGCCGAAGGGCCCTGTCTCGGAAGACGGGAAATGCTGAGCGGAGCATGTCACTCGCGGTCTGCTTAAAGCAACTCTCGCCACCTCCATCTGCACCTCGATGCATTGACATGTACAACTATGCTGGTGGCGGATATCCCTGTGCTGTGGTGGGGCTGGGAAAGAAACTATGTTTTAAAGGCGCCAGTACGGCAGCCCGGTTCTACTATTACTCCTGGACACTCGTAATACTCGACAGCACATTCGCTCCCTCCATTACGCCTTCTCGTTAGGAGAGACACCCCGGGGCGTCACTGTGGCGGGAGAGGGGGTCAAGGAAGCGGGCTTCTCGTACACCTCGCTCATGCCCTTTTCACCATCGCTTGGCGATCCGGCAGTGACCTCGTCGTCGCGCTCGAGGTCGATGTGCACTTCGGGCATGGGGGCGAGGTGAGTGGGTCGGGAGGCGGAGCGGCCACGCGACTGCGAGCGCTCACGGTCGTGCTGCTGCTGGAGGCGATCGGCGATCTGGACACCGCTCATCGAGCGCCACATGGGCAAAGTCTCACCGCCCGAGTTGTTGCGGCGCCAGGTGTCGTACTCGGCGGTCATCTCGGCGTTGAACTCGAGGTCGCGGCGGAAGAAGGCGTAGTCGGCAATGTACTCGTCAAGCTCGACCTCGTCCATGCCGACAATCTCGGCCTCCTCGCTGGCGCGGAACTTGCAGCCGGGAATAAGGTTGATGACGAACATGATAGCGATAGTGACAACAAAGGTCCAGCCACAGCCGACGCAAACCCAGGCAAGCTGCTTGGCGAGCTGGATCCAGTTGCGGTCAAGCCAGCCACCGCCGATGGCGCTGAAACCGTCGTTGGCGGCAACTGAGCTCTGGGCGAACAGACCGGTCATAAGGGTGCCGACAATACCAGCCAAGGCGTGGACCGAGAAGATATCCATCGGGTCGTCGACGCGCATCGAGGCCTTGAGGCTAGTGCACAAGTTGGAAACGACGGCAGAGACGAGACCGATGAGCGCGGCGGCGGGGGCGCCGACAACACCGGCGGCGGGAGTAATAGCGACAAGGCCGGCAATGGCGCCAGTGCAGAAGCCGACCATGGACCACTTGCGCTCAAGACGGAAGTCCATGATCATCCAGGTCATGGCACCAACAGCGCCGGCGAGGTTGGTGTTGAAGACAGCGAAGGCGCCCTTGAGAGACGAAGCGAAGCCGGAGCCACCGTTGAAGCCCATCCAGCCGACCCAGAGCATGACAGTACCAAGGGTGATCTGGGAAACGTTCGAGGGCTTGAACATGACACGCTCAGTGCCGTAGCCGCGGCGCTTGCCGATGAAGTACGAGTAGGCAAGGCCACCGATACCGGAAGCAATCTCGACAGGGACACCACCAGCGTAGTCGATTACACCCCACTTTGCGGCCCAGCCGTTGATGCTCCAGATCCAGTGGGCAAGCACGTCGTAGACGAGGGTGGTCCAAGCAAAGATGAAGAGCATGGCGGGCAGAGTGCGGGAACGCTCAGCGGCGGCACCGAGCAGAATGGCAGGGACGAGGTTGGCGAACATCATCTGGTATGTGGCGAAGACGATCTCAGGGAGCTTGCCGTTGGACTCTGGAATGGGACGCTCGAGGACGCCGCGGAAACCGACGTTGCGACCATCACCGAAGAAGGAACCGCCGGTTTCGGAAAAGACGAGAGAATAGCCGATGAAGAACCACTGGAAGGAAACAATGGCGAGCGAGAGCATGGAAAGCAGCAAGAGCTGGAGGGCATTCTTGCGTCGCGCCAGACCGGAATACAGGTAACCCAGGCCGGGAATCTGAATGTTAGCCTGAATGTATATTTATAGGGTCACACGCCACAACTGAACTGACCATGAAAATGATGAGCACCGCGCTGGTCAGGACCCAGGCAATGTCTCCTGGGTCGTAGACGGACGTCTCTCCGTTGAGAGTGGAGACAATGTCCGTGCCAAGCTCATTGTAGGTGAAGGTCCCGTCCGGGTTGGGCGAGATGATACCATAGGTGAGGTTGACCATGGTGAATGAGTGTGGTGGGGGTAGTGGTGGGCGTTGGGAGAGGGGGGTCGACGGAGTCGATGGGGTCGGGCAACGGCGGGGAAGGCCGGAAGCGAGTGTAGGCTGGAGACAGGCGGTGGAAGGGGAGGTGAGCGACGTAGAACTAGCTCAAGGACTGCTTGGCAAGAGGAGCGGAGACAGCGAGGGGAGGGGAGGAAGTCGAGAGGGTTGAGGTGGGTGGATAGAGAGACAAGAGAGATACCGATAAGTGGGATAAGTGGGATAGTGGGATAGAGGAGAGGGGCCCTTGCTGTCGTGTGGCTTGCGAAGAACTAGTGGGCTATCGTCACGATCGTCGGCGAGCTGCGGACGATGATGTGAATGTGTGGTGTGTGAGGGATAAAAGATGATAACACGGCTGGAGATGTTTGATCCGTGGTGTTGGCCGCCTGCTTTAAAGCCTTGGTATCTCTTGTGATCTGGAGAGAGAGGAAAATGAGAAGAGCTGCGATTAAAGCACTTATCAGTGAGACGCCCAGCGCACCAACCTCTTCGCACCCCCGCGCCCCCGCCAAAGGCCGGCCAGCCAGCCAGCCAGCCAGCCAGCCGCAAGCCGCATACGCATCACGCGCACATTCTCCAACCCCCGCGCGCGCGGCCGGCCCGCTCGCCCGCTTGTACCCCTTGGAATCCCCCCCGACCCCGCATCGACGCGTACTGCGCCTGAGAGAGCTGAGAGGGCTGAGAGAGCAGAGTGAGCTGAGAGGCCCAGTGTGTCAGGAGAGAGGCCTGGGTGGGCTCGTGCTATCTATCTCGCGCAGATCCGTCCTGTTCCGAAATGGCGGTCCTCTGTCGCGCCAGCCACTGACAAGCGGGCATGCGATCCATCTCGTTGGTCGAGGGGTCGAGGGATCGAGGGTGACGTCTTGATAGTTCGGTCATCAATGAGCTCACGGCCTCACGGGGCCACGGGGGTGGCTTGAGGCCTTGTGAGTCGTGTGCCGGGTTCGGTTCGGCCCGCGCATGCATGGTGAGTGTGAGCTGTGCGGGCTGTGAGTGGCTCGTGGCACTCGTGGCGAGGACGGCTCTCGATCGCGTGGAGCAAGAGGCCAAGTGGAGCGGAGCCACCGGCCACCGGAGCGATAACGAGTGTAATTTCGCCACCCACTCTCTTTGCTTAGGGCCTGGGCGCACATCCGCGTGTATAGATTGCCCAATCAGCGTCAAGCAACCCAGATAAGAACTTTAGGTCCCGCCGACGGCCAATCTTGCCATCTTGACATAATTAGCATTGGCTCCTAATCCCTCCATTATACCATTAGTGTGGAGGTTAGTCGCTTGCAAGCCCCGATACAGAATACCAGAACGGGCCAAGAGGGGGCACAAGGGCCGAGTCTGGATCGAGTTGTGAGTGTGTATTCTTATCTCTCGTCCACATCCACCAATCCCATCACTCGAGATGTCCACCACCCCCCCCTCTCTCTTTCCGGCCAGTTCCGAAGTCCGCCCTCCTCTGTGCATGCAGTGCAGTCGATAACCGCCATTTCTCGGCATCGGCCACTCGGCGCGATATGGCCGATTCTACCCTGCCTCGCATCACTCCCACTGCCGTCGCCGCTCCGTCGCCCTCCACGGCCTCCACCTCCATTCTACCTCCGCCCTGGGGCCACCCAAGCAGATGGCAGTGATAAGCTCCCACCCCGGACACGTGACCGCCCTGGCCCATGGGCGACTGACTTCCCCGTACCTGTCTGTCTCTGCGCACACATGCCCTATTCTCCTTGGCATCGCACTTCCCCGCGACATCATCCCTCGCTATCATGTCCGACATGCCCGGTGAATCAAAGCTCGACGCGCGGTTGGGCAGCCTCTTATCTGCTCGCCAGAAGAAGGGGAGGTTTCGCTCCCTTAAAGAGTATGACACCTCGGCCTCGTCACGCCTCACCGACTTTGTAAGTCACCGCCAAGCGGGCTGTCCAGGTCGGAAGATCGCTTCATTTGCAAAGGTCCAACATTGGGCAAGTCACCCAAGCGTGCCAAGCAGCGATGAGAACTAGCACAGTGACGGTGAGAAGGACCTATGCTCAATTCTTCTTACGGCGCACCCTCGAGCACCCCCCGTCGCGGGCAGTGCATGCACGGCGCGGAGCACCGTTCACCTTCCTCGGCGACCAATTTGATTTCAACACGCGCACGCCCAACTGACAACAGTCGTCCAACGACTACCTCGGACTGACTACCGATGCGTCCCTGCGCGCGGCCTACATCGCGCGTCTCGAGGCCACTGAGACTGTCCTCGGCTCGACGGGCAGCCGCCTGCTGAGCGGGGGCACATGCGCCCACCGCGCGCTAGAGACGCGTCTTGCCGAGCACTTCGCGGCTCCAGCCGGCCTTCTTTTCAACAGCGGGTGGGACGCCAACGTCTCCTTCTTCAGCACGGTTCCGCAGCCCGGGGACGCTGTGATCTACGATGAACTAATCCACGCGTCGGTGCACGACGGGATGCGGGGAAGTCGCGTGCTGGCCTCACGCCGCGTGCCCTTCGCGCACAACGATCCAGCCGCCCTCACGGCGGTCCTGCAAACCCTCGACGTTGCGCCGGGTGCAACCGTCTTCCTCGCAATGGAGAGCCTCTACTCGATGGACGGGGACTTTGCGCCCCTACCCGCCCTGCTCGACGTGTTCGACGCCTTCGTCCCGCGTGAACAGCAGTGTGTCGTCGTCGACGAAGCGCACACCACAGGCGTGTACGGTTCGCGCGGCCGCGGCATCGTGCACGCGCTAGATGAAGGCAACCGGGTCACAGTCCGCCTCATGACGTTCGGCAAGGGCGCCGGCGCGTCCGGCGCCGTCCTTCTCTGCTCACCCATCCTCCGCAGCTTTCTCATCAACTTCGCGCGTCCGTTCATCTTCTCCACTGCGATGCCGCTCAGCACCGTAGTAGCCCTCGAGGCCGTCTGGGACTTGCTGGCCTCACGCCACGGCGACGCGGTAAGCGCTCTTCAGATCTCCCCAAAACTTTCGTCCCCACACGCAGCCTTTGCAGCTTTGGCGAGGAATGCGTGTCTCGGAACGCGATGAGCCGGTGTCCCGGCAGATTGAGGTGGAGGGCCGTTCCTGACTTCCGCTCCCTTCCGGGAGAGTTCCGTCCAACCGTCAGCATGTTTGACCCCGCTCATCCGGCCATCCCACCCTTCTGCATCCACTGTTCCGCACTGACACCAGAAACGCGCGGACCTCACCCGAGTCATCGCCAACCTCCATACGCACTTGGCGCCGCTGCTGGCGCGCACCCCGTCCTCGCTCCTCCGCCTGCCAGACCCAACGCCCGTTCCCTTCCCCGGCGCGACGGGACTTGATCCCTCCCCGCCCGCGCCCATTGTCGGCCTCCTCACCCCCACGCCCCACGCCCTGTCCGCGTACCTCCTCGAGCGTGGGTTCATTGTGCGCCCCGTCGTGCCCCCGACTGTTCCACCGGGTAGGGAGAGGGTACGCATCTGCCTCCGCGCCGGAGTCAGCGACGCGCGCGTTGCCGAGCTCGTCGGCGCCATTGGCGAGTGGGCCGAGCTGCAGCAAAATGAAAAGGCCCGGTTGTAGGGCCAGAATGTGATTAGAAACAGAAGAGCTGGAAGAACTACAGGTGTAACATTTTGTATGGAAATGTGAGACATCATGACAAGCGTGAACAACTACTATCGAGAAAACGTCCCGTACCCCTCACTCGTTTCGATGCTGCGCCCGAAGCGCGCACTTGCACTGCGTCGCACCACGCCAGCCGCTGCCTCGACTGCGCCCGCGAGCTCCGCCAGCCCCGAGTCCAGCGTGACGGGATGCAGCGGACGCGGCGGCGGAAGGTCAATGATGCTGCTGTCCGAGACCGTGGATGTGCTGTCCGAGCCGTCGGTCTCGTACCCCGTCTCGCCAGCCTCGACGTCATAGTAGTCTGCGTTGGTGCGGTATCCCTCCTCGTCCGTCTCCCAGGGCGCGGGGCTGCGCAATTCGCCACCATCCCACCGCGGCGAGCGCACCGTCGCGGGCCCGAAGGACGTGATGCTCGTCGCGATCGACATGGCGCCATAGCTCTGCCCCATGCCCTCGATGGGCGAGACAGCATCCGCAGCGCGCGGCGGCGAAGGGATGGGCGTCGTGAAGAGCGGAGCGAGGGGCGGGCGATCGCGCGCGCCGCGCCGTTGTGTTGGCAGAGGCGTGACGTGCGGCGTGAGGGGAAGGGAGGGGGTGCGGCCGGGCGGCGGGCGTAGCGTGTATGTCCGAATTGGGGAGAGGCGCAGGAGGAGGAGGAACAGTAGCTGGGGTCAGACTTGTGCGAGAATAGAGACAGGTCATTCTGGCACGGGAGAGCCCGATAGAAAAGCCCCAAAGCCGACTTACGAACTCGGAGATGGCGAACGAGGCGGTCTGGTGTCAGCCAAGGAAGAGGGTTGCCGCTGATGTCCCCTCATGGTCGTTCTGCTCTCCGCGTCTCTCCGGCACACAGAGCGCAAGTCAATCCCTTTGAGCGCCTTCCACCTCCCTTCTCTTCGTCTCTCGCCCTCGTCACTTACCACAATCAAGAACAAGCCCTCCACTTCCCGCCTCTGCCCATCACGGCTCAGCACACCGGCGCACACCTCCCACACACACGCAATGAGCGTGCCGCCCGTAAGCGCGAGAACCCATCCACCGCGCTGTCGCCACCGTGGATGGTGCAATGCGAGGAGGGCGGCGACGCGGGCGAGCGCGAGCGCGATGAAGGCTGGTGGAGGCGCGTCCGATGCGCCGAAATCTAGGCCAGCCCAGCGCCAATGCTTCCTTAATAGCAGCGAATTCGACGATAAAGGCAAGTTCGGGGACAACGAAGGAGGATGTGAGGATGCCGATGGGGAGGGGGAGGGGGAAGAAGGTGGTCCTGCCGATACACTCGCCACCGCCCACAGTGTGTAGGCTATGTCGGCCAGGGCTAGGGGTAGCAAGGGCCAGGGACGGGCGAGAGTAGGTCCGCGTCGCTGGAAAGGCGGGGCCGCGGGGAGCGGAGTTGGGCGCGACATCGCGCCGTGTCCGTCTCCGAACTGCAAGATGAGGAATTGGAGTGCAAATGAAGTTGTGGATGGAGGATTGATCCGAGGTCATGGGTCATTCATGTTGTTGCAGTCAGGCACAGGCCACCGACTTGGCACCGAGGGACGCGACGCGGCTAGGGTCCATTGCGATCCACAAACGGCAATCTGGGAGACGCGTCATGCCCTAAGTTTCATGTATTTTGCTTGCATTTATACATCTGGCGACCTATGCGCTCGATCCCAAACAGCCGCCAAACTTTCTCTAGTCCTTCTTCTCCGCGGCAAGCTCGTACAGGTACGAGCCCAACAGCTTGGTCCCATTGATGTAGTTGCTCTTGTCGATCTTCTCGTTGGTCGAGTGCGCGCCGTCATCTCCACGCCCCACAGGGAGGAGCAGGATGTTCAGGCCGAGAATGTTGGCAAAGTCCAGCGTGACGGGGATCGAGCCGCCCTCACGAGTGTAATCCGGTTCCTGCCCGTAGACGGCGACAGTCGCCTTGTGGGCCGCGCGGAAGTTGTAGTGGTTCGGGTCGGTGACCCAAGGCTCACCACCGTGCCCGAGGCTGACCTCGCAGCGGTTCTTCGAGCCAAGCTTCTTAAACTCATCGTTAATGTACTTCAGCACAAGCTCAGTCGTGTTCTCGACGCCGAGGTTGGGGGTCGTGCGGATGCTGAACTTGCCCTTCACCGAGCAAGGAATGACCGTCTTCGAGCCAGGTGCGGAGAATGCTCCCTCGATGCCGTGAAGTGACAACGAGGGGTTGCGCATGCGGCCCATTAGCGTCTTGATCGTGTCGTCCGTAAGGGTCTGGTCGCCACCAACAGCACCCTGGATGTCGCTCATCTGGAAGTGGATCTTCTCGAACTTCTCCTGCTCATCCTGGGTGACGGGCGCAATGAGCTCCTTGACGCCGGGGATAAGGATCTCGCCAGTGGGCGAAACGAGCTTGGACACTGGTGTGAGCTCAGGCGACGGTGCAACGCGAACGACGCAACCAGAGGGTGGGACCCGAGCAGCGGTCACCGCGCCAGCAAGGAATGCAGGTGGTCACCTAAATGTAGCCAGTGTGGATGAGAATCAAGAAACCCTCAAAGCACAGTCCACGGGGACTTCGTTCCAGTAGTCCGCTCATCGTGCCGCTGCAGAGGCCCACTCCTTCTACCAACTCACTGAGGAGGATCAGGTCAGTCATCGGCTCGTGGATGGTACCACCAAACACGCCCGAGTGAAGGTCACGGTCGGGGCCCGACACCTTAATCTCATAGTAGTTGACGCCACGCAGACCGTAGGTGAGGCACGGGGTCTTCGTGTCCAGCCAGTAGTTGTCCGAGATGCACATGCAGTCGAGGCCAGCGAAGAACTTGTCCTTCTCGCTCTCAATGAACTTGTCAAGGTTGACGGACCCGCTCTCTTCCATGCCCTCAAAGATCATCTTGAGGTTGACCGGCATCTCGAGGCCGAGGTCCTTGTGGGCCTCGAGCACGTTGAGCCAGCCCATCACAGGACCCTTGTCGTCTGTCGACCCACGGCCGTACAGCCGTCCAGTCTTGGGGTCGGGCGTGAGGGTGAAGGGCTCGTAGTCCCAGCCATCTTCCTTGAGGGCGGGCTGGACGTCGTAGTGACCGTAGACAAGAACGGTTTTCTGTTGTTAGCTGGAGTTGACAGGAAACGCTGAGTGCGGGCAGGAGAGCAGACGGAGGCAGGAGAGGACGAGACTCGGATGCAGGTGGGCACGACATGAAGCGAGAGCGAGGAGGCAGAAGGAGCTACTCACCTTGGCGGGGTCGTTGCCGATCGAGCCGATAACGACGGGAGGAAGGTCAACCTCTTTGCCATCGAGTGTGTGCTTGCCGATCCCACGCTTCTCTGCCTTGACGCCGAGGTCTGTGAGCTGGCCAACAAGCCAGTCGGCCATGCGCTCGACATCCTTGGCGTACCTGTGGTCAGCGGTGCAACAGAACAATGGCGGCGGTCGAAGAAATTGGGGGAGGCCAGACTGAACACGACAGGGAGGATGGCGGAGGGAGGGAGCGTTCCGAAGGAAGCGAGGGAGGTGAGAACCGCCAGGTAGCTACGAGAGGGCGGGCGATAAGGGGAAGTTGGAGCTACCCGTCCCGCTAAAGTCGCTCGTCAAGGTCTTTATACTCACTCGAGGTTACCCGACACGCTGCTGTCAGCTTGAGCCCGAAATAGCTGCTCGGCAGCTCACTCACGAAGGAATCTCGACGGCAGCCTTGAGGCGCGCGATGAACGCGTCCTCGTGCTCGTCGACGTACTTGAGGAACTTGGGGTCGGCAGCGGGCATGGTGATGAGGGATGAGCAAGTGTGAGGGATCGCGCGAGGAGGGAGTCGAGGAGAACGATGTGACGAGAACAAGAGCTACGTTCAGCCCGCGACCCGCATGGTTACCGCCGGCGCAGAGCGCGCGATGACGGGTGCGTCACGTGGGTGGAGGGGTGGGGCACCAATCGGCACGGACCTTCTCACGGCCATGGCCGAATGATATGAGCTGGAATTGGCTTTCCGCGCTCTCTGCTCTCAGGAGTCTGCATACAAGGCTACAAGCACGCGTCTCGACGCGCTGCACACTACGCAACACCAAACATCTTGAGCACGCGGTCAACCTGCGCGGGGCGCTTTGTGCCGGGCGCCTGCTTAACGCCAAAGAGGCGCACAGTCGTATCGCGCCACACGCCCGTCGCGATACCCGCGACGTAGATGTCACCCCACAGCAACGACGTGAGCCACACACAGGACTGGGGCGACCACGTGAATTTGCGGGGCACAAACGGAGGCGCAGGCGGCAGCACGTCGGTGAGATCGATCTCTTTGAGGAGGTTGAAGACCTTAGAGCTTGGGCCTGCGGCGCGCTGCGTGTCCTGGATTTTGGGAAGGAGCTCCGAAATGGCAACAAGCACCGGGTCCAGCGGCAGCCCCTTCTGCCAACTCGTCACCCACTCTTGCGTGGGAATGTAGCCGTTCGGCCCAATGCCCGCCTGGGCGACGCGCATCAGCTCTTCGTCATCCCCGGCGCTGCTGGATTCCTCGGGCGGTGGGGAAGTAGCGCGCATCTTGCCTCGTGCCTTCTCGGACATGTGGCCTGGCGGGGGAGATGTCATGCGCGCATGGCTGTCCTCAGACCCGCGGTGCGACTGGGACTGTGATGGGCGCCGCTCGTCATCAATCTCGTCCCCCTCAATCTCGCGCCCGAGAAGAGCTGCCTTCTCCGCGAGCATCGCCAGTTCAGAGTCCGTGCGCACAAGACCACGCGGCGGCGGCGTGTTGCGTTCCTCCTCCTTGGCGCGCAGCGCCTTCTTGCGCTGAATTTCGCGCAGTCCCGAAAGGAGCGTGAACGTCGCAAGGCGTTGGAAATCGGCGTGCGCGACAAGAATCGCGTACATCAGGTTCGGGTTCTCGTTGAGCTGGTGATAAATGACCGCGTTGAAAGTCTCAAGCAGATAGTAGACCAGCCGCGGGTGGCTATCATCCGCGAGAAGGAAGTTGGGCGCCGAGAATGCTTTGAACAACTGCATGAGCCGCGTCGACGCCTGCACGCCAATGTTACGCAAATGGGGTGCCGCGTTCGTGATGGAGATGGTCAGTGCGGGGAACAGCGTGTTGAGTCCAGGCGTCGTTGCGATGCTGTATATCGATACAATCATGAAATCCGAAGCGTTGCCCTGCACAGCCCACTTGGCAGGGACTGGTTGCCGAAGCGGCTGGTTGATGGCAGTCGCAAAGCCCGCGTCGGCTGAAAGTGTCTGCAAGAGGTACGCAAGAAGGCGCAACATGCCGTGCTGCGCGGGGTCGTTCTTGAACTCGAGGCAGCAGATGAGGATGTAGCCAATAAGGTCGATCGCCTTGCCGCTCTCAAAGACATACGCGCGGAATCGCTTGTTGAGATCAACAAGGCGCCACAGGAGCATGACTGGGGTAAGCAGGTGCACGCGGGTGCGCCCAACAGCCACTTACAGGCCTCCAATAGGTATGGCACGGGCTTCTTGCTTCCCGGGAGGTAGTTGTTGGTGTGAGCCATATGCTCCTCAAGGATGCCGATGATGCCCCCGAGCACGAACGCAAAGTCGTCCTTGCGATGCAGCTTGGAAATGAAGAAACGGAACGCGTTGTCGTCCTTCTCGGCAGCCAGCCCGCCAGGGGTACCGGGCGTGGGGGTGATGTTGTCAAATGAGCGGTAGTCGAGCGCGACGAGCAGCGTCATAAGACACATGCGGACCATGGTGCGGCGCTCCTCCGCAGCACGGAACACGAGATGGTTGTACGGCACGCCGCCAGCCTTGGGAGCGAGGGATGTATTCAGCAGCGAGCACAATAGCGACAGAACCAGGCGCCGCTCGAGCGCATGCGTCAAATGTTCCAGCGGAGCGTTGGTCGCTGTCGCGAGCGCGGTTGGCGGAGTGTACACTGTCTGCGAGAGGAGAATCACAAGGAATCGCAGCACCTCAATCTTGTTCCGGTCGAGCTCGGACGTGCTTCCGATGCTCACGGTCGAGCCCACGCCCTTCTCCCAGATGACGTACTGCCGTCAGCCAGTATCCCGACAGATGGGCTCACGTTGATCTTGTCGCCTTGCCCGTCCTCGCCGCGCACCGAGTCGGGAACGGTGAACCCCGCGCAGAACAACATGTCGATGACGCACGAGAACAGCCGGTCCGCGAGAGAGGGCAGTTCCTCACCTTCCTCCTCCGCCGGAGCAGGGTGCCCGTTGGTGGAGGGTCCTGCAAGAGGATGCTCCAGCTCGCCTTCGTCGACGGCGGCGGTCAGCACCGGATCCTCGTCCTTCTTCTCGTGGTCGTCGTCATCGTCGTCGTCCCCGAGCGAGAACTGCGCAGCGTCTTCTTCAATGCCGCCAACAGCGCTGCGCGGTGGCGCGCGACCCCGACTCCATAAGTACTTGTCGGCCCACGCCTTGCCAGCACCCTCTGCTTCACCCTCGTAAACGACAACCAGCACACGCCCAAGTACTCGCAGACAGTTGAGTGCCTGCGAGGATGGGCTGAGCCCGCCTGTCTCCGGGGCAGTAGAGGATGGGAACTCAGGCGACGGTAGGAGGGTGAAGAGGTGGTGCGCGAGGGCTTGGATAAGGTTGGCAACGTTGTCCGGATTCGAGCGAAGTGCCTGCCGTACGTCCTGCACGCTGAGAAGCGAGTAAACGTCAGCGGCCGAGTTGAAAACGCTCCAGTATTGGGACCAGTAGCTGGTTTCAGAGAGTGGAATAACGTCACCCTGCGAGAGGCGCTTCAGGCCATTGTCGCCGGCTTTGAACGCTAGTTGCGCGTCCTCAGAGGAGGAAAGAAAGGGGAGGCCGATTGCCTGCGGGAGCGATTTGAAGGTGGGAAGATTGCGAAACATGGTCTGTGATGGTGACGCGTCGTGACGCGGTCTAGAGGCGAGTCGGAAGAGACGGCGATGCCCACGAGGACAAGTCGAGTTGAAAGGCTGGTACGCGTAGAAGAGCGCGAGAGAATTGAGTGAGGAGAGCGAATGAGGAGTACTGGCGTACTGGCCACCGGCTGTAAGAGCGCGGGGATCTTTGGATGAAAGCGAAGTCAAGGAGGCGATGTTGGTGGTCACGTTCCATCTTGGCTGGGCACGGCCGGCTGGGTGGGTCTGGTCCACGTGGCCCAAGGAATCCGCCTGCCAATAACATGGCCCTGAGGTTGTCGAGGCCGAGAAGCCGAGAGCCTGTCAACACAAGGATAAAGGTGCTCGCGTTCGTCAAGAGCGTGGATGCATAGCCAACTACATGTACTGTTTGCGATGCGTACAACAATGAGTGACCCGAGGTCATGGGAGAAGGAACACGGACATTGGGAAACATGATACAGCCCACAAGCGGGCGAAGGGTCATGGTAGAGCGTCAAATATCTAAGAGACGTGGCGTCTGCTGGACCGAGACAGAGGACAGGGCACCTGATGTCCGACATGCTGAAGATCTGAAGAAGGGTGTGCTCAAAGCTGGATGGGACGCGCATGCTTACCGAAGCAGCTGTCAAACAGATCGAGGAGCTGAATTTTGAGGCGGAAGTCCGCGGCAAATATCGCAGAGTCCCCCTGGACCCGCAATGAGTCTGATAGAGCAATGAGAGCCCCCGACGCCACGTCTGCACGTTAGCTCCATTAGATGCGACCTCTCACGGAACAAGTCCCAGTAGGTAGGCGAGTTCTTGCCCTTCAATTTGCACAAGATACTCATCAATGCGTGATAGGGCGCCTGACGATACTTAATGTAGTGAATTTTGCCGTTGGTGCTGAGTACTGCTTGGAGGCGGCCGCGGCCCTTTGAGTCGATGCGCAGGGCGGGGGTGGGTGCAGTGAGGGTCGCCACACACAAGTCAAGAAGCGACACGAGTTCGGCCTTGCCGGTCGGGCGAAGCTGGTATCAGCTAGTCTTGCTTCAAGGCCTACTTCATTCAAGAGTTCTTCATGAGTGACGATAGAAATGGTCACAGCACGTTTGCGGCCACGAGTGACACGACCGCCGGACATGTATGTGTTCTGGCACTTCTGCAGTACCCGCCTGGCCGCCGCTCTGGACTGAACCTCGATGTACTGCGGTCAGGCTTGCAAGATGATGCAGCTTGCTCACCATGTAGTCCTTGGTCCGACCATCAAGACGATCAATGCAAATGTGGATTGGATGAGGGTGATCGGGAGGGAGTGAATTCGGCGGAAGGAAGGCCTCGACGATGTGAGGTTCAATATCCCAGGCGACATTGTCGATACGCATGACGATGGTGTGGCCAGGCTTGGAAGGCTCCTCCGCGATCTTGTTGCGCTTGAGAGGGCGGACACCGACGTGGCGACTGCCGTCGTACGGCTGAAAGGACGTTACAACCTCGAGGCACGCGGGGCACTTGGCCTGTCCACGGGACACGGAGACGGCGGCTACACTTGAAGAAAAGCACGACGGGCAGGCGAGGTCCTGATGTCAGTTGAGGTTCGAGAGCAGTGGTCAGCTCACCCCGCAAGGCAGAAGGTAAACCATGCGGCCGACAGTCGATTCACAGGCGGTGCACGATATGGTGAGCGTGTCTTCCTGGCGATGGTCCTCCGAGTGGGGTGTAGGACGCCGAGCGGGTTCGAACACAGGGATTGAAGCGGGCTTGAGCTTCAACTTTGGGGCGCCGGAGAAGGATTTGGGGGCTCGCCTGGGCTGGAAGGAAGAAACAGGGAGAGGAATGACCTTTGGCTTGAGAGACGGGCGTTTGGGCGACTGAGGAGTGTTCGGCTTGAAACGTTGCGGCTGGGAGACCGGGAGCTGGGATGAGCACAGCTTTGAGTTGATACCCACAAGAGAGCGGCTGTAGGTTTCCTGGCGGCTGGGGTGATAATTGGTACTACCTGCCTGTGACTGATTGAGCTGGGACTGCCGTATCTCGGACCCCTCGACGGGAGGCTCAGAGTCAGAGAAGGAAAGGCTACCCAAGTCGAGACCTTCCAGTTCCTCAGCGGGAAGGCCGTACTCGAGCCAATCTGGCTGGTCTGGCTCCGCGAAGTCGGGATTGAGCGAAGAGAGGTCGTGTCCGTGCCACGCATCTCGGGACATGCAGGAAGGCGTGATACCGGACGACGTGCCGAATGGTACGATGCCCGCTCCAGAGGCAGTACAGTCGGCGAGGGAAGGTCGGCCACCCGTCGACGAGCCGGACTCGCTGCTTGATGAGAAGTCGTAGACCTGAGTCTCAAAAGGTCCGACCACAACGATTCTCGAACGCTTCGCGGCATCCTGCGGCTTGGATGAGGAAGGTGCAGGGACGGAACTCACGAGGGGGGAGTGGACTATGGCAACCTGTTCTTGCAGCATCAGAGCTTCGCTGTGGGGGAGCTGGGGGCGGGGCTTGGAGCGATAAGAATCGCGTGGAGCCGGCATGGCGAGCGGGGAGGAGGGGTGTGCTGTGAGCAGAACCGTGCCAAACAAGAGGTGCTACTACTACGCTCCGGAGTGGCTGCTGCGTGTATGCGCTAGGGTTAGGGTAATAAGAGGAGAGGAAAGATTTCAGCGCTAATGACAGGCAGAGGAGGGAGTGAGAGGGGAGGAGGACGAGGAGGACGAGGAGGACGAGGAGGGAGTTGATCTGGAGCGTTGTGAGGAGGTGAGTGTGAAGAGAAGATGAGAATGTTGAAGAGAGAGAATGCGTGAAGATATAGTGATTGCTTGACTCAGAGGGGTAGAGGAAGGCGGGTGAGGCTTGACTCAGAGGGGTAGAGGAAGGCGGGTGAGCGCATGAGCGTTGAGAGAGCCGGTAGTTAGGGGGCGGCAAGCCTAGTCCACGCGACCGAGGAAGGTGTTGCACGAGGGAAGAGGTCGACACATCACCCACCGCTGTTGACGCCCTACAAGACATGGAGCTGAAGACTGCAACGCTGACATGGCCGGATCCAAAGATCAAACGTTACGTGCAGGTTGGACAATTGGACGGCAGGGATGATGCTTTGTTTGGTTCCACTGTCCAGACGTGCGCAAAAAGGTTGTTTTAGACTTCCGAGATGGAAGGGTTCTGTGAAAAATTCGAACAACGGAGATATCGGGGCGGGAACACTGATGCGCATAGTAAAAGGCGATGTGCATATAAGGTATGTGCTCACCCCCTCCGCTGATTATAAGCATGTTGAGCTCCATATATGCTGTCGGCACACAATGATGGGTAGCCAATGGGAGCGGTGAACGCAGTCACTCGCTCTTCGTCACACTATTGCATCCGCCGCTCTTCTCAGCTGCCTCTACATTGGCCTAGGTATGTCCGATAATCGCCTGCGGTACGTAGGGCTCGTCGATGTAAGCCTTCTCGTCAGGGGTGAGGCGCATGTCGACGGCATCGATGAGCTCGTCGAGCGCCTCCAGACGCGTGCTCCCAACGATCGGGGCGGTGACGAAGTCGCAGCTCAGCTGCCACGCCAGGGCAATCTGCGCCATGCTCACGCCCTTCTTCTTGGCCAGCTCGGCGACGCGCTCGTTGATCGTCTTCATGGCGTCCGTGTGGATGTGCAGCTTGCGCGCCTGGTATAAGCAGTGGTTACGGCTGGCCACTCCACCTTGAAGGCCGAGTCTGTCTTGGCGCGGATGCCCTCCTCAGCGGACCAAGGACGGGTGAGGAAGCCACGTGCGAGGGGCGACCAAGGGATCATCCCAGTGCCGAAGAGCTGCGGTTAGCCAGTACACAAGCGACTGTTCACCTTGAGGGTCGGCACCATCTCGCGCTCCTCCTCGCGGTACACGCCATTGTGGTAATTCTGCATCGAGATAAACGGCGTAAGACGATTGGCGATGGCGTAGTCTGTGGTTAGCCGCGGCAAAGGCCTAGCCAGCATGACAAAGCAGAAGCTTATTCTTCCGGTGACCCGTCAACTCACTCTGCATTTGGTGAAACTGATATGCGTGGCACGAGCTCATGCCGATGTACCGCGCGTAACCGGCCTGCACAACATCGTGGAGCGCCTGCATTGTCTCCTCAATGGGTGTGTCATAGTCGAAGCTTGCGTCAGCTGCCTGACCCAACTGAAGTCTCCTCTCAGTATGCCGCCACTCACCGGTGGCACTGCAGCACGTCAACATAGTCGAGCTGCAGCCGCTCCAGCGATGCCTTGATCGATCCAAAGATGTGCTTCCTGCTCAGTCCCGAGCCGTTCGCACCCTCGGGCGAGTTCTTGTCCCCCGATCCACCGACGCTGCCATTGTCGCCGGGCCGTCCGACCGGGAAGTAGCACTTGGTGAGCACTACCACGGCCTCCCGCGGGCAGCCGATCGCCTTGATCGCCTTGCCCAGAACGACCTCACTCGCGCCGTTCGCATAAACGTTGGCCGTGCTAGCGTCAGACGCGGGGATTAAAGGAGGCTACGCACTCGAAGGTGTTGATGCCGCGCGAGTACGCGTGCTTGATGTGCTCAATACCCGTCTTCTCGTCGAGGATCCAGGACTGGTAAGACGGCGTGCCATAGGCTGTCATCAGCCCAAGCTACCTTCGGAGTCGTACACATGCATCCCCTGCTGTCAGCTCAGCTCAAACCAGGGTGGACGCACAGGATGAGGCGGGAGACCTTGAGGCCCGAGTTGCCCAGGCGAACTAGAGTCAGCTCGTTCGATGTGATACGTACCGTACTGCATTTTGCTCGTAGCAGTGGAAGCGCTCATGGTTGAGAGTCTCTTGTATAATCGAGGGAGAGGTCCGAGCGCGCTGAGTGGAGAGTTGTAGAGACGGGTCGATGACACTTGTCAGACAGATGTGGGGGCTAGGAGGACACATGTGGAGGGAGGAATGCCGGAGTTCGGTAACCGAGGTGGCCCACAGGTGGGCACCCCGCATTCCAGCATCCCTGACGAGCCTGACTCATCGGAGCAACCTGAGTCGAATTTGAGTCACTACTAATACGCTGCAAGGGAGCCGGAGTCAAGTAGTTGGGCATACGCTACGATGAGCCATGGTTGGGTAGCAATGTCAAAGCCGAATCTTACAGAAGGCAGGTCGTTGGAAGCCCAGGAGAAGTGGGCAATTGTTGGTACGCTAGCGAGGCAGAGCAAGTCAAGTGAGCGTCGAGTATTGCCGCAACTGCGAGATCGCTTGCATCGTAGTGCACCGTAGTGGGAACGCCTAGCGTACATGTGGTCGATTGAGCTTCGCAACGATGAACTCGACAAGGTGGTTGGTAGTTCCCATTAAGTGGTCATTGTTTGCTCTGCATCCCGGCCAGCCGTCATCGGCTGATGCTAGCAGACCAGAGAGAATCTGGATCTCGGCTTTGCGGTTGAGATGGAGCATGTGAACGAGCTCTCGCCTGCCATTAGTGGGCGCACCCCCTTCCAAAGGTTGCACCCACCTCCAGGTAGGATTGACGTTTGCGAGGTCGGCGCACATCTTCTTCGCCTGCCAATCAGCTGCCACGTCGATGCCGCAGAAACACTCACTAGCCGCGCGTCACGGGGACTGAGTGGCAGAAGATCTTCATACCGAGCCACCCTGAAGATTAACCTCAATCGCCAGCAGGCAGCTTACGCAGACCACTCTGTTGCTTTAACTCCCAAATACTCAATGCGGTCGCCGAGGGGGAGCCCAGAATGCTGTTCGGAGTGGCGGTTCGCCTTTGAGCCGTACGCATAGGCGGATAAGATTGCAATGCCTGAGGGATCCGCGTCAACGAGGACGCCGATGCGAGCGGCAGGAAACTGATCAGCCAGTCGCCGGAGCAGCTGGAGCGAGGCCAGGTCTGGAAAGCCCTTCCCCTGATGTCAGTGAGGATGTGATGCGATAGCATACCGTCATAAGCACACCCGGTCCAAGTCGCTGGTCATCGAGTAAACGTGAACTGCAGAGAGTCTGCATCACAGCCTCGTCTGTCAGCTACGACCCGCCCAGGCATGTTCACGTCCTTCTCGACGACAAGGACCCAGTCCAGCCCATTAGCAGCCTCCAGGCCGCCGATAGCCTCTCCGCGAGGGATGAGTGTGGGCTATTCCAGTGAGCTGACGTAATGCCCCATCTACGCACTGTAGCAGACGATATAGACAGGCTGTCTCCGTTTGTCAAATTCACCTTGAGGGCGTTGGAGGCGATCAAGCCCTTCGCTGCAGCACACTGGCATCAGTCAGGCTTCAAACCTTGATGGGGCTCACGACATGGAAATCAGCGCGCCTCAGCCCAATGGTAGCGACGATGTCGTCAACGATCTGGAGATCAATCTACTTGGAAAGGGGCGAGGCTCACCCCATCGACAATTCCCTGGCGCCTGAAGAGTGCGACGTCACGGTAGAAGATTTCGCTGTCCTGTTAAGCCTTGCCACCGTGCCCACAGCCTTGTACACACCGGAGCGTCACTACACAGTTGTTGAGGATGGCTTCGTACAGAACTGATGCGACAAGGAGAATGCGAGCTATCGTCAGCTGGTGCTGGTCACCCGAGGTCACTCATTCGGAGTAGTACCGGCTGTTTGTAGGTGCGATGAGGCTCGTGAGGGTAGACGAGCTCGCGCAGAACACTGTGATGTCAGAGCCGAATGTGATGGAATCTCACCCCGTCTTACGGTTCAATATTTGCATCCTAACGCCATCCCGCTCACACGCATCCTTTTCCAGTGAGTGGCGCGGAATTCTGCCCCTCCAGCACCCGAGGTGGCCAGAGTGGCTGGGGCAGGCGTGCAATTGAGCGCAGAAGTCAGTCATCAGTGACTCGAGAAACAAGACGGCGCGACTCCTGATAATGAGTAAAGTCGGTGAAGGTGTAATGTACCGGGGGTCGTCCATGCTCTCGGCAGCCCTGTACGGTCAGAAATGCGCTGGCGTCGGTCATTGGCGCCACAGGATGGCCCTGTCTCCAACGCATTGCTCTCGTCACCGGAGGAACCTAACTTACTCTGAAACCGGGACAGCACTAGCGGAGTTCAGTTGGCAGCTAGCGATCTTGAAGTACAACCCTAGTGGGTCGTTGTGAAGCGGATTGTCAAGTAGCACAGCTGTCTCCCGGGCCGGCTCAGGCAGCGCGGGGAGAAGCTGGGCGTCGCGACGCTTCTCTCGCTGCTTCATGAGGAGCTTGAATACGGCAGCGTCATCATTCTCGTCGATGCCGGCTTCCGCGAGTGCTTGAACTGGTGAGGACGGCAACAACGGGTCAGGTGGGGTGAGAACGTCACCTGAAAATGAAGGCGGCGAGCGATATAGCGATTGGAGGGGAGTTTCGGCCTCGAAGCTCTCACATCGAGTGAAGGATTTGCTTGGCGCTGTGCAGGATGGCGGTCCTAATAGCACCTCCAACGACGGCAGTCCAAGAGTGTAGCCACCAGCGATGTTGTCGCTACCGTCCTGTCTGTGCGGCCTGTTGTTGTTATCTGCCCGGTTCATGTCAGGGGGAGCCTCAAGCGCGACTGGCGAAGAGGCAATAGTGAGACGACCAGAAGCGGAGAGGTAAGCGGAGCGTGATGATGCTTGGCAGGTTTGACGCTGGAGGAACTGTGTTCGAAGACAGCACCAACGGGCAACAGTTGAAATGAGAAGGAGATAAACTGGACGTGAGAGAGAGGTAGGAATAGAGGGCATCGCTTGCAAGGAAGGTTGGTATCATCGACCCTCTTGGCCACTTCCGCGGCATCTCACGCTCTGCATCCTCGTCTGCACCGTTTACACTCACTAGCTCATACGCGCCGTAAGATTACAGGCATTGCTCCGGCACCGCGTTGCGCCGCGGGTTCAAGCCGTCAGTCGGTGACAGTCATCCTTGCCTAGCTGCTCGAGGCAGAGCTGTGTCTGTACGCGCCGCGCGGCTTCTCTCTTTTCGGCGCTGCTAGTATGCAGCTCGTACTCAAGGCTTCTGCTCATCGCGGTCTTGCTGGTCGCGAGTTCGTGACTTTAGCGGGGACATGAAAGTGAAGTGGAGCGAGGAGCAATGCGACAGCGCGACAACACAGGCCAGTGCGTGATCAGCTGTCCTTTCGGCGTGGTGCATGTGAGCAAGGATTCCGCATCTCCACTTCGGCGGTCATCTCCGTATCCCCCTATTGAACACCGCGTCTCCACGCGCTCCACGGCCTCCACCCACAGCGCTTGGATCGCTTAAATCCCAGCCGTCGGACCAGCCCGTGGCTTCAAACCCGATGGCGACATGCATCGTAAGAAGTGGTAATCAGGACTTTGATCCCGCTAATCGCGGCGATGGTGGAGGGTAATCAGTTGCGAGTCGGAAATTGCCAGGGGTGGGCGAAGTCGGGTGGTCCCAAACCCGGGCAACGCGTTGCGGGCAATCTCTTCCACAAGCAGCCCACCGTACCACCGACTTTCTTCCACACTCTTACTCATCTCATTACCTCAGCTCGCCATCCTTTCTTGCCTGTCCCCCCGGCACTCTTACATGCTCTTCCGCCTCGCAAGAGCTTCCGCACGTCTCACTTCCTTCAACCGTCTCCCGCTTGTCCGTGCTATCAGCACTACTCCCATCATGGCTACCTCTCGCACCTCCGTGATCCCTCAGGCCGAGCGCATGTTCGATGGCGGCACCCACAAGCTCGATGTATGGACTATTTTCACGTGAGATCCTCTGACGCTCTCTCGGTAGGCTGGGCGTTGGCTGACTCGTAGCCCGGCCAACGTTCCTGCTGATTGCATCAACCTTGGGCAAGGTTTCATGAACTGGGCGCCTGCTGAGTGGATCCGCAAGGCAGCTCATAAGGCTATGGACGAGGACATTATGGTCAACCACTACGCACACCCCCGTGGCCGCCCCCGCCTTGTCAAGGCCATCAGCGACGTTTACTCGCCAACTTTCCCCAACCTTGAGGGCCGCAAGCTGAGGACGGAGGAGATTGTTGTGACTGCCGGTGCCAATGGAGGTGAGTAAGCTAAACGGGAAGCGGGATGCTTTGCGGGTCGAGTCCTGGTGGTGTAGACGTGGGCTGACAACCAAAGGCATGTACGCCGCGCTCACCGCCCACCTGGAGCCCGGGGACGAGGTTGTCCTTATCGAGCCGTTCTTCGACCAGTACTTTGCGACCATCGGTTTCCAGGGCGCCAAGCCCGTCTACGTGCCGCTTCACCCGCCCAAGGAGGGCGGCGGCAAGTCGAGCGGCGCGGACTGGACTCTCGACCTCGCCGAGCTCGAGGCGGCGTTCACTCCCAAGACGAAGGCGATCATCGTTAACACGCCCCACAACCCAGTTGGCAAGGTGTTCACCCAGGAAGAGCTTGAGGGGATCGCCAAGATCTGCATCAAGCACAACGTCCTCGTGATTGCGGACGAGGTCTATGACTGCATGATCTACGACGGGAAGAAGCACTTCCACATCGCCTCGCTCCCCGGCATGTGGGAGCGCACGCTCTCCGTTTTCTCTGGCGGCAAGTCGTTCGCGGCCACTGGCTGGCGTGTCGGATGGCTTGTCGGCCCCGAGGCACTCGTCTCGGCTACGCTCGCCGCTCAGTCCCGTATCGTGTTCTGCACCAACGGCCCCATGCAGGAGGCGATCGCCATTGCGCTTGAGGGTGCCGCCGAGCGCAAGTTCTTCGAGACCCAGGTTGCTGAGTACCAGGAGCGCCGCGACATCCTGTGCTCGTACTTTGACCAGCTCGGCCTGCCGTACACGCTCCCAGAGGGATCCTACTTTGTGCTCGTAGACATGAGCAGGCTCAAGATTCCCGTCGACTACCCCATTCCAGAGACGTGCAAGGGCCGCGGCAAGGACTTTGCCAAGTGCTGGTGGATGGCAAATGAGATCAAGGTCGTGTCCATCCCTCCTTCCGGTGAGTGTTCCGGCTCGGGAGCGAAGCCAGGCGCGTGCCCGAGGCCCTGACACTGCCACATGCTGACAACAGAATTCTACTGCGAGGACCACGTCGCCATCGGCGAGAACTTTGCTCGGTATGTGTCCTCCTTGACGGCATTTGCTGACCGTCAGCTTCGCGTTCTGCAAGGACCCCGAGCTCCTCCATGCTGCGGGCAAGCGCCTTCTCGAGCTCAAGCCCTACCTCCAGTAGACGCCGTCTCGGAGATGGGCTGCCTTGGGAATGTTGTACAAGAGTGGGGCTGTCATTTGGCGGACTGTGACTACGAGAAGGACATCTCGGCATTATTATCATGCATGATATAGAAGAACGGGCGCGAGGAGGGCACGAGGGCGGTGAATGTTTGGGGAAGTGGGGCAGAACGATATTCTGGGCCAGAAACCAAATCTTTGCTCTAGGAGTGGGGCGGCCACCGTATCGAAACAAGGTTGCATCCGTTATCTTTCGGGAAGGCTTCGAGCTCAGTATCGCCCAAATCCTCTGTTGATCTCCAGACGAGAAAAGCTCTCGACGTCTTCCTCGTTCTGCATTCACGGAGCGAGCTTACAGCAGGTCTCACGATGAGAGATAAAACTCCTGCACACCTGCACTGGCCAATGTCGACAACCGCAGTGGACTGGCTGAAAATCGGCGACAACCGTCATTCGGCCCGTTTTACATCCACCATTCCCTGCTCCAGTCCCACCGCAGACTGGCATGATATCAAGCCGTCAGCGCGCGCACAACATCGCCGCAGCATGGTAGAACACACTCGATTTACAGAGGTGCTCGGATTGCTTCGCGTATCAGACAGGAGACCGCGAAATCATAATCCCAGGCACCCAGCATCCGCCTGCTCTCTGCGCTCTATGACGCTGGAACGCTGGAACTCGTCCTACCTTGCAGAGCGCCAGAGCGATTGTTTGCTGGCCCTGCTCACAGGCCGACGACTTCTGGAACTTTGCACGTTTCATCCAACGGCAGATAGGGTCGTTGTCCAGAACACTTCCATCTGTTAGACGTTTCAGGGTAAAGCGGGGACTCTTAAGTGAAGAGATCGTGAACGTAACGTGCTCCATGAAGCACGTACTCCCGTCCTCTCTCCCCACCATCATTCACCTCCAAAGAGTCGTTGTCGCGTTGGTGAACACGGGAAGTGTGAGGCCCTGACGTTGCCTCGTCCAGGCCTGCTGGGAGCTGGGTGGAGACACATGCTCACTCGCCCTCGTAAACCTCGATTGAGTATGGCTGTGGAAGCGATACCGACTTATGTACTCACCACTCACTCCGCCGGCCACCATGCTGCCATTAATACCACCAATACTGGCGCTCCTTCTACCTCCAGCATTCGCGTTCGTTCTCGAGCTCTCCGACAGCTCCGCTGCGCTTGTCTACTCCCCCTCCGTCGTCACACCACTCGCCGAGCGCGCCGGAGAAACATGGGTTGACTGGTACACCAGTATGGACGGGAGCCCGCCACCCGGACCCTCAGACTTTGTATGGCCCAGGTATGGGAGCACGCACACGACGTCGCGCGCCGGCGCATCGGTTTTCATCTTTTTTGCTGGGACGCGTATTGAGTGGTGGGGCCGGGTCGGCGCTGGCACAGTCCTCTCCACGAACGGCGAACAGGTCTCGCCCCGGCCCACCAGGGAGAGCATTTCTCTCGCGGCGGCTGACTTTGAACTAAGCGTCCACAATGCGTCCCTCACCCTTGTGAACGGCAACGTCACGCTCACGAGTGTGCGCATCACTGTGCCCTCTACCGAAAAGTCGTGGACATCTGAAAACGCTCTTACAGAAGCCAGCGGCGCGGTGAACCCCTTCTTCAACGCGCCATTGTGGGAGACAGCACTCTCTCTGGCGGGGAATGGTGCGTATCCTACCAGGTCTTGCTGATACAGATTGGCCTAGCTTGAGAGGCCATGAGGTCAAGGGCGAAGCCCAGTGGTTGAACTTTAGTATCCCGGCTAATACGAGCCTCATGGTGTTGAACTGCGCCAGCGATCCGCGCGTGACGACGTTTGACCACTTCATCTCCCCGGGAGGGAGACTGCCTCGCGTCAATCTTCAGCGCTCTTTTGCCGCGCCCATCAACGCTACTGCGCTCTTCCTCGACCCCGCGGTCAAGTATGAGTACGCGTTGCTGCCCGTTAGCGAGAGCCTCATAAAGTTCAAGAGCGTGAGCTTCCTTACGGGCGACACTCCCGGATTGCCTGTCACTGCGACGAGCGGAGTTCCGGATGCTGCGTCGGCCGCCACTAATACCGACGCTGGTCCTGAGGCGGCTGGAGCAGGAGTGACAGAACACTCATCGCCTGAAGCGCCTCCGGTAGCGAAGACGGGCAACGTCGGGGCAATCGTGGGGGGTGTGGTCGGCGGGCTACTAGCTTTAGCCCTTCTGGCCTGCGGGTTATGGTTTTTTCGTCAACGCCTGATCCAGCGCCGCTCCCACATTGGAAAGAGGCTCGACCTCAACGACAGCAATATATCCGTGACGCCTTACGAAATGGAGGACAAACTCCCGGCGCTGAGTCTGCACCCCACGCTGGATCATTACCCGACGCCAGACGTAAGTCCGTTCCCGACGCTCAGTACGCACGAGAGCGCGGGATGGCACCCATCACAGTTCGCCCCGCCGCTCCCCATCCCCGCACAAGCTGTCGCCGAGACCGTGCACATCCGCACGCCTCCACCTGCACGACCAGCTATCAACACGTCGCTTGTCACCCGCCCACTATCCCCCACACTGGCGAGCAAGCGCGCAAGGCTGGCGCCCCTTAGCGCTGGACCGCTCAGCGCGGGACACGATCCTTTCAGCGCGACGTTCGACACCCCCGACGGCTCGGTGATTCCTAGCTCTGCGTCGAGTCTGGATTCAACTGACGGGCGTGAGATCACGGTGCATGCCACCGACGCCGGGCCGGTGCTTATAGATGTCCTCCCGCCCATGTACAACCCTGCGTGGACCGGGCCTGGCGCCTCCGAGAGGCCCAATGGATAGTTACATAGTTACATGCTGGTACCATGTATATTTCACTGTTACTGAGTGAGTCCCGACCTGCGCCACAGTTCTGTGCGTGTACTCTATGTCTGGTCTTGTTTTGCGGAGTGATCTGTGCCGCATCTCACATCAGCAGATGCCCACCCCGGAGCGGGCTTGATAATCACCCCTTGATTTCCGCGGCTAATCTCGGCTCCTGGCGACGATACGACTCACCCTCCATTCCTCTCATCCGACCCGACGCGCTCGGACGACATCTCCATCTCTGCATCTCCGCATCTTCCATCTCGCCACCCACTGCACTCTCGCAATGGCAGAACCAGCAGCAACGAACAGCGATGTGGCTGCGCTGAACGGTGCGCGCGCCGTCTCCTCCTCACCATCATCCTCGGCCTCGGCATCCACGGCATCTGCGGCGTCTGCGGCATCTTCGGCGACTCCGAGAATGCCCCCAGAACGCGTCCCGCCCCCTCCGCCCGGCGTCAAAGCCGCGCCGATCCTTAGCGCCGCCCCGCGCGAGGCCTTCCCGAAGCGCCTGCTCGCCCGATATCTGCGCGCCCTTGCGACGCGCCCGCTCCGCACCAAAATGATCACGAGCACATGTCTCTTCGCGACGGGGGACACGCTCGCGCAGTTCGGCATCGAGGGGCGGCGGCTGCCATGGCTTCGGGAAGAAGGGGGGGACAAGGATGAGGTGTGGGACCCGGTGCGGGCTGCGCGGCTCATGTTCTGTGCGTCAAGCTTGGGCTAGGAACGCCGCTAACGGCAGATGGCGGGTTCGTGTTTGCGCCGCTCGCGCATAACTGGATCAACTTGCTCGAGCGGGTACAATTCAGCTCGCGGTTGAAAACGCTGGCTGCACGCGTCGCGCTCGACCAGGTTGTGTGGGGGCCGTTTATCGTGTGCTTGTTTTGGACGACGAACGGGTTCCTCGAAGGCAAGAGCCCGTCCGAGGTCAAGGCCAAGCTCGAGATGGCCTTCGTGCCCGTCTACACCAAGTCGCTGATGGTGTTTGGCCCGACTGCGCTTATCAACTTTGCGTTCGTGCCGCTTCAGCACCGGCTGTTGGTTGGGCAGAGTGTGGGACTGGGTGAGTGGCAAGGAGGTGTTGCTGGTAGAGACTCTTGAGTCAGGCGCTGCGGAGGGCTGAGAAGCCACGACACCGGCTGGCTGGACGCGCTAACATCAGGCTGGAACACCTATCTCTCATATCTCAACCACGTCAACAACAAGCGCCTGGCAGCAGCTGCGGCCGCGCTGTCGAGCGCCGAGTTGCGCGAGGCGGAAAGCGTTGCTGCACACATCGATGCGTCAGCCGCACACGCCGACGTGGAGAAGCAGAAGGCAGCAGTGGAGGCGGCGCGCGCGCGCAAGGAGAAGCTGCTGGCTTCACAGGGCGGCGGCGCGACGGGTGTTGGGACACGCATGGGCGTGTAGCCGCACATTGCAGATGCTTCGCCCGTGACACCGTGCCCCACCGCATGACCGCAGCATCGCGCCGGCCGCACCAGCGCCGACATGCTCAGGAGTACCGATGCAACGTCGTGCCATGCAGTATTGTACATATCATATGGAGTGGTATTGTACACGCCCGGAGGCGTCTGTGATTTTCTATACGAGACGGGGAGCATCTTCCTCGAGCACGGGCGCCGACATCACCGGAGCTGGAGTTTGTTCAACGCGACGGACACGCGGGGCCGACGACGGCTGCGTCAGAGGCCCAAGGACCTCCTTGACCTGGCGCATGACGGGGTGCACGAGCTCCTCGTACAGCTCAGGTCCTTCACGGATAAGCAGCTGGTGTCAGTGTCACGTTCATCGGCACAGGATACCCACGAAAACAACCTCCACCGCGATGAGGAGGATAATGATAATCTCCATGCGGTGTCCGCTCGCCTCGGTAAGCAGCGCGCGCAATGTGTTCTGCACTTCCTGTGCATAGTCGATTTTCTTGTTGATCGTCTCCACGCGCTCCTTCATCTCGAACTCGTTTGCGATCGCGTCAAAGTACTTCTCGAGCTCGGGTTCGGACCAGTAGAACTCGGGCGTGTCCTCGAGGCCGCCGCCGCGCGTGTTGACAGCCATGCGTAGCGTCATGAGCTCGCCGATCTTGCGGATTACGTCGCGGCGGCCGAGGGGCTGCTCGCCGAAGCGCTCAAGGGCGCGGGGAAGAAGCGAGACGGCAGCAATGTGCTTGTCCAGCCGGTTCTCGAGAACGGAGAGGGAGGAGGAGCGCGTGAGCGACAGGCTGAGGGTGTAGCGAGCAAGGAGGGAGGCGAGTGCGGGCGAGCTGCTTGGGAACGTCGACAGCTCAGGTGGCCGACCCAAAAGAATCAGGTTGCCCATGATGTGTGTTTGGCTGGAGTCAGCTGATCTCGCCAGCTTAGCGAAACTTACGCTTCGGGGTCGACGACGAAGTCCACCTCCTCGACCTCACAGTCTGCGTCGGCGAGGCGGCCGTGCTCGACGCGGCTTCCCTTGCATCGGATAACGTCGCGGAGGAACGCGCGCCCCTCCTCCTCAGTCAGGCCCCAAGTAACGAAACTCCCCGAGTGGAAGACGAGGATCTCGCCTCGGTCACCATACTCGAACCCCATTTCGTCGCCTTCGTCCTCGGCCTCCGCGCGCACGTCCTTGCCACGGATAAGCCGCTCCGCACCCCCACGCCCCTTCCAAGGCCCAATCACGAACGCACGGTCCGGGTCGCCCTCCGGCACCTCGTCCCAGCGCACGCCCAAGCGGCGCAGAATCACCGCGAGTGCCGACAGGTCGTACTTCTCGGCCGTGGTGTGAGCGATGCACTGCAAGATCGGCCCGCGCGTTGGCGCTGTCTCGTTACGCAGTGGCAGGGACGCGGCCTCCATACGCCGCCTGGGCGGCTTGTGCGCCGCAGGCTTGGGTGGTGAAGCGCCGAGGCGGGCGCGCACCCGCTCCAGCGCCTGCTTAGGCTGCGTGGCAGCCGGCGCCTGCTTAGGCTGTGTTGAGGCGAGGCGGACGGGGTGGAAGTGGCGGCGGGGGATGGGGGGTACACGCAATGCCGAGAGCGTACACCGCGTGCTCGGCGTGCCCGTCACGCGCCAGAGGCGCGCTGTGAACATGTTAGCGAGGGACGAGGGTAAGGGTGGTGCTGGAAACAGCCAGAAATGAAGCTTGATAAAGCAGACCTCGGCCTCGGCAGAACTCTGCCGGAGACAGGTCCATCACGTGATGCACGGGAGCAATCCGCTCCGCCCCCCGTCCTCGGCATTCAGGCGAAAAGTCGAATCGCCACCCACCATTCCCCAGCACTCCAACACATCACTCAGTAATCATGTCCTCAGCAGTCGCCGTGGGTCTTGGCGCGCTCGGCGCCGCGTTCGCCGGTCGCGTTGCGTGGCAGATGATGCGCCGCGGCGCAACCGACAAGTGGATCAAGGGCGGCTTCAAGGCCAAGATGGACCGTTCCGAGGCGATGCAGATTCTTGCGCTGCGGTGAGTGCGGTTTTGGGTGCCAACGGGGCGCTCGGACATGGGAGAGATGGGATAGAGGCCGAGAGAGCGGGAAGTGCTAAGGACGGCGGGGACGACTGAGCGCGCACGAACGGAGTGCTCGGACTCGGTGCTTACCCCACCACTACCTGTACGCTGTTGCCACCGCTTCTCCCGGCGCCGCCTTCTCCTGTCCTGCCACTTTGGTCGCCTCCCCGTGTACTCGTGGTTATACCACCTATCCTTGCTGTAGCGATTGCTAACGACAGTGATCCCCTCACGGCCAATAAGCTCAAGGACGCGCACCGCCGACTCATGCTCGCAAACCACCCCGACAGGGGAGGGTCGCCTCTGCTGGCAGGGAAGATCAACGAAGCAAAAGCAATGCTTGAGTGAGTATGGCTTCGGAGTTGTCGCAAGTGCAAATGCTGACAGCGTAGCAAGCACGTGAGGAAGTAGATGGGTTTCTTGGATGATGCATTATGTATACCACTCCATGAGGCAGTGCGCCGCTAGCCTCGCTCAATCCCACTCACGTGATCCTGGTGTGAGATGGATCCGAATGTCCCAGCAAGAGATAACGCAACAGCGCAGGCCCGGGCTCGTGATCGAGATCGTGAACGTAAGTCCAGCGTTTCTCTGTCGCCTCACCCAGCCGATGTCGGATTCGATGACTCTGCGTACGGCCGCAGGGTCACGGCAATCTGAGGCCTGTTGAGGACGCCCCATTAGCTGACTGCGTGAATGGCAGCCATCGCTCGGGAATCCAGTGTTTGGTCGCTACCTCTGGCTGAGCGACGACCGAGCAACGAGGTTTGGAGTGACAGGCCAAGTTGAGGAGCTGGATTATGACTTTTGATATCCGAAGATCGTGGCGGATCCGAATGTTTCGATCGGGCGGCGCGTTATGTCGGACGATTCGAAGCAAGGAAAACATATTGAGATGTCAGCACAAAGTTATGGTATTGTCAGCTGCCAGAATCCATCGTCGCGCAGATGACTTGCACCATGTGAGGGCTGAAGACGAGGGGGACGTCTCGCCGCGTGCTTCACCAGGACATTAAGAATGAGGAGACCTCTCGACCTCATGTGCACACGATCTCACACATCGACAACACTGTCAAATGAGGCAGGTTGAAGGAAGGGGCGCGGAAGTGAAGTGGAGGTGGAGGTGGAGGTGAACGCTTCTTTAACATATGCCACATACACGTGGCAACTTGAAAACCCGAATACTCCGCCAAACGGACGGACACATTCCACCATCTCCGTGTGAATTCTCCCTCCCGGTCGTTGTCGCCATCGCCGTCGCCGTCTCTCACTCATCCGTCAAGGTCACATACAACTAAAAATGGCACCCACCAAGAAGTCCAAGTCCGCCAAGAGCTCGGAGAGCATCAACGCCCGCCTCCAGCTCGTCGTCAAGTCGGGTCGCTACACCCTCGGCTACAAGCAGGCGCTCAAGCAGCTGCGCAACGGCAAGTGTAAGTGAACCGGCGTCTGGAGCCTGGTCGAGAAGGCCTCGCGGTCCGGTGTGGTTCTACTACGGCTTGACCGCTGGAAGTAGGCCACACCGGAGAGACGCGAGTGTCCGGAGCCTGGCTGAGAAGGACGCCTTGCTGACGCATTTTCTTGGTCTGGATTCGTCCTGCAGCCAAGCTCATCCTTATCTCGCGCAACTGCCCCCCGCTCCGCAAGTCGGAGCTTGAGTACTACGCCATGCTGTGAGTAATTTGGACGGATGCCGGCGAGGAAGGCGAAGGCGGTGTGCGGATCAAAAGGGCGGACGAGGCTTCGTGTGCGCAACGAGTCGTGCGCGCCCAACTTTTCGCTGCCTCGTATCCTGCGCACCCCGCGCTTCTCCTCGACGGCTTCGTTTCTGCTTGTTTGGCCGTGGGAGCCTCGCTAACCCCACAGCTCGAAGACCTCGGTCCACCACTACGACGGCTCCAACGTCGACCTCGGCACCGCCGCTGGTCGCATGTACCGCGTCGGTGTCATGTCGATCCAGGACGCCGGTGACTCCGACCTCGTGAGTTCCCCGCTTACCCAGAAAGGAGCCTCGCTGACTTTCCGCAGCTCCAGGTCCAGGAGCAGTAAATCTTCTGATACTTGGGCTTCTTCCGTCTCGACGGTCATGCATTGTACTTTTACAGTCATGGCATGTTGCATGATGACCTACGATTGCGCGGCATGCTGATGGCGGATGGCAATGGCTGGAGTGCGCGGGGTGCGCGCGAACAACCAGGCGATGTGTGGGAGGATGGGTGCATGTTGGAGTCAGATGATATATGATGGGGCTATGTGGCCATGCTGGATGCTGTTGGAGGCCGGGATGGCGTCACGTGTACGATCTGTACACGCGTGCCCGCGTCGAGTGCAGTGTCCCAGAACGTTGGCGCAGAGGCATCCATCGGTGCGAGGCTGAGGAGCTGCGTACGCATGGCTCGAGAGGCTGGTGTCAGCATTGGTAGTTATGTGAGTTGTGTCAAACGGACCACATTCGTCAAGGAAGAGCTCAAATGTGTCCTCGTTCCGAACTGTGGCAGCCAGGACCGCGTGACTACCCTCCGCTAGCACGTCGATGGCGTCCACCAGGAGGGGAACCAGATCTGGATCGTATATCTGGCGTAAGTTATGTCCACATCTTGAGCTGCAACGTACAACATCAGCAGCCATGACAACTCGTCGCCTTCCCTCGACCGGCTCGAGTGCCTCTGCCCACGCGGGGGTGCGCTGGTCAGGCGACGCGGACGCATCTGCCCAATCTAAAGATCGCACCTTCGGTGGCTTGTGCAGCTCATCTGTTGTAAGTTGAGCACAGCGGTATACGGCTGCCTACTGAGAGAGATGTTGGCTTTCAGCCGCCCAAGGGGTGTGCGGAACGCCTGACCCTCGTCGTCACCATACTCGTCGCCGAGGTCTGTTGTGATCACGTCGGCGCCTAGTTGCGCCAGGAGAATGGAGAGGAAGCCTGTTCCTGCGCCGAGCTCGACCACTGGTGGAAGCGTAGCAGAGGAGAAGAGGGTTGATGAAGAGTGTAGGACGTGGTGGGCGAGATGGAGAGCAGCCGTCCACGTTCGCAGACCCGTGGTGCCCGCTTGTACAGCGACTTGTTCTTCACGGAGAGTGATCGCACGTTCCGGCTCGCCGTACAAAAAGGTCTTGAAAGACTGCGGTGGTCTGGAGTGAGCTCATGATGCCAAAAACCTACAGCCGCGCGAAGGTAAGGTGGTTAGTCCTAGTCGAGCTTGCGGAGGGCAGAAATTGTAGCAACCACCTTCCCTCGACAGACTTACTCTCCAAATCGAGGTGGTGTAGCCATGAGCTCGGCCACGACCTCGTAAACCCGCTCTTCTACACCGTCCTCGCCTGCCCCAGCCTCCAGAGCAGGAAGAGCTCGCTTCCAGAAGGAGCGTTGGTATCCTTCTTCCGGGGCTGGGAGTGGGCTGTCGACGAGGTTGTCTGCCAACCATTCTTGAGCAGCTGGAGGTAGATCGGGAATCAAGAGGAGATACGCAGGAACCAAAGCAAAGTACTGCCTTCGCAAGGTCTGGAGGGCTGGTAGATTGATGTCAGACATGTTCACTGAGGCGCCGCAGGTTACGCGTAGGTTGGCAGGTCGGCGGCGGTGGTTGAGAGCCAAGATGATCGAAAACAACGATTATGAGTTGGGGAAGTGGGGCAGTCTTTAAACCAGGGGCCGAATAACAAGGAATTGAGGGGTTATGATGGGATTGATGCACGCGAATGACTTTCCAGCTTGGAGGCTAAGTGGCCAGAAGTGCACCCTGAAATGGCAGGTCCAAGCTCCGCGGTCAACAACAACATCCCCCCCGTCACCCCCCATATCCCTCATCCCTCATCTCGCTCACTCCGTCCTCCCCACGCTCCTCTCGTCTCTATCATCCCCTCGTCCGCTCACTGCAACTGCACTCACTATCTCCTCCTCTCCTCCCTCTTTCCATTTCTCCTCATCGCTTCGCTTGTCAGTCTGGACACCTCCCTCCTCCAGCCTGTCGTCGCGGTGCCGCTGCCTCCTCGTCATCACCATCTGCAACGCTCCCCCTTCAGTCCCAATCGTCGCCCTTGCACGCAAAACCCCAAGACTGATCGGCTTTGAGCCTTTCTCGTGCCCTTCTACTCCTCCTTCCTCATCACTCGTCTTCACATATCTCCCTCGACCCCAACATCGCCCCCTCCTTACAATCCACCATGGCTTACCTTATGGACGATAATGCCATGCGCATCTGCGGTACGTTCATCAAGCGCTCTTCTTGGTCAACTGGCAGACCGAAGTCTCGTTCTGGATGCTGACGCACGGACCAGTGAGGCCACGGCCTTGGCATCCCACTAAAGAGGTGCCCTACCTCGCCCAAGATTGCGATCAGCCATTCTTCATAGGCAACGGCAACTTTGGACAGGCCAAGAAGCCAGCAGGGGGTGGCGCTATCCGTGAAATCGTCGGTGTGTCTTGTTGACTGGTGCAGTGATGACTTACCATCAGAGGTTATTGACAACCGATCACTCGACTTTGATCGCAAGCCAGATCGGACGGCGGCGCGGTACGGCGGGTTCAGCGGGAAGCGGCACAAGGACCGCCGGTGAGTTCTGTCGGCTTAGGGCGAGCTGACTTCAGATATGTGTTCGACCATGTGTTCAAGATGGCCGCCAGCCAGGAGGAGGTGTACGCGAGCACGGCTAAGCCGCTTTTGGACGGGGTACTGTCCGGATTCAACGCGACTGTCTTCGCATACGGGGCAAGTCCCGTCTCGCTTAAGATCTGACCATCAGGCTACCGGGTGCGGCAAAACACACACCATCAGCGGCACTCAGGAAGACCCCGGCATCATTGTCCGTACGATGAGAGACCTCTATGAGCGCATCTCAGAGTCTGAGGACCGCTACGATACCCATGTAGAGCTGTCCATGATCGAGCTATACAACGAGAACATCCGCGACCTTCTCTCCGACAACTTCCCACAGATGCCCACCGGAGGTCTGAAACTCCTCGAAAACGAGAAGGATCGGGTCACCATCGCCGATGTCACGATTCGGTCACCGAAAACGGCTGACGAAGTCATGGAGCTGGTGATGATCGGCAATGAACGGCGTAGCACTTCCTTCACCGCAGCCAACTCGGTATCTTCGCGATCACATGCCGTCCTCCAGATTAGCATCGCCCGCAAGAGTCGCAACCCAGACGTCAACGTGGAGCGCGAGGAGGTTCTTCTCGACACTTCATTCGCCACGCTATCAATTGTCGACTTGGCGGGAAGTGAGCGTGCGTCTGCCACTCGCAACCTCGGGGACCGTATGAAGGAAGGAGCGAAGATTAACCAGTCCCTCCTCGCTCTTAGCAGCTGCATCTCCGCTTTGTGCGATGCCCAGCGTAAGGGCGCGCGCCCACATGTACCTTACCGCAACTCCAAACTCACTCGTCTCCTCAAGTTCTCCCTCGGTGGCAATTGTCGAACAGTCATGATCGTGTGTGTATCGCCGAGCTCAAAGGACATCGAGGACACCGCCAATACCCTCACCTGGGCGGATCGCGCAAAACACGTCAAGACGACGGTCACACGCAACATCAACGGCACGCATGTCAGCGCGCGACAGTATGTCGAGAAGATCCAGCAGCTCAATGAGCGGGTCAAGATTCTCGAGGCTCAGCTGGACGCCAAGGATCAGGAGACGAGCAAGCTCATACAACTCAAGATTGAGGATGCCAAGAAGAGAATTGCTGAGCATGTGCAGTTCATCAACGCAGCGGTCGATGCGCAGTGTGAGGTAGTTCGCGAGGGCGCCGAGCATTGGGCCAAGTGGGACGTTGCAAACCTTGGAATCGAGAAGATCGAGAACCGCCGTAACGATCTCGAGGCCGACGAAGACACACAGGATTTGGCAAGAGAGACAGCCATGTGCAACTCGATCATCGATCAGTACAAGCACGAGTTTACTGAGTCGCGCCACCTGCAATCCAAGGTCAACCTCGGTAACGAAGCTGCCATCGCTCTCAGCAGACAGATCGAGGATCTGGAATCGAAGGTCTTCCCCGACGTTGATCCGGTATACGCGCAGAATCTTCGCCTCGAGATGGCTGCCGCCCGCGCCAAGATTAAGCAGGCAAACGCCAAGGGTTGCGAGATCGGGTACCGTGAGCGCCTTGCAAAACATGAGGACGCTCTTGCGCGGTCTGCCATTGCCTCGGTTCGTGTCGAGGCGCTATACACCAAGCACGCCGCTCGCATCGAGGCGCTGTGCGCACGAGGGCCTATTGATCCTTCCGTCCTTCGTCAAGAGATGAGGCTGCTCTCCAGCCTGCAGGCCCCTCTCTTCCGCGAAATGGGCAACATACACCAACTCATCCAGATGTCTGACGCACCAGCACCGGCCCCTGTGCCCACTCCAATCAAGGGCGCACAGCTTCGCCACAACATCTCCCCTGGTTCGCCCCATGTTAAACGTTTGTCGCAGCGCTACTCCATGGAGAAGAAGCATGTCGTCCACAAGCCCGGATCCCCTCGTCGATCCCTCCCTGGACGCGGTGCGATGCGCAGATCGAGCGCTGTGCCACCTGTTCCACGATCCGCGCGCTTTGCGGACGACGAAGGAGGAGAGCTTGCGGAAATTCGTCACTATAAGGCTCGCTCGTCGCAGTCGCCTGTCGCTGAGGCATCCACGGACGATGGCGCCGACTGGGAGGAAATTTCCAGCAGTGCAAAGCCTTTGCACGCGCCCGCTCCTCCCAAGTCCAAGCCAGGCGTCTCATTCAAACCCCACCCGCGTCTGAATGCGGCGTTGCGCGCCCCATCGTCGAACGGGTCTCCTACTGGACTCCCACGGTCCAAGCCTCCACCTTTGGCATTGACAACCGCATCTTCCCCACTCGCCACAGCCTCAGCAGCTGCATCCGAGATTCCGGCGTGGAAGGCGAATCGACTTGCCTTGGGTAAGCACGAGAAGGAGAAAGACAAGGAGCAGGTCAGTCCTGTCAAAGACACCAGTGTGACATCTACTGTTGCCGAAAGCTCGTTCTCAAAGATCACGATACCAATCGGCCTTGGCCGGCCGTCCCGGCCACCTTCGCGCACCACCTCGGTGCTTGGGGAACTGAGACAACTTCCTCCCTCACGACCCCCGTCCTCACTGGGAAGCTCTACCCTTCACCTCCCGACCGCTTCCAGCGCAGCACGCGCCAATGGCGACAAGTCACCCATCTCGTTCAACCACTCGCCCACCGTTCCAAACCCCCTCCGTGCTTCAGTCGCGCGGCGCCTGTCAGACCGGCACCAACGGAGAAAGCTGCATCAGGGTGCCGTCCCTTACCGACGCAAGCCGAGCCTCATTCCCTCCCCCAAGGGGTCGCCAAATGGATCGTCTCCGAGAGGTTCAACTGGCGGATTTGGGCTTGGGAAGAGCATCGGTCCAGGGGCGGGCAGCGCTGCCAGCAGTAGCGGCGGTGCCAGTTCAAGCACAGGGCCCAGCCGCTCCCCAATGGCTTTTACCATGAGTGTCGCCGGAACGAGCGGCGCAGGATTGCGCACTCGTCCCAGCCTCTTCTCGCTGAACGCTGGCGCCGTCACCAACGGCCACGACAACGGGGCCAACTCCTCCAGCGCGAAGCCGGCTTGGCGATGAAAGAACTTCTGTAAAATGTGTGCTTGTATTATAGCTTATGGGTGTCCACGATGCGAACGTCCTGTGTGCGAGGGGGTCGGCCTCGTCCCTGGCGAAACCATCTGCGTCATGCCAGCCTCAGCGAGGAATCGAACCGCCGCACAAGAACGGAAAAGAGCCCAGAGACACGTGGCCCGGTTGTGTGGGCCTGAGCGGTCTGACGTCGCCGTTGTGAGGTGCGGCTCGGCTACGCGTCGTCGCCCCCACATGCCTCACATTCGCCATCACTCTTTCTCATCACCGCTTCTTTCACCCACACACGCTCCTTCAACCTCGCCATCATGCCCGCAGGCGCGGCCGACCCCGTCCCGCCAGCCGGCCCGGCGCCCCTTCCACCTCCAGACCTTATGACATCGTTGCCCGCACCCGTCCTTCGCCTCCTGGTCGTCTTCGCTGGCCCTATCGCTGCCCTTCGCGCCGTGCTTGAGGTTCTTCTCTGGAAGCCTGAACGGCGTGTCCAGAGCTGGATGTTCCTCCTCGCGTGGTGGTTCGCCTGTCTCTCCGGCGGGTACATCTTCGCCTGGCTTGCGCCGCCACTACTTTTCGCACCACTCCTTCCTCTACAACGGCTGCGCCTTGGCGAGAGACGGATGCCCGTACAGACGACGCCAGCGCGCCCCGCGACCTCCGAGACGCTTCTTCAGACGCTCGGCGACGTGCACAAAATTCTTGCCCTCCTTCCGCCCTCTCCCCTTCCTCCCTTGTCGGCAATGTATGAGCGCTTCCGCGCTCTGGGGACACGTCGCTTGATTCGCGGCCTTGCTGTCCTCTGGGGCCTTTGGGTTGCGCTTGATCATGCGCTCGGCACCCGCGTTCTTGTTGCGCTTGTGGGTACTGCGCTCATTCTGGCCCCGTCCCCACCCCTTGCCCAAGTTGTGCACCTCGCCGGTAAGAGCCTAGCTGTACGTCGCACACTTGCCCTCACCTTTCTCCTCATCTTTGGGTCGCCGGACCGCGACTATCGCCTCGGTTCGCCTATTGGCTGGATAAAGAGCAAGTGGGCGAGCTCGCGACGCCCTTCCACCGTCCTCTCCTCGAGCCCCGTCAAGACCGCCGAGTCCGCCGCGCCCGCCGACCGCGCTGGCAACCCCATCTACTTCCGCTTCGAGCTCCACGAGAACCAGCGTTGGTGGATGGGTCTGGACTGGACGTCAGCCTTGCTGCCGCAAGAACGGCCCAGCTGGTGCGATTCCCATCTTCTTCCCGTCGCGCCGCCGCAGGCGTTTGCGCTTCCGGCTCCTTCCTCTATCGACCTTCCTGCGCACACACGCGCTGAGCCGCGCGGCATGGTGCGCCGTACCGCGACATGGCGCTGGCTTGACGATGACTGGAGCGTTGTCAAGAAGGTGAAGGGCGCGGCTGCGCCTGCCGATCCAGCCCCCATCCCAGCCCCGGCGCCGGCATCCCGTCCCACATCGGGCCTCTTCTCACCATCCGACTCACGTTCGCCTTCCATCGCTGAGACTGCGTTTGCCAAGGGGCTCGGGAAGCTCAAGAGCATGCCGCTCCCGGGCGCCCCAGCACCAGCGTCACCTGCTCAGGGGCGCGGGTCTCTGGACATGCGTCGCCAGCGCACGGGATCGGAGAGCACAGACGTATCACTGGAGGATGTGGTACCCCCGGTCACCGGACAGCCCGAGGGATCAATTCCCGAGGCGGACGACGAGACAGACGCAGATGGATGGGTGTATGGCGACAACAAGTGGGAGAACATGACAGCAAGGGGTGGGCTGGGCAAAGTACGTTGCGCGGCATCGACTGCTCCCGTGTCGTCGGCTAACATCAGTTCACTCGCAGGAGGCGGTGGACCCGCCGAGCTGTCTGCACTGAAAGCGTGCACCGCATTGTCGAGGCGCAGCCATCGAGCGAGGACATGGAGCCTGGGAGCGGCGCAGCCACGCCGATGGCGCGCCGGCGTTCGAGCGGCGGTGCGCCCCGAGCACCGTCGTCACCGGCGCCCAAAGCGGGAGCTGTAGTGGCGCCATCTGTCGCCAGCGACGAGCACTCCCACCGGGAACACCGGCCCGTTGTGGCCCCGGCGCCGGCACCGTCAACCATCGTGCCGCCGGCCCGCACCAGCCTCGACCGCGACCAACAGCTCAAGCAGCGCCTCAAGAAGGCCATGGGCAACATGGGCGCGTAGTGTACCAGTACTAGACATGCAACATAGATTCGAGCGCGTGGGCATTGGCCTGTCTGCCCTCCGTACCCCCCATATCTGCTTGCATTACAATCAGTCGAGGACTCCTGCCAGGGACAGTGGCTGCCGAATATTCATTGTGGCATTCCGCATCTCGGCGACTGCTCCGTCGTCGTTCCACTTGTTCGCATGCCGAGAGGCAGTGAGACTAGTCAACCTGACGACGAGATTCAATCCACATCCGCGCCGCGACTGACAATCGACGCGATCGGAAGTACGATATGTGCGGCAGCTCGAGAATTCTCCGAACCGCGCCCCGATGAGGGTCGACAGTGTGATGGAAGGCGAGGACCGGCAGCGTCGAAAGCACGGCCACGCATGCGGCACAAGCTCACTCCGAACCGTTGCGCACAATTCTCTCTCCACCAGATGTTGCATCTAGCTCTATCACACAGCCACCCACGAGTCCTCGGGGCCTGGCGCATGTCCCAGTGTCCTACCCTCGGTGGTGCCGCCCTTCTCGCTCTTCTGGCTCTCCTCGCTGCTCTCGTCGCTCTCCTCTGGTCGTTGCAGAGCACCAGGCTCGGCGCCGACGCGCCTTGCCTTCGACACGCTCCCCCCACATCGGAGACACTGCCACTTGGCGTCCTTGTCCGGGTGCTCGTGTGCGAACTGGGCCAGTTCGTCCGCTATGCAGTAGTAGCAGTAGCTACAGCCGCCCCAGCAGTCGGTCTGGGCGGGGAGGAAGATGCGGTCTTCGGGGTCGGCCTCGGGGTCGGCGTCCTCGAGTGGCGGCAGCTCGATGTCCGTTCCGCTCAATGCGACCGGGGCGCTCGTGCGTCGCAAGTAGCACACGGGGCACGTCTGCTGCGGGATACCGGCGCAGACGCCGGCGTGTGCCGCACTCGGGGCGGCCACGCCCGCCGCCTTGGCTGCGGAGATGCTCCCCTGCGCCGCGGAGAGCGCATCGTAATCGATCGTCGTCGGCTGGTTCAGGAACGCCTTCACGGGCCCCAGCACTGTGCCGGGGTTAACGATGGCCGGAAGGCTCGGGATGCGCGGAAGCGCGAACATGAGGAACTCCTGCCTGTCAGTGCGGATTAGGCGGTGGTTCGCACTGTCATGACTCCCCACACCAGCTGGCGGTTCATAAATTCGTAAGACACCATGCGCGCGAGATGTGGCGCGTCGGGGACGAGGCGTATTTTGAGGATACGCATCAGGAGAGACGGGTAGTGCCCGTCCCAGAGGAACCAGCCCCAGCCGGCAAGCTCCCATGCCTGCGCTAGCGCTTCGATGCGGGTGATGAGGCGCCACAGCTTACGCCGGATGTCGTGGGAGGGGAGGTCTGGCCACTGTCGCGACAGGGCTGTTGCGCGCGCACGCGTGAGCAAATACCGTGGGAGCAAAGGGGGGTGAAGAAGGATATAGAGAAGCAGTTTGTTTCGAGATGCTGCTGTCAGGTCTGAAAGCGGAAGGACGCACGCCGTGTGCCGCCGCTAGCTAAGCGGAGGTTTGAGAGGGCGAGGCCTGGGCTAGCTGTTGTGGGTCCGAGCACGCCGGCTGCAAACACGGCGAGCTTGAGGAACAGCTCGATCTCGGGCTTTGCGTCCGGTCCTATTGATGGCTGAGGTTAGCTCCGCATGTGGGGGGCAACGTACATGAAAGCGGGAAAAGGCGCGCTCAACGCCATCGCCGAGCAGCTGGGCAATGCCATCGTCGAGCTCCTCGGCATCGATCTGGTTAACGAGCGGTGCGCGTGGCACATATGGCCCGCTGTCGCTGGGGCCGGCTTCGGCGATCATGGTGGGATGAGTAAAGCGGAGAGGGTGGAGAGATGGGCAGCTCCGGCCCACATAGCCGGCACGCTCTCCGCCGAGATCTGGCCACTAATGCCAGAGCAAATAGCGGAAGCAGATCCGTATTAGCTTGCCAGGCTAATTTACACGTGGCCAGTCGCCACCGACCTCCACCTCCGCAAGGTGAGTGACGAGCATCGAGACGCGCCCAACGCCAGTTCATCTACCCACCTGCCAACTTTCAACTTCGCAAGATGCGCGCGGGCACACTCGCCCTCGTTCTTGCGTCTTTAATACCGGCCGTCCATGGAATATGGCCATTCAAACAGAAGCGCTTTACAGCGGAGGCGCTGTACAATGCCGGGCGCCTTGGATTGCCTGAAGATTCTGGGCGTGTCGTCGCGATCGGCGACGTCGACGGAGATCAGAAGTGAGATTTACTTATGGAATGGTGACTGACTTCAGCTCCGACCTTTTTGTTTTGAGTAAAGACAGGAAAACGATTCATGTCATGGTGTGGAAGCGTGACTCCTTCATGTACGAGGAGCGGGATAAGCTCGTTTTCGAGCACGAAATCACGAATGTCACACCAGCAGACTTCAACGGTGACGGGAGGATGGACCTTCTGGTGATGTGGGGGGGCAACAGTGGCGGTGGTTGGTGGGGGAACAGCGGCAAGATGTCGACAGACATGGAGATCGTAATGGGCCACAGGGACGGCTTGTCCAAGGGCGAGCGGTGGAAAATCCCCTCCGCCGCGATAGCACAGCCAATGCTCTTTGACGACGATCACAATCTTGCTCCTGCGCTGCTTGGGCTCGCGGAGACGCCCGACGGGCCCAAGATGAGGGCGTGGCGAAACACCGGCTCGACACTGCGCTTGTTCACCCCCATGTTCTCTCCACCCGACCAGGTGTGCCAGATTATTCACCCCCCTGTCGGAGCCCACTCGTCCGCATTTGTCGACATGGACGGTGACTGCGCGCCCGATGTTGTGTTACATTGTGGCGGAGCCAGAGCAAACCACCGCTCGCTCCAAATCTGGCTCAACCGAGGCGAGCAAGGGTACATCCTTAGCAACAGTTGGCCATTGCCAGTCGGGTCGCGATCAATCACGTATGCGGACATGAGTAAGTGCAGAGGAGACGTGCGTAAACACGATGGGCTGCTGATCGCAGATCGCAACGGCGCTATGGACCTAATCTTCTCGACATGTAGCAAGGCAAAAATTACCACGGGGTTGGGTGACAACTGCAAGATCCACGTTGCGTACAACAAGCAGGCGCGGTTGTGCGACACCAAGTCCTCGCAGTTTGCTGCGGGCGGCCGGTTGATATGCCGCGGCTACGAGGAGTTGTGCAGTGCGGACCCTCACTTCGACTTCCAATTCTGGGAAAACAGCCCGGTAAGGCTTATGTGGCGCCAATGCTGACCACAGGACTTCCCCACCGTGTCAATAGAGAAGCTATTCCCTGGCTTCAAGCTTATGATCACCGTCCCGGGTCAGAGCGACATCCCACTTCCGCTTCGGCCAGGCGACTTCGATGTCGATGGTTTCCCCGATCTCCTGATCACGATCAGTGACGGCAAGAAGTCTCTCGTCAAAGTACTACACAATGTCCCCTGCGGGAAGGGCGTGCCGGGCTGTGGCGAATACAGCGCATCGTACAGTCGCGGATTCCAGGTGCTCGGCGGAAAGGGGTGGGAGGCGCTCGAGGAGATTGAGGACGCCGTGGGCGCGAGCTGGATTGATCTTGACGATGATGTGAGTGGCGATCCAGAGACAATGCTCACTGCAGGGTTCGCTTGACATTTTGGTGCATCGCACAGGTGAACAGACTGGCGAGACTGTCACATTCATCCAAAACAACTTCTATCACGACGCCTTTTTCCTCAAGGGACAAGGTGCGTCCAGTTTACCGCCGCGTGCTGCGCTTACCCACGCAGTGCTCAACGGCGCGTGTGATAGGAGACAATGCGTCCCAGCAGATGGTGGCAAACCCTACTCCGTGAGTATTTTGTGACGTGCTATCTTGCACAACCCAATGATCCACTGGACTGTCGCGTGGTTTCACAGGTCTTTCGCACTTCAATGCTGTCCTTGTTTCAGTTGCGCCTCACGGGGTTCGAGATGATGCAGTTGCCGCGTTCGATGGCTTCTGGATGGGCCCATGACACACACTCTGCTCACCCCTATGGCTGACCACAGGCACTCGGTTGCAGCATTAGTGGGGCCACTTTCAAGTTCACGTCCTTTGATACACGAGGGAATCGACATGCCCAGAAAGGTGAGTATGTTGAAGCACTCGTGGGACTTGCTTTGCATGTTTTGCATTAGGGCCCATACGCTACGCGACAGAGGGGTGGATTGCTGTGTGCGATCACCTCCAGACGTTTCGGACGAATGCGTGTCAAGTGCCCTGACGACGGCCTGACGTTTTACCACAAACACGAGCTGATCATTAGTCGCACAGCTTCCCCAGACATGTTACCACTCGCTTCTATCGCCGCACACTTTCATGGGGCTGGGCCGTACGAACAACTACATCGAGGTGGGTCTGGACGCATGTTGCGGTGCCTATCTAACGTCAGAATCTCAAGGTCGGTACGTCACTCAAATCAGACGAGGATCGAGTAACGTCGCTGGACGGCGTGATTCCCAACTCGCAGGTGATACTCAACCCACCATGGGCTCGTGACCCGCGCAGCAATGAGTCAGTGCTGTACCGCTCCACGGAGTGGCGCACTGAGCTCTTCCTGCACCCGGGCGACTGGATCCCATGGGTCGGGGCGGCTGTTGTTGGGACGGTGGTGACCCTCGGCATGGTGGTGGTGTGGCTCGGCGAGCGCGAGAAGCGGGAAGACGAGAAGGAGCGGCGACGAGCGCTGCACGCGATTAACTTCCAAGCGTTGTAGCATACAGCTAGAAGATGAGGAAGAGTTGGGCCTCAAGGTGGAGCTTCTTCAAACATGCTTACAGTGCGGGGTAGGGCATCCGAGATGGTCCGGGATGTAGCCCAGACAAGCAGGAGAGTCTCCAAGGTGATGTGAGCGTGGCTGCACGACCACCATGCAATGAACGGAAGGTACACGTCATGCCGGCAGATTGGGTTGTCCGGGGTGTTGGACGCGTTTTTCACTGGCGGTAACGAGACACGAAACGCGTCCCCCTGGCCTCGCTAGTTGTGTGATTCACTATCTCCTCCCGTCAGTACGTCCGCAGGGTCACGACCCCAGTTTCGGTGCTGACCCGAACAAGAATGGCCGCTCCGTCGCGCCTTTGGTTTGGGGGTCTGCCGTACACATGTTCCGCAGGCCGAGTTCGACAGCGCTTTGGTAGTGAGGTGTCGACGCGGGCGCGACCTACAAAAGCACCACCCCCTCAACACTGCTCGCCCGTCACATATCGCCCTCTTGTCTCGTTTTTGTTCTCGTTCTCGTTACTCTTGTTGCGTTGGACTGCGTCCAACAGCTCATTCCTTTCACGCGCTACGCTCCTTACAGCTCCTTGGTTTTCGATCCGTTATACTCTTTCACGACACATACGCATCGTCTGGTACCATGCTCACAGCCCTTCTCCCCCTTCTGGCCGTCCCCGCGGCCGCCCACATGACGATGTGGCACCCGGCCATGTACGGTTTTGAGCCTGAGGACTTGCAGTACAGCAGGGCCTCGCAGCCTATCGCGCCTGGCTCATCTTTTAACACCTGGTGGTTCCGAGGTGACATTAACAAGCCCCCAGGTAAGTGTGAGCGACTTGAAGGGCGGGTGTGTTTTGGAAATGGCACGTCGAGCTTTGAATCACACCGAGGCAAATCTCATCGACGCTCCTGTCGATCCTACTCTAAGCCACAACCTGCCTGCCATTTGCTGACAACATCAGCCGAGGGCCAGTTTCTCGAGCTCCCCGCTGGCGGGGTGTTCACGGGCCAGATCTCAAATAACAAGGTGTTCACCGACTGGGGCAAAAAGCCCAAGCCCGATATTGGCAAGATGGCTTCCAGCGCCGAGGGCGTTGGGCTCCTCCACACCCGCGACATGCCCGGGATTCCCCCCGAGCAGACCAAGGAGGTCATGGGTTGTGGCCTGGGCATCGCCTATGAGTCGGACGTCCACAAGATTCAGCCTGAGGACTTTGCCATAATTTCCACCAACCGCTACTGTCCTTGGTACCGTGACGTTGACTTCGCTATCCCCAAGGACTTGCCCGCCTGCCCGCCAGGTGGCTGCCACTGCATGTGGGGCTGGATTCACAACGAACGCGGCGGCGGGCAGGAGATGTACTTCACTGGCTACCGCTGCAACGTTACGGGTGCGACGGGTGTCATCCCCATCCCCAAGCCGGCTATCGCGCGCAAGTGCCCGTACGACAAGAACAATTGCACCATTGGCGCCAAGCAGCCCCACTACTGGCTCATGGGTGAGCGCAACAACAACCATCAGGGATACTCGGACGCGCCCTTCTACAACGAAGCGTACGGATTCGCGCACGGCGCCCAGAACGATCTGTGGGACATCGACCTCGGCACCACATGGAACAACAATGCGTCTGAGCAGGCACCTATTCCGGACACGTACGGCAAATGGAACCTGCCGATCATTCAGCGCGACCCCAACGCATCTATTGGCAAGGCGACAGCAGCTGGTGCCGTCAACGCGCCAGACGCCAACGCCACTCCTGCCAACTCGTCGCCGTCTGCCTCAGCATCCAGCGTCGCCGCTTCCGGTTCCGTCGCTGCCACTAATTCCGTTACGTCTGCCTCCGGTTCCGTCTCCGCTGCCTCTGTCGCCTCTGCCTCTGGCACTGTTACCACTGAGCCTGCTCTCGTCGCGCCCGTCGTTGGTGGCGGCGACAGCAATCTGAAAGTCGACCCGGTCAACGGCACCATTCCGGAGTCTTCCACGGCGGGCGGCTCCGCTGGTGCGAGTGGCGGCTCGCCTATGGCCTCCCCCTCCGCCAACACGACCACTACCGGAGCTGGTGTTAGCAACTCGACTGCACCGGGCACTGGTAACTCCGCTGGCGTAACCGGCGCTGGCTACTCGGCGCCGCCTAGTGTGTCGTCCCACCCGAAGAAGTGCAAGCGTAGCCGCAAGCGCTTCGGCCGCCGTCGTCTGTAGTTCGCTGTTCACGTTTGTCTGCCACTGAGTGGCACTTAGTACCGGCCTGGTGTCGGATGCATCTGCCCATCATCCTGTTCCTTGGAAACCCATTCTCTCACAATTGCCCGCTCGATCTGCCATTCTGGATGGGCAACAATTTGGAGCTGCAGTCAGCTGCCAGGAACAAGCATCGCCGTTGACACCACCCTCACGTACATGTCAGTGCGAGGCACTACCGATCCCGGTGGTCGCACTCTAGCATACACACTACAGCTGGCGTTGTCGCTGTTGCTCAGCATCGACTAGATTGTGGCTGACCCAGCACGGGTTGCATCCGATATTTGCGGACCTGTCATTCCGTCCGTTGCCGTACCGCTGCCGTTATCCGGCAGCCTCTTCCCGTCTCCCCGTCCGATTGCCGTCGTATATCAACCTCGCGGATATGACGTGGTCCTCTCATGGTTGTTTAGGTTGTGACGGTTTTCCGAATAAGAGGACGATCTTCGTTTGCGAATGTCGGGGGCCTGCCGCATTCCGGACGTGCCCGCGCTGAGAAAGCTGACATCTTCCTTGACAACCAGAACTCATGCGCGTTGATCTCTGGCGGCGCGAATAATGCGCAAAACAGCAAGGAGGAGCCCTCGGAGACGGGTAGTACACCTTGTGGAGCGCGGGAAAGCTAGCGGATCCGGAGTAGACTGGAGCAGTTACCTGGCATACCGTGCAGCTGATGAGGATCGGCACTTCTGTCTCACTTCTCGACTCCCAATGTCTTACTTCCCCTCGTTTCGGGGCACAAACTAAGCACACTCTTGGTTGCTCTCCTCTTCTACGCTGACCCATGTCTTGCTAACTCTACAGCCTGCATGCAGTCGAGACTTCTAATGTCGCTGCAACCTGTGCTCGCTTTCTCTACAGCCGGGCCTGCTTCTTGCCCGAGTGCGCGGCTGTCCACGCCTCGTACCATGGGTACAGCTCGGGGTTTGACACTCCCGTGCGGTTGATCTTGGCGAGCGAGACCCCGTTGACAATCTTCTTGACGGACGGCTCGAGCTTCTTGCCGGTAGCAGTGACGGGAACGCCTGGGCACTGCGCAATGATCTCTGGAACGTGGCGGCGGGAAAGAGCAGTGGCAATGGCCTTCTTGAGGCGGTTGGTAACTTCAGGCGTAAGGGCCTTATCCCCGATCATCTTGACAAAGAGGATAACGCGCTCGTCGTCGCCCATCTTTTGACCAACGGCAATGGAATCCTCGATGTCGTTGCCGAAGTCCTTCTCGATGATGTAGTACAGCTCGCTGGAGCCGAATCGGACACCTGAAGGGTTGAGCACACCGTCCGCGCGACCGAGCACGTTCCAGCCCTTGGTTTGGGGGTTGACGTAGACACTGTCGTTCATGTTAAACATGGGTGGGTTCGTCCAGTCGGAGAAGTATGTCTCAACGTAACGCTCGCGCGAAGCCTTCCGTTCGCCGGCAAACTCATAGGGCATGTTCGGGAAGGGGGAGCGGAACACCATCGTACCCTCCTCGCCCTCCAATGCGCGCCCGTCTGGGGCGGCCGCGATCACGTCAACGCCGAGAACAGGGCCCATCAGCTCGCCCTTGTACATAGGCATGGTGTGGTTGGACTGGAGAGCGCTTCCGCCCAGCTCGGTACCGCCAGACGCATTGTTCAGGAACACCCACGGGATCTCGCGCTTGATGTATTCGTAAACGGTCGGAGTGACGGGTGCGCCTGTTGTGTAGATCTGCGCGAGCGAGGAGACGTCGCGTCCGCCGCTGGGCTTAAAGCCGTTCTTGTCCAGCGTCTGGAGGTAGCGGGGGGACGCGCCGAGCTGCGTCACCTTGTACTTCTCAATGAGGCGCCACAACACCTCCTCAGGGTAGAAAGGCGAGCCATCGTAGGCGACAACCGTGCCGCCGATCGTCGTCCACATGATGTGCATGTTCCAGACGATCCACCCCATGGTCGCGAATTGCAAGTAGCTGTCGCGGTGGTCCATGTTGAAATGCACCGTGTACACGAGCTTGCGCATGAGCATGACGCCGCCACCGGGGCCCATAATAGACTTAGGCTTGCCGGTCGTGCCGGACGAGAAGACGATCCACATAGGATGGTTGAAGGGCACACGGGCAAAGTCAATCTCCTTGGGCGCGTTGTTGCCCTGTCCCATAAAACCGTGCCAAGTGTGGATCGCTGGCCCGTCGGGATACCCCTTAAGCGCGTCGAGGGAGGGCTCGCGGCTCTCGTCCAGATGGCCAATGCAGATGACGTGCTCAATGCTGCCGAGACGGCGGACGACCTCGCGGGCGCGCTCCGTCACATCGTGCCTCTTGCCGTTGTAGCGGTACGCGTCGATCGTAAAGAGCACACGCGGCTTAATGATGTCGTAGCGGTCGAGAACGGCGTTGACACCGAACTCCGCAGGAGTGGACGAGAAAATGGCTCCAATCGCCACGGTCGCCATGAAAACGACGAGCATCTCACAGTTGGTCGCTGCAAAGCTCACGACGCTCTCTCCAGGCTTGACGCCCATCTTGCGCAGCGCGTGAGACGCCTTCCGCACCTCGTGGTACAGCTCGTAATACGAGATGCGGCGTGTCTCCTTTGGCTCCTTGCTGCCGGTTTCCGGGTCACCCTCAACAGTCGCAATCATCGCGTATTTGGTCTTGCTAAGCGCCGACTTGTGCCCAAGCAAAAGGTTCTCCGCGACGCTGATGTCAGCAGCGCGAGTCGCTCGAACTCACTTGATCCGCGCCGTGGGGAAGTAAGGCTGCTCCTGGTCCATGGGCGTCCCGGGAATGAAGGCGGGGCCATCGCCGCGCTCGCCAATGATGCCGAGGTAGTCCCATGCCAAGTCCATAAACTTGGCGTGCTCCTTGATGCTCCACGCGTGAAACTCCCAGTAGTCTTTCAGGTTCAGACCGTAGCGCTCGTTGGCCGCCTTGCGGAACTTGTTCATGAACGGCTCTTCGTCCTTGTCGTCAGCATCGCGCCCACAATGTCTGCCCTCGCCTCCCCCACACTTGGCACGCTCGCCGGAGCAGGTAGTCACCGCTGCATGCTTGCCGGTAGTAGCCGGTGGAGTTTATGTACTCCGCGCCCACTTTTAACCTCGACACGACTGTGCCAGTACCTCCCCTCGGATTCCTGTTCACAGATGGTGCACTCTAGCCCTTGTACTGCGCACACACCTGGTCGCGCGACTTCGTATTTCTGTTGCCCTTCTGACCCCAAGCTCCACACTCCCACCGATGCCTCCGCCGACGAGCGACTCACCGCATGGGGCCTTGCGTCCCCGGGCTTCCAGAACAGCTCAGCCGGCTTTCCGTTGTACGACATGCTGGTAGTATGTTAATGAGTAGTCGGACTTGTGCAAAGTAGAGAGGCTGATGAGTTATATTGAACGTTCCAGTCGTCTTGCACTGTGGAGAACGGAGACGAGAGCTCGGCATTCGGGAAGCCGGAAACGTTTCGGCGTTGACCGATGAACGATTCCGCCCGTCTAAATCCTCTGGTGTTACGGCCGAGTCTGCTTCTCGGAGCACCCGTTGCATGCGTGTATCGGGATTGGGTCAGCGCATGCATGGCCTGGGCGGACATCGGGGCTCCGAGGTCCATGGGGGGTAGGGGCGGGGTCGCGGCGTGCGGAGTCCCTCGCCCAGGCAAGGCTGGTATTCGAAACCTGAATCATTCACCTAACTGGCACGGACTTCGGAGGCGGGCGTTGCTCCGAGGTGCAGTGAGTTGGCAGTCAGTCTTGGGCACATCACACTCCCCAAGCTCTCGACCTCACGTCCTCACGATGCTGTTCCGATTGTCCCACGTGTTTCGCTGCTTGTGAAGCTGGGTGTATCCCGCAACTATACGGATATCAAACGGCATTTTGTACTCACCGAGAACCGCAAACCCCGAGCACGTTGTCGTCACGGCCGCTCGATAAGACAAGCTACCCCTGGCATGCTTGTCCAACTACCCACGCAGTATAACTGGCGAAGGATCTCTGATCAAAGCATGTCATCAGTAATCTCTTCAAACTCACCCCAGCGAGATAAAGCACATCGGCGCGGCGATGTGCGTGTCCCGAGAGAGCACGCCCCCCTCTGTCCCTGAGTCCATCTTGGAACTCCACTCTCCGCTCATCATAGCTAGTTCAAGTGGGTAATGCAATTTCACTTCGAAAGGCGGAGAGATGCTGATGTCCAGATCGAGTCTCAGGCTAGCACGGACCGTCTGACTTCCAAAACTGCGGGCAGCTTGGACACAATGCCGTCTCTTATGTCCCTACAGAGGGAAAGGAGATACATTTCCCAGCACAGCACCGGACGATGACTGAACAGGGATAAGGTCCTCTGTACCTTCCAGTCAGGCGGCGTCAAACAGAACTGCCGATTGAACTCGAGCTCCACAGTTGACTATTCCCAGAGTGTCCCAGCCAACGTGCCCAAGTTGTTAGTTAATCGCGAACACAATAATCATGGAAGCTTCCGTTGAGAAAACCCCATCTTGGTGCCACATCGGCTACTCCTTTCTCCCTATCCAAAGGCTCACATTGCGCCAATCTATGCTTTGACTTCCCGAACGGGTCAAAGACTGACGCTGGATGGGCGTCCTGTTCGAAGGGTGAATGGGGCAGTGAGATGTTGTATTTGCCACAAGTATCGTTAACATCAATCAGTTAAAGCTGTCTGACAACTCAGGTCGCTTCTCATAGCTGGATGCAGACTCGGGGTGGTTCTTCCAAGGCTGCAATCAGCTTTACAATTAGTCGAACGAAGTCATCGTCTGCCACAGCAGTTTGTGCTGCAGTTCATAACTCTCGAAACACAAACATGGAGAGGTGTTGGGGGTCACGTGACGTCCCACCCTATTGCTTCCGTGTGTGATCGCCATGTCGCGTATCGATGACGCGAGTGAAGCGTTCCTCCTTCTGACCCACGACACCAATCTATTCCGGTGCTGTAGCTCCCCTCTCTCGGACTGCTCTTGTTATAGATCCTGCTCAACCATGCTCACCGCGCTCGTCTGTCTCCTTCCCACCCTCGCCACCGCTCGCGCCCACTCGCTCCTCCTTACCCCCTCGGCACCCTCAGACGCGCTCCACGACTGTATCGCATCATCCTATCGGGGACACTATGCGGGCCAGCATGCTTATCTCATTACAAAGGGCTGCTCCTCCTCAGCATCGCTGGGCCTGCTCGACTCAGGCTCCTTGACGCCCTTGGAGTCAGAAGATCGCATCGTCTGGGTGGGTCCCTCCAACGTGCGCCCTTCCACCCCTTCCACTCTCCAAGACATGCTATCTGCATGGGAGATCATCGACAGCACGGCCAGCAGCCTCCTTTCCCAACATGGTGAGGACGTACAGACATCATTCTCCCACGACACGTATGAGGTTTTACTTGACCGTGTGCCCTCCCTCGTCCACGCAACGGAAACTGGCCTATTCCTCTCGGTTCCAAGCAGCATCCTTCCCGTGCTCGACACCCTTCTCCCGCCCCATCTCACACCCGTTGCGCTCCCGTCATACTCTTTGCCGCTACCGAGCTCCTACGGGAACCGGTGGGGAGTGCCAGAGGCGAAGGCGGCCCACCTCGCCAACATCACGAAGCATCTTCAGTTCAACACCAGGTTAGCGGCGATTGCGTCCACCATATCCGCAAAGGAGATCCTTGAGGATGTCCGCTACCTCACAGGTGAGAGGCAAGACAGCGACATTCAGTCGCGGCATTCGTTCCACCCCGACTATCTCAAAGCCTTCAGTTGGGTCCGCCGTGAGTGGATTCAACTGTCTAGAATCTTACCTCAGGTCAAATGGGTGCGTTGGGTATCGAGTGCTCTCCTTATCTGTACGAGGAGGGCTTCGGTCCCGGCCTTCTGTGCTCCATCTATCCTGAAACGGGCTCTGAGGATCACGTGATCATATCCGCGCATCTCGACTCCCGGGGGTCTTTTGGCAGCCTGCGTGCTCCTGGAGCCGATGACGACGGGAGCGGTAGTGCTCACCTCCTGGCTATAGCGCGGGCGATCTCGCAACACAACGTTACCTTTGAACACCCTGTCACTCTTGCCTTCTTCACTGGTGAGGAGCAAGGCCTCGTCATGTCAAGTCATTTCGCGCATACTCTCAAGAAGGAGAACGTCAGTGTGCAGCTGAACGTTCAAGCGGACATGCTGGGCTATCGAGTTCCCGGCGAGCCATTGCAGCTTGCTCTTCCCGCTACGTGAGTGAACAGACTTACATGGCGTTGCTTGGCCACAGAACTTATGTTTTGGCCAACCGTGACTCCAAAAGATCTACCCAATTGATACGGATGTATTTGCTGACAGCAGTATTGACCTTCCCGAAGCGTCATTCCTGGTCGCGAACCTCTCACAGCTATACGCGCCTGAGCTGGTAGTGGGACGTACGGCTGCGTGTTGCTCTGACCATCAGAGCTTCCTTCAGCTCGGGTTCCCTGCAACACAGGTCTTCGAGCGTAATGGGTGGATCGCGGACCCAATGTACCACAACAGTGGTGACTTGAGCGATCGTGAAGGTTACGACGCGGAGCAGATCAAGTCCATCGCCAAGGTCACCATGGCAACACTGTTTGAAGTTGCCGGATGGCAGCAGGGCAAGTAACTCTCACTCTGCTGCCGGGTGTTGTGGTGCACGACGAAGTGCGACTCGAGGGCGGGATAAACTTCAGCAGGCGGCGGGCAACGGCCGGGAGACGATGATCGCATGGATATGTTTGTGCACGACTTGAAAGAAGGCGGGCGGGCGGGTTGCATCTGCAGTAACCACAGGCTACAAGTCACAGGAACAATCCAGCTCACTCCAGCATACGTCGGCTGTGAAAGCGGGACGGCGTGCAAGGTCGTTACACCAGACCCCTACTGCTACAGTGGGCAATACGGACACCGAGTAACAGTTCAAGACAACGTCAAGGCAGAAGCTTTGAGCCAGGGTATGTGTTGCACGAGGTCGGATCCAATTCATTAGGCACCTCCCCGCCTTTGGGCTTCACGGCGGAAGATGGAGCATGGGTGAAGAGTGTGGAGACTCGAAATGCCGTGAGTCTCCAGTTGGTCATTCCAGCTGCAATCCCACGTCCCACCAGCGCAAGGTTGGCAGGCAACGGGGTGCCCAGTTACCACACTCGCGGGTGGACTTGGCTTCGCTTGTTACGAAAGGGGCGGAAGTGGGTGACGTGAGTTCGGAGATTTGCTGATGTCGGGCAAGAAAGGCGATGAGTGAGGCATGTGTTGTCAAGACGGCCCGCTCCGCATATCTCGCGCCTATCTCGGTCTCCCGAGTGCGCGGGATTCCGACCATCGGGTTCGCCACGCGGCAGCACCTGTTGCATCCAGGGGAACCTGAGGCGGGACCGTGTTTCGTTCCTCATCATCTCGAAATTACCCAAACAGGCAAGGCGAGGACTCAAGCTGAGACGTAGCGGCGCTGTGATCCACCAAACCTCCTGTCCAGCGGAAGCGGTCGTCACCTGACGTCGAATTGATCTAGGCGCTCACTATAGACGCTTCGGCTGTTGACAAGTTCATGAGCCAACGTCATCCACACTGGTATGTGGGCTACCGGTCCCGTAACCCAATCCATTTCCGGCACTTTCGGACCTCGCCCGTGGTCGGTCATGATCGCCTGCCTACCACCAGAGTACCTCGTACGATTGCTCGCGTCCGCGCCCATACTGTCGCGCCGTCATGAGACCAAACACCACCGTGCCCCTGATGATCCGGGACGCGGAACAGACGTTGTCAACGTACACACGGCATATGGCGGGCTGAGATAGCTTGCGCGGGTGCAATTGGTGCTGCGATCGCCAACTCATCCTTCCAGGCAGTGAGGTGAGTGCATTGCTTGTACGGATGTGTGAGAACCCAGCTACAGCTTGACGACAGTCGTTTTCGGCGTCATGGTGTTCCCGTCGATTACAGCCATCTCCGCTTCTGCATACCGTCGCGGGCCATCGCGAACTTCGTCCAACAGTCGCCATTGCATCTTCAAGGCCCAGCGCCGCGTTCTTACGCCCTCGCCCGCTGGTGCCTGTGCGGATCGTCTTCTGCAGCAACTGCTGTGTAAAGGCAGCAACCACAACATGGATCACCATTGCAGCCGTCGCCTTGCTCGCTCCAATAGGCACGAGCAATGCTCTCCCGATCCCTCTCTTGGCTGGACCGCCCTCCGAGGTTCACGACTGGCTCACGACTCTTAGACACAGCGCTCCTGGAGCGCTTCCCGTCGTTCCATTTGCAGTCTCCGTTTCCCCCCCCCCCCCACCCACCCCGGCCTCGGCAGAGCTATAAGTAAGCTGACTCTCCTCGCCCCTGTTTGCTTCTTCTTTGGAAGCCCTTGTCTGACGGCCCCGCCTATTACTGAGTATCTGATATCATGAAGATCAGGACCATCCTGGTCGCCTTCGGTGAGTGGCTGAGCTCTCACTATATCAACAATCATACCACCACTGCTCACACCTAGCCACGGCGGCCACGGTCATGGCCAGCCCCACCTGGGGAGGAGAGGGAGGCAAGATCTGCCTGTGGGGTAAGACCTCTTGTGGAGGCTCCTGCGTAGACTGCAACAGCGACTACAGCCACTGTGGTGGCTGTGGCAACAAGGTATGTCAGGCAGCGAGCGTGCCTGTATACTAAACTGACTCCAGTGCCCGGACGGACAGGTCTGCAGGGGCGGCAGATGTGTCGTCGAGTGCCGGTGGGGCCAGACGCAGTGCGGCAACGACTGCGTTGACTGTAACGGCAACGACAATCACTGTGGCCTGTGCAACATCAAGGTAAGTCGCGCCCATTACTTTCCCACGGTGTATTTCGCAGACCACCATTCCAGAACGTGCCTGACAGAACAGTGTCCACCCGGTCAAACTTGCAAGCATGGCCAGTGTGTCGGCAGCTGCACCGACGGCCAGGTGCAGTGCAATGGTCAATGTGTGAACACCGGTACGGACAACAACAACTGCGGCGCGTGCGGTACCAAATGCAAGGACGGCGAGAAGTGCCAGAACGGCAAATGCATGCCGACCGGTCCCACTTGCAACGCCCCCGATATCGACTGCAACGGCAAATGCACCAACACTCAGACGGATGCTTCGAACTGCGGCGCGTGCGGTACCAAGTGCAAGGAAGGCGAGAAGTGCCAGGGCGGGAAGTGCACGCCAACTGGTCCGACATGTACGCCGCCACAGGTAGACTGCAGCGGCAAGTGTGTCGATACCTCCTCCGACGGCTCGAACTGCGGCTCGTGCGGGACCAAGTGCAAGGACGGCGAGAAGTGCAGCGGTGGAAAGTGCACACCAACTGGCCCGACCTGCACGCCGCCACAGGTAGACTGCAACGGCAAGTGTGTCGATACGTCGAGCGATTCGTCCAACTGCGGAGCCTGCGGCACCAAGTGCAAGGACGGCGAGAAGTGCAACGGCGGCAAATGCGAGCCCACGGGGCCGATTTGCAAGCCTCCTCAAGTGGACTGCAACGGAAAGTGCGTCGACACGTCAAG